CAAAATGGGGTTAATCAATCGTCAACAGCGTCTTGCATGCCAATTAATCCACATTTATAATGATAATAATAATAATAACGCGAGTAATCGTGGCACACGTGTGTCAAAGGTAAAATCACGGACCTAGACGCCAAGATAATTAGTAAGCTTAAAAAAGAAGAAAAAATTTTAACACATTTTTATTATTATTATTATTTTTATTAAAAACAAAACCAATTTTAAAAGGGTACTAAAATCATATAAAAATTTATATAAATAAAGCATTACTGTTTGTCCCATTATAATTCCAATTAGAAAATGTTATTATTTCTTCCTGTGCAGCAATTATTTCAGCAAGGACAGGGGAATGGTTAATATTGGCCAGCAGGGGTAATTAAAAATTAAAATTTCCAAATCCATTCAGTTTTGCATGGTATGGCTCAATAGGTAATAGTCAATCAATGAATCGTCACTGTAAAGGCCCCCAAAACAAATAACCCAAACACCCCGCCCTTTTTTTAACCCTCCTCTGAAAAACCCCTCCAATCCTCCTATTATTGTAAACTTTTTTGGACAAGAGGTCGCCGCTTTGGCTGCTGGAGACTCTTCAGGTTTTATGTATCAATTAGTAGTCCGACGACACCGGTTCCAACCGATCCGTCAATGGGAGATCTTTGGCCGGATGCTGCGAGGGCAGCTTGAAGCCTTCCAAAGATTCGGTTTTATAAATACACAGATATTACAATTTTTATTTGAGTTCAAATTTTGGTAAATCAAGAAATTTCCCTAAGACTCAGGCTCTTAGCTTCTAGTATTGGCTGTGCTGTTCGACAGATGGCGCCACCTAAACTTCGATTGTTTTGTAGGGGGAATACTTTTCTAATAGTCGGTGAACTCGACTTTAGCCTTCTTTCTTGTTTTAGTTTCGTTTCTATAACGAGAGTCTAAAACTGTAGCCTAAGGGCTTATTTTTAAACGACATAAATTTTATTTTGATACTTTCGTGGCATTTATGTTTATTAAATATTAATACTCGTCTTACTAAGAAATGTTTCATACCCAAAATTAAAAATTCAATTTTAAAAATTTTTGGGGCTTATCTGTGAATAAAACCTTTTTTTAATCTTAAGGAAATAAAATCAAATCGTAAGGCAATTGCCCATTTAAATTTCTTGATCAACCCACTTGTCATACACATTTATCAAATCGATTCGGTATCCCTTTTCTTTTCGTTTTCATTTTCGTATCGTGCTTTTTTGTAGTAGTTAGTTTGTTTATCTTTATCGGCTTTGCCAAATATTTAAACTACACAGAAATAAAATATTTATAATTTTCAAACAAAATTGATTTGATCGATTTTTGTTTTATAAAGTATTTTGAAGAATTGTTGGTAGTATTTAAAATGACTTTTATTTGTTTACACATAAGCAACATATTTTGTTTCTGTGTAGTTTTACTATATTGCGGTTCCAACAAGTTGTTTGCTGTTGTTGTTTCTGGTCGTATATGGCACACATATTTTATGGCTAAATATTCCCATAGTCAATACGTATGTAAATCAACCTTCAATGGCCCACTAATGGGTTGTGATGTTTGTTAATGTGAATATATTTATATTTTCACATTTTCACAGAGAACAGGAAAGAGAGGGATCGAGATGCAGAAAGAGAGGAAAGGAAAGCGAGAAATTAAATAATTAACTAGCCAGGCAATATGCATATCAATTTTTTTTTTTATTATGCCAACAAACTGCAGGGGAACTCTCATAAATAATTAATAATGTAGCTCTTATGCTAATTTAAGTTGGTCGAAAATTTATGGCACGAAAGAATTGAGGATTGGGCCTACCACAATTCCGGATAGAGTTACAATAAAATGCATTTCACAACTTCATTTTGTAATAATCCTTATTATAGTTTGATAAATGGGGTAGTAATTATACATAATTTGCTTTCCAAATTGACTGCATTACAACTTAATTAAGTATGATTTGAGACCGCAGTTAGGCCAAATAATTTAAATTTTTGTAACTTAAGTTTAAGAAATATTTAACCTTATTTTCATTTTATCCCCTTTTGCCAAATTAAATTGAAGAGCAGAATTGTTTTTTGATTTTCGGAATATTTTTATAAATGAAAGATTTATAAACACCATTCCAGGGGATCATTTTGATAAAACACGTAACTTTGATTGTTTTCATAAATATTTTAAAATACCATAAATTAATGCAATCCACAGTGAAGCCAATAAATGCGATCCGATAAAAAGCGTTCACACATTGTTTTATTTAATCAGTTAATAAGTATCTTTGGGGCAGACCCTTGCTTTTTGTTTGGCCAATATTTCGATTCATTTCAATTCGATTCAATTATTTGCATGTCCCGCCTTTGTTGACCATCTCGTCTGACATTTTTCCTGCCATTGCCGGCCTTTTTGTGTTGGCCAAGTTGTTAGCGATCGCTCGGCATTTGTATGCATTGGCTTGTCTGTGGGCCAAGTATGCATAAAATATTTAAGCCAAGATGGGTCAAGGTTTTTGGATTGCCGGCGAGGGGTTAAACCACCGCCGTCGGACGCCATGGGAAAATTACTCGGCTTTCTGTTTATGTTTCTGCGGAAAGTCAGGTGAAAGATGTCGCTATAATAGTTATACAACGCCATCTGTTTTGTTGTGATTGGCTTGGATCGACTATGAATAGAGTCATGTTTTATGGGCCTAATAGATAGGCAATGTGTGAATGGTTGGCCTTTATTCATTGAGATTGGTTTTGATTAGATCTCTTCAACCTATTCTGGTGAATGTAAAAAATCATCAAATATATAATGATCTGATCTTTACCATTTTGTAAATATTTTTAATATATATATGTATATTTTCTTCTAATAATTTATTATGACTCAATATAAAAATCTTATGTGGTCTAAACTATAGAAGAATTTATTAGGTATTTTACTTAAGCTTTTAGAATTTGTCAAATATTTATATTTCATTGAATATTAATTTATTGTATCAATTGAATTTTATTCGATATTTTTGATGATTTAATTGTTAGTTTAATAAGCATATGCTGTAGTTTGATTAAAAATGTTTTAAAATGTGTCTTAACTTTTTCTTTTAAAATTTTTGAAATATTTTAAGTTTTGATACAATTTCTATTAATTTATAAAATCTAAAACGTGTTTTAATTTTACTTTGTGAATTGTTTATAAATGCCCGATAAACTAAAATTATTTATTTTTCTTGTACGCTTAGTAACTGTTATTCAAATTATTATATTTAAACAGCTTTATTAGTTTTAAAACTGCATTTTAATTTTCAACAGGAAAATAAACAGCTAATTTTGAGCCATCATAAACCAGCGACTTATATTGCACAAGAATCCACGAAGATATCGGTTAGCAGGTGGCGTTTTTTTTTCAGTTTCATCCAAGGCGGAGATGAGGCGACATGCTTATCAATATTTAATGTTTAATTCATGGCTCAAAACCGAAGCGAGCCGACACGCATTGCTAATGACAGATGTAATAATTTTTTGGCAATGCCAGCCAGATATTTAGCGAGCATTTTGCGAAACCCCCCTCCCGATGGATATGCATATATGCAAAGCTAAAGCTAATAACAGGAAATCCAAGCCACCCGATAACGAGCCACCCGGATTGCGCAATCCGGACGGAGAACTCACGGCGATCGGTGACTGATGTCCGATGTCCAATGTCCGAGGTATTTTGGGAGCAGGCGTATTAATTACATCCGCCCAAAGCACACGGGATTGGGGATTAGCTGGCCTACACTGAGAAAAACCATGGCTACTATTCACTTTTTGGATATTTAATTCTTTAGGAAAGTCCATTAATATATTTTCATATGGAATAAAATTTTAAATGCCTATCAAATCTATGTATTTAAATTTAAACTTTAATACAAACAAAAGTAACAATTTAATTTGTAATTATCATACATACATTTTTAATATCTTAAAAAAAATATATATATTAAAGATTTATTACAAAATTATGGGGTCTTAAAAGGGCTGATCATAAAATGTTTATAAATTTTTTTTAATTTCCAACTTCCCTATGAAATATTAAAAATAATATATAACCAATATTGAACTTATCCAAACACACCGTAATTTTTTCTAAATTAATATTTTCAGAAATATTTAGAACTTATTTATTATTAGTTTAGAAAGTCTTTTTCTTGAATAAATCCGTTGATTAAGCTAAGTTGATTGTAGTTTAATACAATTGAGCTAAACAATAGTTTCAGAGATATATATAACTTATTTTAAGTGTTTAGAAATCTTTTTCTCAAATAAATTAGTTTATTTTAGTTATTTAACCTAGATGAACTAAATATGAGAAAGACTGGTTCCACAATTCTGATTTTAATCACAGTTTTTTTGCTCAAATTATCTAATCATGGTCAAATTAATAGATATGTGTACTATTATTTCCAATTTAATCAATACACAATCTAGCTGGCTGTTGGCCCATATAATCTAATCATGGTCTGATCATTGCATGACTATATGTTTCAGAATTAAGTTAATTAGCATAGCATAGATTTTGACCAGTTTTCGGTACTTTACACATTGTATTTTAATTAACTAGGAAATGTATTTGTGCTACTAACCCTTGTATATTAACAAACACCATTGTTGTCCAATATATATATTGAGGGCTATTTGTTTTTCTGTGTGTAGTTGTAGTCCGGCAATAACTCAATAAGCCGAATCTGCATTTTCGAGCGAAATGCGAACGATGGGCCACAGCCAAAAGCAAAAGCGCAACTATCCGAAAATGTTGCGCAGCAGCCAACACCAACTAAACCCAAAACTAATGAATGTTGGCAAAAGATGATGGAAGTTCGACCATCGAAGGGGGAAATGGAAATGGAGATGGCGATGGCAATGGAGATGGAGATGGAGATGTTCGATCGTTGACGATGAAGATGCGTCAACTTGTTTTTGGATGGCTGAATGGGATGGCCCTTGTATAAAACGCGTGGCCAGGTCAATGGGGGCATCATTGATCGGTTGGACATCGAGGGCTCAAGCACGACCACTGTGAAGATGAATGTAAGCAGATTGCGTTTACTCAAGGCTAAGGATTACCATTAAGCCAAGGATACTCGCATATACCCAAACATTTATCAGTGATATAATTTGACAAGCATCTATTTTTTTTATTGTGACTCAAAAAATTGTGTGTTTTTTTCCCGTTCTCGGTTAAAGTTCTTTGGCGCCCTTATTGCGCTCACCATCTGTGCGCTATGTGGATTAACCCAAGCGGATATATCGCTCAAGCTGCGACAACAGCAACAGCAGCAGCAGCAACAACAGTCGCTGATCACCAAGGAGCAATACTACAAGACGGGCAGTGGCTTCCAGGAGAGTAACTACGGCAATTCCGGCTATCAGATCTTCGAGGTGCACAATCATTTCGCGGGCAAGGGCCCCGCCTATCTGCCGCCCCAGGCTCAGGCTCAGGGTCAGAGTTCAAGTGGCTCAAGTGCCTCAAGTCATGATGACAGCCTCGACTTGTCCTTCCTCAACTTTGCCGATGCTCCAACCTCAGCTCCAGCTCCAGCTCCAGTTGCAGTTGCAGCTCCAGTTGCTGCTGCTCCACTTTCCGTGCCCTTCCCTTCAAGCTATCAGCATGATTTCCAGCAAAAGGCAACGGTTTCATCATCTGCGGGCTACAGTGGACAGGCTTATCTGCCACCCACTGCTGCCACGCCCATTGTCCAGCAGCAGCAGGTGATCCACCAGCAACAACCTTTGATTCAACAGCAGCAACATCAAGTGGTGCAGCAGCAGCAACAGCAAGTGGTGCAGCAACAGCAACATCAAGTGGTGCAGCAGCAGCAACATCAAGTGTTGCAGCAGCAGCAACAGCAAGTGGTGCAGCAGCAGCAACAGCAAGTGGTGCAGCAACAGCAACAGCAAGTGGTGCAGCAGCAGCAACAGCAACAAGTGCAACAGCAATATAGCCAACAGAACTACAAAGCGCCCGGATATCTGGCACCCACTGGCGCCGAGGAAGTTGCCCAGCCAGTGTCCAATTACCAGGCCACGCCCATCAGCTACCCGCAGCAACAGAAGGTTTTCCAGGGACCAACCTATCTGCCACCCGTGAGCAGCACGACCACCATCACCGCTGCCGTTCAGACACCCACCAGCCAAGCCGAGTACCAAGCACCCAACTATCTGCCACCCCAGCAACAGCAGCAAGTGCAACAGCAACAGGTGCAACAGCAAGTGCAACAGCAGGGGCAACATCAGGTGCAACAGCAAGTGCAACAGCAAGTGCAGCAGGTTCAGGTACAGGAAGTGCAACAGCAGCAACAGCAACAACAGCAGCAGATTGCTGTACAGGATCAGGGTCAGGAATATCAGGCTCCTGGCTATCTGCCACCTGGCTATGAGTACTCCAATCCCGATCAGCTGCCTCTATCGCTGACCCAGAGTGTTGCCACCTCGCAGAGTGTGGCATCGGCCCAAAATGTGGCCACCACACAGAGTGTTGCTGCGGTGCAGCAACTTGCCGGCGAGTACCGTGCTCCTGGCTATCTGCCACCTGGCTACGATGAGCCACGTCCCCAAGTGCAAGGCCAGATCACCTACCAGCAGCAGCAGCAACCACAGCAACCACAGCAGCAACAGCAACAACAGCAACAACAGGTTTATGCTGCACCCACGCAAGCAACTGTTAGCAATCCTGCCGCCCTTCCCGATGGCTACGACTTTGTCAAGCCCGATAATGCCGAGGCAGCCATTGCCGAGCTGCACAGTCTGCAGACCCAAACGAAATTGCTGAAGCAGCAACAAGAGCAGCAGTTGCTCCTGCAACAGCAACAACAACAGCAACAGGTCGTTGTTCAGTCGCAGTTGCAGGTGGCCCAGCAACAGCAATCCGCTGACATTGTCTATGGCCGTCCCAAGTCGCAGCAACAGCAGCATCCTCTGGCTATCCAAAGCACCCTGGCAACATCTACTGCTGGTAGCTACCAGCAACATTTCAACGCCCCTGGTTACCTGCCACCAGCATCTGCTTCCCCATCTCCAGTTTCACACGTTTCCATTCCAGCTCCTGCCCCATTGGCTGCTCCAGCTCCAGCTCCTGTTGCTCCTGTTGTGCAGGCAACAGCAACATCTGGCTCTTACCAGCAGCAACAGCAGCAGCAATACAGGGCTTCTGGCTATCTGCCACCAGCTCCAGCTCCTGCTCCTGCTCCTGTTCATGTTGCAGCTCCAGCTCCTATCCATGTTGCTGCTCCGCTTCGTGTTGCAGCTCCTGCTCCAGCTCCAGTTCGTGTTGCAGCTCCAGCTCCAGCTCCAGTTCGCGTGGCCGCTCCAGCTCCCGCTCCCATTCATGTGACCGGACCCGCTCCCATTGCCATTTCCCTGCCAGCTCCCTCCCCCACCCAGGTGACCCACATCCACTCGCTGCGCAGCTACATGAACACCGTGCAGCCCTTCGCCCGCTATGCGCAGCCAGTGAGCGTACGCCAGCAACACCAGCACATCCACCATCACCAGCAGCAGCAACAACATCAGCAGGTGCAGCATCACCAAGTGCAACAGCAACAGATCATCGAAGTGGCGCCCATGTACCGTGAGCAATCGAAGCGACCACGTTTCTATGCCCCAGCCTATGTGAGCAATGTGCTGCCCCGCCAGCAACATCAGCCACAACAGCAGCAACAGCAGCAGCAACAACAGCACCACCTGCACCACCATTACCACCGAGTGGTGCAGAGCCAGAAACTGCAAGCCATACCCACGCTGAACTTGAAGGCACAACAATCGCTGCAGAAGTTCATGCCACGTGATGTCCAAGTGGCGGTGAATGTGGCCATGGCGGCAACGGCACCTGTGCTCGCACCACCCTCGCTTCGTGGCAGTTCGCGAGTGCGCACTGTACAGATCGTGAAGCCGCATGCCACCCCACGGACCTTCAAGGTCCTCGAAATACTCGATCAGGCGGGCGTGAAAACCATCAAGATTCTGGGGGCAACCAACGAGCAGCCGCAGGGACGTCATCAGGTGGTCAAGGTGGTCACCCAGAATGCGCACAGTGGCGCCGAGAGCCATGTCCAGACCGTCAAGATCTACGATGATGTGCAGCAGCCATTGCGCCTGCAGCCGCAGAATGTGGCAGCCAACAATGGCTACTTGCCACCAGCTCGTCCCAGATCGCGAATTGTGCGTCAGGCATCCAAACCGCTGCGCCTTTATCCCGTTGCAAGCCTCTAGAAGAAGAACGGCGGGTCAATTTGGGGGGGCTACGGCCCAAGGTCACCTCCCCGGCACTGATTAGTTGTTAATTTCATCATCCACAGCGTTTACTTACTTTTTTTTTTTCTAAATACACACATATGCCCGTTTTTATTGCCTCATTTCGCATGCATTTACCACTGTACCAATCGCATTCGAAATCAATTCATTTGCATGCAATAACAACCGATTTAAGCGATTCGAATTTCTTACCTAATAAATTAATACTTACGTAAAATATGTAAATAATTTGACTGTTTAATTTGTTGATTGGGGCGCTTGCTCTGGGGATTGCTAACATCTATCAGAGATGGCTGTGCAATTATATGGTATTTTGTTGATGAACTGAAAGTCATATGCATTGACAAAAATCAATCTTTTTAGGCTACATTTTTTATTTAGGCATTTAGCTGTGTCCTTTGTTATGTCAAGAGTTTTAGCTAGGCTTAGGATTTTAACCAGTCTAAAAGTATTGAATTTAGCTATCTTCTTTCGCGATTTTAGCTAGACTTTATGCTAGAAATTTAGCTAGTCTTTTAGGTAGTCTCTTAGCTAGACTTTTAGCTAGGCTTTTTGCTAGACTTTTAACTAGCCTTTTAACATAGCTCTCATCAATGCTTTGGTAGGCTTTATATCAGTTCTAAAGCAACTGTTTATTAAAAGAAATTATTGAAATAATTTATTAAAGTGAAATATCATAGCTAAGCGGGCATCTCTATGATGACGATGATCGCGGCGATGTCTCTGCTCTGTGATTAACCATCCCAAAGGCGTGTCTTTCCCTCCTCACACTCTCTCCCAACGCGTGACCTTCGCGGTGCTTTTTATTGGGGTTTCGGACAGTGGGTTTTGACGGGTTTTCTATTTGTTTGCTTCCGCTCTGAGTAAGAGGCGGACAGTGAAAGGCCAGGCCGGATTTAGGGCCTACACGTCTTATTTTCTGATTAGTATTATTACCTAATGAAATTTAAACTCACCTCACTTTATACCAAATATCTAAGGCTGTCCATTAATGAAACTAGATCATATTGTTAATATCAAATATTATCTTTTAATTTAATTTTTTACATTATTCTGATGGTTAGTTTTCAAGAGGTGATCCGAAAGTAAGCTGCTAAGGCAAGATTGAATTTTTTTAATTTCTTTTGGCGTATACTTGTGATTGAGAAACAGAGTACTAACGCTATAAAATAGTTAAGGTATTTATGAATTTATATTTTATATTTTTTTAAGTGTAAATAATTTGAATGCATTTATTGCCTTATTGATGTATACATCAGTGTTTGGACACCGCTCGATGACATAATTCCCATTTAAATGCAGCTAAACCCTGAGCCTAACAAAAACGATGACCCACTCTAATTTTTATTGAGCCAACGATGCTTACAATGAAATCATTGAAAAGTTGTCGGGACAGCCCTGCATAAAAAAAAAAACAATAATGTAGACTTTGATTTGAATTTTAAAACATGTAACTTAATACTAAATTCAACTTCTTAAAAAAACAAGTAAAGAATATAAATCAAATAGTAACCACGTTTTTTGTTTGATCATATTTTAATATGCATATTTTGATTTCAACTTTTATAATTTGTATTTTAAATAAACTAATTGCTAAGATTTCTATGATCTTGAAGTTATGGTTGAAAATTTGCTATTGCTGTATAAGGTATTGCTTGAAATATTACTTTTAAATGTCTTTTTATTTCTTGTAAGCTATTGAAAATATCTTTTGGTTAGAAGAGACTTCTGTAATTTCCCAGATGGATCACTAGACTTAATACTTTTACCAATTGGGCTTTAGAGTCATTTCCGATCTTGGCTTTTCCACCAAAGGTAAAAGTATGGGAACTTTTTTTACCCTTTTTACCAGTTCTAAGCCTCATTGTGTTACAGATAATTTTGGGTATATTTATGACCATAAGAGACTTCAGTTATTCCGCAAATAGTTACCTAGACTAAATAATTCTTTCTATTTGGACTTTTTTTGCTCAGTTCTGATATTGGTTTTTAAAATTTGGATTTGAGATAAACTAATTGTGCTATATGTTTTTAAAATAATATAATTTTTTTAATATCCATGAGATATAATTGCTTTCCTTGCTTTCCTTTAAAAGCTATAGACCAATATTTTTATGTTCCAACAAAGCTGAAACTTGTACCCTTTTCTTAGTTTTAACCCTATCGACTTATATTTTTGTTTAGACGAGACCTATTTTATTTCCCAGATGGATTCCCAGATATAATACTTCTTTCTATTTGGACTTTCCTGTTTAGATCTATCGTGGGACGAACTCCAGCCAAATGCCGCCCCTGTGGACACCCACGAAGATGGCGGGATCTATTTCGGTGCCGTGGCGGGTGCGAGGACTGACCAGGATCTCGAATTTCTGGACAATGGCCGCCAGAGCGGCTTTGGCCAGGGCCAATCCCAACCGCATGCCCACACACTGTCGCGGTCCGTTGCCGAAGCCCAGGAAAACGCCCTGCTGCTTGAAGCTCTTCAATCCGCCGTCCAGAAACCTTTCAGGCCGAAATACGTCCGGTTCCGGATAAAAATTTGGATCGTTGTGCAGGGCGTAAATGGGCACCATCACATTGTCACCGGGTCGCAATTTGAGCGGCACCGAATGGTGACTACCCCGCAATTCGTACTCCTTCGTGCAGGTCTTCGAGGCCCAACCGCCAGCTGGATAAATGCGCAAGCTCTCTGGGGAAAGATATTCAAAGGTATTTAAGGCCTTGAAAGTAACATATCTATGTATATATATACCACCCACCATTAAAACAGGCACTCAAATAGGGCAGGTCTATCAACGCGTCCAGATCCGGCAGATCCCCGCCAGGATTGACCTCCTCGAGTTCCTCCAACAAACGTTGCTGGCAGTCCGGATTGCGACCGAGCTGGAAGACGAAATATGATACAATTTATAACTATATTTGGGGGCAATCAAAAATTACATTTAGCTTATACGCAACTGGTTTTTCTCTTTAAAAAACTAATAACATGGCTCTTGTTATCTAAAAGAAGTATGTTAATAAAAAGGTGTTGCACACACAGATACATACATAAAATGTTTTCTAAAAAAAATATATAAATAAAATTAAAGCGTTAAAATGTTTTCCAAAATAAACAACAAATTTGCTACGTTTATCTTTAAACTTTTTCTATGGTTAAGGCACTCGGAACAGAAAAATGTCATAACAAAAATGTCGATTTTTTCTAAAATGCCATTTATGAATATATATATTTTAGTTATTTAGATATTTTTAAGTTTTGAAATAGTTTGATCCCTCAATAAAAAGTTTTTGGTACTTCAGTTGAAGATTTTGACTGTCAAGATAATGTTAGGTTATTTGTAAAATCACAAAAATCAGGCAAGAGCTAAAACATTTTGAGCAAAAATCAGATGAAACTTTAAATTAGAAATGGGAATGCGCAAATAATTTTGAGTTGAGTCAAGGAAAGAAAATAAAAACGGGCGATTTTAATGTTTCGATCGAACTTAAAGCAAACATCGATTAGTTTTGGAAAACCCCTTTCCTTATAAAGTTGTTCCCATCAACTTACGAGCAGCAGACAGTGGGCAATGCTGTTGGAGGTGGTGTCCATGCCGTCGAACATGAAGGTCATGGCATGCGAGGCCATGTCCTCCTCGCTGAGATGGAGGTCCCTTTGCAGCTCGAGCAGGTGGTTGATGAAGTCGTTCCGCTCCTGGTGTTTGGACCTTCGCAGACGCAGTGCCTCGCTGATTAGGTTGCCGAAGAAGCGATCGTAGGACCGGGGAAATATCTTGGGCCGCAGACGGCGCGGAAGATTTGGGAAGAGGCCACCGACGGCACCGGCAATGGCCAATCCCTTATTTTCCGCGGACATCTCCTGGTTTTGACGGACAACCGGCAGTGGATTATCGCTAAATGTACGCGCCTGGATACCCAGCACACAATCGAACAGGGATTCGCCAGTAAACCTCAGGCCGAGCTGTAAAAATTAGGGACATCAAATCAGCAAATTGGTAAACACTCCCTAGTTTATAAAATTTCAATTTTTGTTCCAATCATGAAGATTTAAAATCCCTGATTAAGAATTTTTTTGCTGATTCAATTTTGTAAATTTTTAAAGTAACAAATTACAAACAATTACAAATTGTTTAGCATGTTTTCATGTCTATTTTTTTTTGGTATGTCGAGTTTAAAATTCATTTCAGTCATTTATAACTCATTTTGCTGGCAATAGAACGTTTCTCAACTTTCCGGAACATGTTATATGGGTTCGTTATGTTGTTTCAAAAATGCACCTTAAAATAACCAATAAAACCGAAATTTAGTTATCGAGTCACTAACAAAAAAATTGATTAGTAAAATAAATATCTGTCTATTGAATTTAAAATTTCATATCGCATATTTAAATTAAAAAAAACTCTTAATATCCATTACAATGCATATTTAAATAAATATTTTAATACTAGAATATTTTAATGTGGAAAATAATGGGTTCTATTTGCTTTATTTTCATTGTATTAACGTTTAGGGTGGTTTAAACTTAAATTTAATTTTTTAGATTTTAAATCTCTTCCGAAACTATTTAAATATTAAAGTGGTATGAAATAGAAGCAAACAATATTTAAATTGGGTACGCAATACATGAATTTACGAAGACTTTTGTTTATCAGTGCACCATTAAAATTCAGTTAATCGCTTCTAGACGAATATGGATCTTAAACAATGCCAATTAATCTCAGAAATCAAATCATTAATCTCGGAAGTAAATGATAGATTTATTGTGCTTTGGTGCATTTGAGATACCTACATCAATGACATCCAGCTCATCCACCGACTGTTTGGCGATGAATTCGCACAGATCCCGACAGACGCGCTGCATGATGGCGTGGGTGGTGCGGATGCGACCGTTGGTCAGCAGCGTGGAGAAGATCGCCCGCTGGCGGCGCCACTCATCGCCCTCGAGCACAAATGGATTGAGGGCCACCAGGCGGTCCTTGGCGATGTCCACCATCTTGGAGGCGTCGTTGTCCTCAAAGTGGCTGAACGCGCTCACAAATATCTCGTTTACGAGGCGTGGCTCCAAAACAAGCAGCTTGGGTGCACGCAGTAGGAAGCAACCCACATAGCTGTGCGTATCCCGGTACTGCCTAAAAAAATTTTTTTTTAATAATTTTTAAAAATTTTGTCAAGAGTTTTATGACGGTTTCGACAAGGTTTGACAATTTCGAGCAATGTTTATCAGAAATTACAAAAAAAAAAAACAAACTGTTTTTTGTAGTTTTAAGCTTTTCTTTTGTTGTTACTTGGCCAAAATAATATGCACAGCTAAAAAATTGATTGATTGTCTAGCTAATGAATCCACAAATGGTTTCAAAAGAACCATTTTTTTAATTCGCATTTTTTTAAGGTGTTACATCATAATTTTTGCGAAAATTGGACAAAAATCAATTTTTTTAGCTGTGAATGCCAATTAATTGCAAATGTTTTGACGAATTCGAAGGATATATGTACATTCTAAAATTCTTGCATTATTTATAATCGTTACGCTCCCTGATTTTTTCTATATAATACGATATTGGAGAAATCACAATACCCACATGTAGATATCGCGCATGTCCATGGTGAAGTGCTGGCGTGGCCATACCATACTGGGAAAGGAGCCCAGGAGGGGAAGGACCCGGGGCTCCAGGACCCCGCGCCGCCGCCAGTGGCCAAAGTTGGACACCAGGAAGGCGTAGATCAGACCCAGCAGCGTCGCAATCCCCAACAGCAGCGATCCAAACATGACGGCGATCCCACGAAAACTGAGTGGGTGGAAACTAAATCAGATGTGCGGATTCTGGGGGAGATTGTAGCGTGCTTCTATTCCATTTCATTTCTCATTTCGCAATGCGCTTTGCGTGTGTCTGGGAATTATGGGGGTGTCATTATCGAATTAACCAACGACCTGCTCTTATATCAGAACAAGTAAGGAGCTGTACTATATAGTCGACCGTTGAACTTTTATAATCCGAAAGTTCGTATCATAATATAAGCATTTACCTATAGTTTCTAATAATTAAAAAAAAAACTTCAATATATATATAATAATTTAGTTGAAAAACTTAATATTTTATAAATATATATTTAAAAAATGTTAAGTTACACCCGAAAAGGTATTGACTGTATTTTAATGGGGATCAATATTGGGACTATAGGTTTTTATAAGGTTTTTTAGAAAATGTTTATAAAAATCAAAAACTATGCAGTAAAAGTTCAAATCAACTTGCATGATAAATCCATTTTTTATCGGCGACAAACCAGAACAAAAGACTCTTATAAAAGGTCATAGGTCAAGAGATTGTGGATCAGTTGGAGATAACCCCGTTTAAAGCTCTGTCAACAGCCTGGCAACCCTGAGCGAAGCAAAGCCACCAGACAATGGAAACACTTAATTCAAGAAAAAATGCCATTGTCGAGTTGTGATATATATAAATTTTTTTTTGGCCACAAATATTTATTCACCCTCGGCAAAAAGTTTTCTTCTTTGTCAAACTGAGAAAACACTTGCAATACCTAATCCTTTCATTAGGCTCCACAGCAAATTGTTTGTTTGTTTCGTTTATAATAAAGCGGATTGGATACGCTTTGTTGCTCAAATTGAGACACTGACCTAACCAATCGACTAAAAAATCGAGACCCTATTAAGGGATTTGTGCAGTAGTCGTCTCCGCCATCAATCATTAAAGATTATACAATGATTGATGATATTATGTAAACGAAATACCCTAATCTCATACCACAGAAAGGGAAATTAATAACAGCATTGGGCTTAGATTAACTTCTTTCTACAATTTCAATTATAGCATTTGTATTTTTTAAATTTGATATTAAAATCAAGCTAATTAAATAATAAAACATCTTTAATAAGTGTGATTGAGCTACTTTTAAACTTTTGGGATCCTGTTGTGGTAAAATATCAAAGTTTCAGCATAAGTCAATGGCATTTTTATTGAATTGTTAACCAAGTTCGAGAATATTTTGCTTAGTGTAGTTCCAGTTCCCACTGGTCAGTGACATTGACCGCCGCGAAACCAATTGATTTGGCCTCGTGCAACGAAATTTAAGCAAATTCAACCTGGAATGATATTGGATAACTTTTGAGGAAATTTAGACATATTGACCCTGTTTTTTTGCTTATATATGAACATGTAGTTTTGTTAACTCAATATATTAAGATTCTAAAATTTGGTATATCGGATCGGACTATTCTTTGCTGACTTCGAATATTGCGGCTATATATAGAGTAGTCTCCTTGCGCACGCTTACCAGTGGTTATCGTCACTACATGATTATGATCCATAGTGATAATTGTCTTATTTTTCAAAAAAAAACTCCAAAAACAGAAATTTATTTTTGGCCTACTAAAAATTAAAATCCTAGTAAATATTGCTTAAAACTTGATATTGTCATAAAATTTTCAATCAGCTAAAAAATTTTATTTTTGACCAATTTTCGAGGAAAGTTATAATGTAAACTAATGTACAAAATTCAAAAGCTGGCTCAAAATAATCGGTTGCAATGAGACTCTCGCAGATAGTTCCAGAACAATTACAAACGTTTAAAATAGAAAAACAAAAGTTTAAATTGTTTCCTTCAATAAGTAAAGAACAAAGCAAGTTCAAAACAAAAACATAATTAGTTTTTGACTAGTTTGAAATTATTACTAACAAACTTCTTGAAATATAAAGATTTGTAAAAATTGTGTAATAACTTAAAGTAAATTTATTAGCATCAACAGCATTACTGTTTCCTTAAAGTAGATTTTATACCCTTGAATAAAAAACATTTTATTTTTAGTTTTTTTGTTTATGCATTTATTATATTATATGGTGAAATCAATTCTAAAATCGACCTCTCAAAATGAATTCTATGACACTTTCGGTTATACAAATGAATTAAAAAAGTTGTATTTTTTTGTTTTTTTTTGTAAGCTTTTGTTTTGTATAATTTTGGATTAACTAAGGGGAAAGACATGCGACGACACGAAATGAACATCAGATAGGATGTCCACATATATGTAGATATATATACTCGTATATGTAGATATAGGTTTTAAGTAAATTGTTTGCCAATTTGCGTATCTATATGTTGTGTATATATATATATATGCGAAGTCATATCCGTAGACTTAGGTGGCTAAAAAACGTTTTGAAAATCGAAAAGACAAAATGAAGACGAGATAGTTGCAAGTATAAAAAATATGTTTCCTCTCACAAATCTTTCATCCTCATCGTTTTTATATAAAATCTTCAAACTTCTATATCCACAACCTCAACCTGGCCAGCAGTATGCGCGTTTGTGTATGTTTTTGTATCTATGTTTATTTTTTCAGCGACCTTAGTTTTTTATTTTTTTTTGTTTTAGGTGGAAACAGGAAGCGGCAACATAAGCAAATTTTCGTTGCTTATCTGCGATTGATTTTTGATTATTTTTGGGATGGGATTTCTCAGTATGCTCATCTATAATATATTAATGTGTAGATCATCGTTCAACGTTTATAAAAATATAATATATGTTTGTATGTTTCGCCATGCAGTTTGAACTGTTCTCTAAAGACTTTACTTTTGGGATGTCGATAATGCACCAATGTGGGAATATTTATACTATAAGTATTTCTGTAAATGGATATGTTTTTTATTTTCTCATTTATTTCGCCAACTTTATCATTGATTTTACGTTAAGGTTTTTGTGTGAGCTTTAAAATTTTCCTGGAATGAATTCTCGTAGCAGACTTGACGAATTAACAAAAGTTTGAATGCTGAAGGCAGAATCAAGAGTTGGAATCGGTTTATCTTTACAATTAAAAGTGCATTTCACAACTATGGAAGGGGATGTCTGTATAATAGTAATAATTTTTAAATATATATATATATGTTTTTTGTTTGTACTCCCCATTCAATAGTCACAAAACGCACAGTGGGTTGTTGAACTGGACTTCATTGGTTTACATAGAAAAGTATACAAAACTAAATTCCTACTTAATTAAGGAAAAAAAAAATGTTGGAAAAATAAGCGAATCGAAAGAAGGTGAACATCTTTTTCGAAGAAGGGCTTAAAGGAGTTTTTTGTTTTTTGTTTTTTCTTTAGTCTAGGTTTAGGGTAAGTAGAAGGAGTTATTATGCTATTACATATTTCATATTTTGTGGTTCATTGTGGTTACTCTTATGCGCCTTTCGATTTCTAGATATATGTTTATGTATATTTAATATTGTATTGTATTTCGCCTCTCGTTCGTTCTACGCTCTTCTTCTCTTTTCTTTTCTTTTCTTTTCTTTTTTTTTGTTTTATTTTGTGTTTGTTAAATTTTATTTTAAATATCACGGCATTCAGCTGAGGTCTGATCTGATCTATTTCTTATGCTTATATATCTTTCCGCAAGATTTTGTTTTCTCTCTTTTTTATTGCATTGGCATTTCACATTTTTTAGTTTTCGGGGGGGCTTTGTGTGTTTTTTTCAAACATCAAACAATTAAGAAAAAAATAGGCTTCCGGATATCGACTATCGACTACTTTTGGACTAAACAAAACAAGCAAAATTAAACTACAATAGCTCGTCAGAGACACAGATACAGATACGAATACCAATGCCGATGCCGATGCAGATGGCGATGGAGATGGAGCTACAGATGGAGATACAGATACAGATACAGATACGGGTATACGGGGTAGAGCAAGCACCAAAAGCTATGTCTAGGGATCCTCGCCAGCATCACGCGGACTGAAGAGCTGGGCGCAGATGCGACGCAACTGGAGCTGACCGCCCAACAGGCCCGCCCTCTGCATTAACTCTCACAAATTCCGTCGTCCCAGCTGGTGATCCTCCCGTTCCCGATCCCGATCTCGTTCTCGATCCAGATCAGCATCCTCCTCCTCATCATCATCCTCAGCCTCATCGTCATCCACGCCATTTAGATCAACGTCCACCTCGAAACGCGATGAGCCACCACCTCGCTGGGGCACTGCTCCAGTGGCGGTCGCACTCTCGCTGAAGTGCATCAGATTGGTGTCCATCAGGCCGTTGGTCAGGCTGAGTGGCGGCGACGACTGCGACGGCGGTCCTTCTAGCGAGAGACGACTGTTGGTGCTGATGCTGCTCAGGCTCAGCTGATCGTCGAAGACCTCGATGTTCACCACCGTGGAGAGTTCACCGTGATCGCCGAATGAATGCCGAATGGGATAATCTGCGGCATCCGTGACCTCTGGTTTCTGGCCCTTGTTGCTCAGCATCGTATTGGGATTTAAGTTGCCTTTGGTTGGGATTATGTTGTTGTTGATGTTATTGTTGTTGTTGTGGGCCGTGCCATCCAGCTGATCCGTGGTAAAATAGTTTCCTAAATAAGAAACACATTTAACATTATTTTAAGTTTAAATTTGGAATATTTTAAAATTCAATATATTTCATATAATTTTTTCTATATTCTTCACAAAATGTATAAAAACATTATAAAATAAAATATATACCCTAAAAAAATTTGTAGGGTATTCCTGGAATAACTTTACTTATTTATAATATCCAATATTTTTTTGGAATTAATAGTTAATTCAAAATATTTTATTTATATTTTTATTATTATTAAACGCTTGGAACTTCTATTGAAAATTATATTTTTCCAAAGAATATCATATTCATATTAATATACAAGCATAATCGTAATAAACGGGGGAAAAAAAAACAATTTTTTTAAACCTAGCCAAAAGTAATGGCACTTAAAATATCACAAAACCATTCAATAAACATTCCATATTTATATTTTGAAAATATATTTCATAATTTTTAAGGTATTAAACCTGCAAAACAAGATCCCCAAAACCCAATGAGAACATCTTACAGGCGCTTTTGTTGTTTTAACTAAAATTGCATTTATTTAATGATACATCATTTAATTAAATTAAATTTTAGTGTTTAGCGATTTCCTTGCCTCCTTTTTTCATCCAACTATCCATCTCTCAAACGTAAATCATAAATACTGCGAGTTAAAAATAATTTGTATACGAAATATATGTACAGAAAATAATTGATTTCCTCACTTTTTACAATCTTTTAAAGAAAATAATGGAAATAAAAAAAAAAAAAAACAAATTAAAAAACATACACAAGAGACCATTTTCTAATAAATTTAATAAATTAACAAACATCGAGTATGGTAGAGAAACAATACAATATATAAAATAAAAAAGAGACTTTGAGTGTGGGAGAAACTAGATGAAACTTAACTGAGTATGGAGAAAACTTAACGAAAGCAAAGCCTAAAACAAGTTCAAAACAATTGTGACATTGGACAATTAGTATTATAATCAATATGTTTTATAGATATTAGTTGCTTGCAAAAGTTACACGCAGTTGGATTTTGGGCAGCAGAGAAAGTGTACAATTTCTTGGGAAAATCATTCTATGGATTTAAATTGATACTTCTATGGAGTTGCATTTTTAATTAACCATTAACTCCAACTGTGTGCCCTGCAAGCTATAGCTGCATGTGTGTGTGTGTGTGTGTGTAAGCTAAGGGGCAGGATATCAACTTTACAAATTTCGATTTCCACACTGAGCGGATTTTCGGGGGCCTTTTGTATATACAATTTGAGAGCATTAATTATTTTTGATACTTGATCAGTGTTTACGTTTAGGCCTTTTTCTTTCCTATATATATTTATATATATAATTTTTGTGTGATTTATATAAATATATCTGGTTGTATTTATAATTTCTAGAAGTGTATAGCTAACAACATAACTTTGCACTTAAAAATCGGTTAGTAATTAAATATTTTTTGTCGCTTTTCCTCGTTTGTTTTTATGTTTGTTTTTTTTTTTTTGTCTAAACGAACAGCTACAGTCGTTTTGTTATTTTGTTTCGTTTTAAATTATGAATTATAACTAACTTTTTTGTTTTTCTTTTCGATAAATCACAATTTTTTTGTAGAGTTTTGTGTTTTGTTGTTTTTTTTGTTTCTTGCGTTTTTGTTTTGTGGTTACTGAAATGATATACTTTTCTCGCACACAGCTAATAGTTAAGAATCTAGAGTCATTATCTGTCGTGGTTGCTTGTCGCTCTTGTATTTATAGCTTTTAAATTGCTGGGTGTTTGCTGCTGTCCTCTGGTATGTCCCCTACTACTTGTCCCTGGTTCTGTCCACCGGCTGCTCACCAACTTCCTCCTGCTTCAAGATGGGATCGTGCTGTTCTGGCTGATCTGGCTGATCAGGATCATGATCATGATCATGGTCAGGTTGTCCTGGCTCTTCCGATGGTAATGCATGATCTGAAGGAGGAGAAGGAGGAGGCGCTGGCGGATGATGCTGTTGGAGCGCATGGGCAGTGGGTGCTCCATCTTGTCGATTGGTGGCGTACAGATGCCACAGCACCACCAGGCTAAAGACGCACAGCAAACAAATCGCTAATTCTTATCTCTTGCGTCGCTTCGTCTTCTTCTTTGTGGCACTTGGCGGGCTGGCCACGCCCACGCCCAATCCCACAGAAGTTACGCCTCCGGCGGCGGTGCCTTGGGACGTGGCAGAGGAGGTGGTAGCACCCATGGCCATGCTGCCAGCAGCACCAGCTGCCCCGCTGCCAGCGGAATGGGATGGCAAGCCAATGCCGAGGCCCAGGCCCGTAGGATCCGGATGAATAGTGGTCTCCACGCTGCTCTCCTCCGCCGAGGATGTGGACGAGGAGGTGGCCGCCTCGATGGCGGCTATCAGATTGATCTTGTGCTCCAGCTTCTTGGTCTTCAGCTTGTGCGGTGCGGCCTGGGTGGTGTGTGTGGCGGAGCCGTAGACCAGATTGTCATCGGATGTGGTGGCCGGCAGGGGTCCGTCGCTGTCCGTGGTGGTAGCGATGGTCGGGGCCACGCCACTGCTGCCAAAGTGCAGCAGATCCTCGGGCAGTGATTGCTCTGGCTCCTTCGGATGCAGCTCCTCCCTAACTCCATCGTCGTCGTCATCGGACATCGCCTTGGCAGCAGCAGCATCAGCACCAGCACTAGCTAGCTCCTGCACTTCCAGCTGGGAATCACACATGCTAATGCTGATCAGTGGACGCAGCTCCTCATCGTCCGGTTCTCGATCTCTTTCCAGCTGCTGCTGCTGCAGCTGGAGATGCTTCAACCGCTTGTGCTTCTTGCTCAATTTCTTGACAGGTTCCTCCATAATGACAATCTCCTCGGATCCGGAAGAGTTGTTCGATGTGGAGGTGGATTTCTGCAGGGCCAGTGCATCAAGGCTAATGTATACGGGTGCTTCTGGTGTGGTATCCACCTCGGCCTGGGCTTCTGCCTCAGATTCCCGCATCCGTTCGTTCTGCTCGTTTTCATAGTGCAGTGAACCGCACAGGGCCAGAATCAGATTCTGTTCGGTAAATCCCCGGGGTGGCGGGGAAATCTTGCGTGGGATCGCTGCATTCTCCTGCAGCGGGCTTTCAAAATTGATTAGACTGACCGGTTCCTTTTTGGAGTCGCCCTTGACCTCCAGGGGTTCGAGAGCAGGAAGCGGTGGCAAGGCGTCCAGTGGCTTCAAACCGCAGAGGAAGTCCTCGAAGTTGTCCTTGACCTCTTTTGGAGGAGTGGTGAGTCCTGGCAGCAGTTTCTCATCTCGCTTCTTCTCGGGACTCATTTTAGTGGGTTTCTTGCCCAGGCTGGGATAATCCTGAGCCGCGGGCAGTTTTGGTGGAGTCTCTTCGATGACTCGCCTCCAGGGACTGGTCACATTGGCCGGGATGAGGGGTTTTTCGGTTTCAAGAGGCTTTTCCTTTTCCTTCTCCTTGACCTTTTCTTTCTCTTTGCGCTCCTTGAGTTTGTACTCTTTTTCCTTCTGCTCCTCTTTTTCCTTCAGTTTCGCCTCCTTTTCAGATTTCTCTTTCTCCTTTAGCCTTTCTTCCCTTTCCCGTTCTTTTAGTTTTTCTTCCAATTCTTTTGCCTTCAGCTTCTCCTCTCGTTCCTTCTCCTTGAGCTTCTCCAGTCTTTCTTGCTCTTTGAGCTTTTCTTCTCTCTCTTTTTCCTTAAGTTTCTCCTCCCTTTCCTTTTTCTTGAGCTGCTCCTCCCTCTCCTTGATTTTTTCTTCTCGCTCCTTCTCTTTGATCCTTTCCTCCTCAAGCTTTTCTTCTCTTTCCTTCTCCTTAAGTTTTTCTTCCTTCTCCTTGATCCTTTCAGCTCTTTCCTTCTCCTTGAGTTTCTCTTCTCGGTCCTTCTTCATCCTTTCTTCTCGCTCTTTTTTGACCTTTTCCTCTCTTTCTTTCTCTTTAATCTTTTCTTCTCTTTGCCTTTCCTTGAGCTTTTCTTCTCTCTCCTTCTCCTTGATCTTTTCTTCCATGAGCTTCTCTTCCTTTCGTTTCTCCTTAAGCTTTTCTTCTCGCTCCTTTTCTTCTCTTTCCTTCTCCTTAATTTTTTCTTCCTTGATCTTTTCTTGTCTCTGCTTCTCCTTTAGCTTTTCCTCCCTTTCCCTTTCCTTTTCCTTGATCTTTTCTTCCTTCAGCTTTTCTTCTCGTTCTTTCTCCTTAATCTTTTCTTCTATTTCCTTGAGCTTAAGCCTTTCTTCTTTTTCCTTTTCCTTTAGTTTGGCTTCCCTTTCTTTTTCTTTAAGCTTTAGCTCTTTCTCCTTGGCTTTCTCCTTTTCCTTGTCGATTGTCATGGTTGCCACTGCTCCGCCTGGTTGTTGCTTCTTTTTGGCAATCTGCGGGGGCTCTTTATCAGTTTCCTGCTCCTGCTCTTCCTCTTCCTCTACCTCCTCTTCCTCGTTTTCGTCCTCCGCATCCGGTGCACTTGTCTCCACATGCAAACTTAATCCCTGGGCACTGGCACTGCTCACCATGACAGCAGCAATGCTGCTCTTGTTGGCCAGCAAGCTATCGGCATGATCCGATTCCGGATCCGAGTCTTCCTCCTGGACTTTCATCTCCTCCTGCGCCACAATCTTGTCCTGTTCCGGGTTCTTTGATTCCGGCTTCTTGACTTCGCTGACTTTTCCGCTGGTCTTTTGCTTGTTACACTTGGCCTTCTTCGCTGATTTCGCGATAGCGGTTGTGGTGCCCTCATCCTCGGAGGTGCCACTTCCACTTTTCTGGCTGGCAGTTTTACTGTTGTTGATGTTACCCTTCGGCTTGTTGAGATGCGAAAGCTCCGCGAACTTCTGTGCTTGCGCAGCATCCTCGTCGGCTGCCAGGGATCGCAGGGTTTTCTGCTGTTGCTGCTGCTGCTGTTGCTGCTGTTGCGCCTTGTGCGATTGCTTCTGGGATTTCTGCTTCTCCTTCTGGACGAGCACCTCATCCACCTCCTTGGCAATCACTGGTACAATCAATTTATTGACCAGCACCACTGGCGGTTGGCAATTAGCCTGGTCCTGCTCCGATGGCGTGGCCTCCTCCGCCTTGCCATCCTTCTGGAGGAGCTTTTGCCTTTCGACCGGATCACTGCAGAAGATGGCCACCACCGGCCGGAAGAGGGCTTCATCGCAATTCTCATGGATCACCGACTCCTCGGCGGCCAGTTGGCCCACCACCTCGTCCAGCATATCCGTCTGCAGTTCACCGGAGATGCCTGCATTTAGATCCGTGACCGTGCCCAAGGGATTGACCATTTTCTCCACGCGGGAATAGCTGCAAATGTTGGGCAGGACGGAAGCCAGGGCGGAAATGGAATCCATCGAGTGCAAATGCGTCTCCGTCGTCTCCGGCTGGTGCTGATGCTGATGCTCCTCCACCTCGTCCAGGTCATTGAGAGTCTCGTGCTCGGCAAGGGCATCGTAATAGCAGGCATTATCACAATTCGAGGACAGACTTCCTCCGCCGGCGGCCAAGAGATGATCCGCGGAGGCCGGGACCGAGGAGGCCAGGTGATCGCCACATGGCGGAGCAGCCTGATCTGGAGCTGCTGGAGACGGGGCAACAACGGTGGGGCACAGGACACAGAACACAGAGCGGAGAAAAAGAGAAATAGAAGAGAAAACAAATTATGAGAAAAGCGCATTTTGGTTCGTACAGGAAACAAAAAACAAAAAGCCAAAGGCGAATTTTGATTTGGATCTTGATTCGAAGTTTTGAAAATGTTTAATTTGAAAATACATTTAAGCTTCTGTTGATTTTTTTCTATTTATAGTTTTTTAATACTTTAGCTAAGCTTGGTTTTTTTTATTGGCAGTAGCGCATTTGAAGTCTTTTATTTTTCGAGCAGTTGATCGATCGAAAAGGAAGCGGAAAACACTCAAAACAAAAAAAGGAAAATCGAACGTGAAACAGAAATTAAAACTTTGTAAATTTATAATATACATTTGTTCGGGCAACTCAAAAAATGGAAAACGAAAATAAACTTTTTAATCTGTCATGTTTTTTTTTTCTGTTTTTTTTTTTTTTGTTTTAGTGTGAAAACGAAAAGAATTATAGATTAAAGTTAAGAAAATAGCGTGACATTGATTTTGGGGAAATAATAAAGAAACTGGATATTGTTTTATAGTGAATTTTGAATTGCGTTTTTCGAAATTTTAATGGCTTTGGCTTTTTATTAAAAGATTCATGTAGATTAATGTGCTCTTTCCTCTCAACCGTTCTTTCTCTCTCTTTCCCTCTTGCTTTCTCACTCCCTCCATCTCACTCGCCCCCAATCACTCTATGGCTTTCTCACTCGCACGTGCAATGAACTTTTCGATTTAGAATTTTCCTTTCGTCATTTTTAGCAAACGAATAAAATTGAAAAGTGTATTAAATAAATCACGAGAGACAAGGGACATAAAGGGGGGCACCCATAAAAGGAATGAAGCAGAAGAAGAAGAGGCAGCGGCGAAGCAGAGGGTTGAAAGGTGCAACACTGTGGTGAAAAGTGCAACCATGTGGTGAAAGACGTAAGATTAAAGGTTAAAAACATACAAAACGGGGTGAGCAGAGCAAAATTTAACAGGACGTGTTGGTGAAAAGTGTGGAACGTGAACAGACGTGTTAAAAAGGGGCAACAGGTATAAATAAATGCTAAAATGTATACAAGAAATTTAAACGAATACCAATAATGCTAAAAAATATGTGTATTGAAGAGGTAAAAAGTAAAAGCGTATAATAAAACTTAAACACTGTTAAAATAAATTTATTCGAATAAGATAAATGGCAAAAAATAAAAAAACAGAATTAAAAACAGTGTTGAAAAGCATAAAACTGGTAAGAAATGTTTAAGAAATCTTAAAATTATAAATAAATGTGTAATCAAGAGTGTTAAAATGTAAGAGTCTAATAAAAAAGCAAAAGGGTTATTGAAAAAAATCAATATGTTTCTTAGTGAAGAGAAAAGCCATCAAATCGATAGATGGAGTACCAAATTTTTTATGGAAAATCTGACAAGATCGGGGATACGTATATATGTATATTTCCATACATTCTAACCGATCTGTCCGACCAAATTCCAATGAATCTAGTGTACGACAACGACAGGATTAAGAACGACCAATGGGGCAAACAAATGTTAAAAGTAGATTTGTATATATGTATGGTTGGGGTTTTGTGTGTCTTTTATTTGGATAGGGGCACTGCTGTGACAAAAATGTGGTTAGCTTAAATTTAGTTGTCATTAAAATAGAAATAGGTTAATTGTAGTTGTATCTCAATTACGGCTAGACAAAAACACCAAATAAATTCTATGTTAATTTGTATAAATGACTTTTGTTCCGACTAGAAAAATTAAAGTTCAACAACTAAAGTTTTAAAAAAAACCCAAAACACTTACACCACAAAAACACTCCAATACACACGCTCACACGAACACACAGAGAGAAAGAGGAAAATGTAAATGGATGAAGAATGAGGAGAAAGCTTTGTGAAATGAGAAAGTTGAGTTCAAGGATCATGCAAAGGTGAGAGGTAGGAGGGATGGCTGTAACATCATCATCATCAGCATCATATCATCAAAGTTCATCAACCAACAACCAATGCCAATTTCGTGGTGTTTTATAACCAAGATTAAAAAACATTTTTTTTTTTGTTTTTGTTTGACCACCAAAAATATTTTGAATTAAACATTTTCATTTTGAAAGCGTTCGAAATTAAAAAATGTAAAAATATATATACTTAGAGATAAATATGTGTTTTCAAAACAAATCACAAAAGTAAATAAAAATAAAAAGATTTAAAAGTAAAGGAGAACATAAAATACGTTTGTATAGATCGTAGACAATTAATAAACAGATTTGTGAAGACATCAAGAACCAGCTAACGATCAATGAGGATGCCTCTGATTCCAGGGATTTATTCACTGTGTGTGACCGTAAACAAAACGACCACACAAGCAAAAAACCCTTGCCAAAATCATCGGCTAGTCTTGCACAACATGCGATATTTATGTATACATCTATCCAGGACGGTATGGGATTGGCTAGCCACTCACCCGTAGTCTCTCGTCGCGCCGCTGCCGTGGATGGGGACTCACGCATGGCGTCCGCCAAATCCTCCTTTAGACGTGTGTCGCCATGTCCATAATCTGAATCCAAGTGGCCATGTCGGAAGCGATCCATCAACTTGGGACTCTGCTCAATGCTGCCTATTAGGTCCATAGAAAATACACGTTAGTTCTGGATGCAATTGGACCTGGGATGATCCTCTACTCACTGTAAGATCCCGATTCGATTAGAACCGGTACTCCGGCACCGCTGCGTCCCGTCACTGCAGAGCTACCGATGCCACCTCCGCCCACCGAAGTGGCCGCATTTAGAGGCATGTTCAGCGGACTGGAGCGATCCTTGCCGCCCACCGAACCCACTCCCAAGGCCGAGGAGGCAGCTGCCGTCGAGGGCAACGCGGTGGTGGTCGTCTTGGTAACGCCTATCTCCACAGCCTCCGCATCGACGTGGTTCAGATTGGAACTGGACAAAGTAAAACATACACGTGAGTTTGACTAAATTAAAAGTCTTCAAATGACTACTACAAAATTAAATGGAATGCAGTAACTCGGCAGTATACAAATGAACTAAAGATCATTCCTCACCCGCTGGGCGTATTGTAGTTCTTGAAGACGAACTGCGGACCCATCCACAGGCGGCGATGGGGACCTGCATGCGTGATGATCTCCACCTGGGCCAGCCAACTCTCGGCCCGCTCGTCCGGCTCGTCGAAATGATGGGCGCTGTCCAGCAGCAGGCTGGCATGGCGATCCTTGATCAGCCAGTTGTCCAGCGACAGCGGTGGTATGATTTCTTGAGATCCATCCCTGCGCCGACCCAGATTCCACTGGGCGCGGGCCTCCACCTCCAGCTCGATGGGCGTGTCATCACAAATCTTCTCTTTGGCAACATCTGCAATTGATCGGTGATTGCCATATATATGGTAAGCTGATAGAAAACCCAAAAGGCGGACAACTCACGTGAGGCTAGCTTCGTGTCCAGGTCATACTGAATAAGCGCCCCGTGGCCGGCCATCACGAAGAGCGAATCCACCGCCTTGCGCTGGACGCGGTGCGGCTGCTCTCGTGTCGCCATTGGTGGCTCCAGCAGCCAGGAGCGCGACTTGGCGAAGATGGAGCAGACGCTCAGCGGCTTGCCACTGTCGTCCGACAGCGAGGAGAGGCGCTGTCGCTGCCGTTGGCTGCTGCTGCTGCCCACGCCGACGCCTCCATGACCGCCGGAACTCACACCACTGCCCATGCCTCCGCCGCCCCCGGACACCCCACCACCGACGCCCAGACCCGCCGATCCTGGCGGCGATCCGAGGGTAAAGGGCTGGCGCAGCTGGGCCAGCGGCTGCACCACCGACGGCCGCGGATACGGCGGCAATGTGGGATTATGATACGGCTGCAGCGACTGCACGAACGTCGTGCTCTCCGAGTGCGAGATCGGCGAACTGGAGCGCCCGTCTGCTCCCAAACCGGCGCTCCGGTGGAAGCGCGACAACTTGTTCACCACGTGCAGCGAGGTGTGCGTGCGAACGCCCATGGCGCCACCGTAGGGCGTGATGGGAAAGACGTGGGTGGTGCCGCGCAGCGTGGACACGGCAGCCCAGCGCGAGTCCAGCGAGAAGGCGATATGCTGCACTTTGGCGCTTGTATCGCCCCGATGCAGCACGTACAGGTGGTGTACGGCGGCCAGGCTGGGACCCACCGGATGCGGCTGCACCCGGAACACATGGAAGTCGTGTCCGCGCCGATCGGCGGTAAGGAGCAGCATGCCGGAGCTGTCGAACTCCATGGCCACCAGAGCCTCGCTGTGGGCGACGAAGTGGGCCACGATCGGATCGCCACCGCCCTGTGAGCCGCCCATGGAGCTCAACGGGGTGCCCGTCGTGGGACTGTAGTCCTTCACCGGATGCTGCAATTAAAAACAGTTCGGTTCGGGTGTGTTTCAAATGGCTTAGCAATGGCAGAATTGTCCTAGTACCCACCTTCACATCGATGATGGTGACCACACCCGACTGCTTGGCATCCGGACCGCCACTGGCCGAGTCGAAGCTGCTGCTCTTGGAGCTGGCACCGCTGCCGGCGGTGGTGCCCGTCAATCCGGCCGCCACCTGCTCGCCCAGTTCGCGCAGTCCCTTGCCCAGAGATTTGGCCGCATTGAGCACAGTGGCCGTGTAGCTGGGAACGCCCTCGCCATCGCATCCGCCGCCGCTGCGCTTGGAGTGCAGTAGCTTGTGCTCCGCATACGCCAGCCAGCGTGGTCCCAGCGCAATGGGATTGGGGTTAATCCTGCAGAGAAAGAGTAATTCATTTGAATTAGTTCACATTAATTTTAAAATTAAGTCAAACTTTTCCTAATTCACATTACTAATCGAAAAAAAACTACAATTAAAGTTACCCGCTGCAACGGTAAAATAAAAATTGCCTTCATAAGCTCCTAATTATCATTATCTCTATAAATTTATTTAATTCGAAATGCTTTGGTGATCAGTTTAATTCTATTTTTGGCTAAATGATTAAATCGTAGGTACAATTCGGCGTGTTCAATATTATAATAATCCATTTTTATCATGAAATGTTGGCGTTTTGCTTCGACTTGAAAGATTTAAAAGCTTTACTTAAACGAATTAATATGGATTTATTAGAAGTAAATAACTTGACTAAAAACTGAATAATCAAAAAGTATTAAGAAATGAATAAGAAAATATACAAATAATACAACAATGAATGTTAAGTTTGAATTGAAGGATCATAATGCGCCTATCTTAAAAAATTAAATTATTCAACTATTTTTCTGCTACTTTTATTGTTAATTATAAGTTAAAGTACCTTTTCCTGTCAAATGTATAAATAAACTTTTGTGACTAGTGCCTAAAATTTAAGTTTGTGAAACTTGTAGCACTAGGAAATTTTGATTAAATAAATACAAATAAATAAGGGCAAGAATACAATAATTCCGGTCCCAAGAAGTAAATTTACTCACCCCGGACTGGGATAGCAGGTGGTGATGGTGAGACGATCCTCCAGCGTCCTGGCATCGAAGACGGCGATCCGCTCGTGGAACGTGATGACCACCGCCGATCGATTGGCCTGAATGTCCAGCACGGCGTTCTTGAACTTAATCGTCTTGACCTGGACGCCCGTTTTGAGGGACATAAAGTTTACGGCACTGAATTGGGCAGCGGCCGATACGCCGATACCGCCAACTCCTCCCCCCGAGCCGCCAGCTGTTGTGACTCCTCCGCCGCCACCCAATCCCGAGCCACCGGTCAGTAAGCCACTGGCCGCTGCACTGCCTCCATCGACGAGTGCCACCAACGGACGTTTCTCGGCAAAGGCATCGACCGGCTCATCCGCCCGCCCGTTCTCGTCCAGAGCGGCAGCCGTGGCCGGCGTGGGCAGCACCCGGAGGGCAGTGACGACGCCGTGGCGCCAGGATAGCACCTCCACAGCCTCGCCATTGGCTGGGATGGCCCACACCTGGACGCCCAGACCGTAGCCGAGTATTAGGAGCAGGGGCGGAGCTGCATTACCCTCCAGTTCCCAGTCGTCGCCGAAACGCGGATCGCTCACATCCGCACCCGTTTCGAAACGGGCCCAGGTGATGGTGTCCTTGGGATCCTGTACCGGCTGATTGGCCAGGGTCACATCGTTTATGAAACCGATGGCCGAGTCGAGGATCGAGCGATCCGACACTGTTTGCGGTGGCACAATGGCTGGAACGGCGGTGCCGCCCGATTTGCTGCTGCTGCCGCCGCCAGAGCCGGATCCGGAGACCGATCCAATGCCGGAACCGACCACGCCGGAGGGATGGCGGCGTGGCGAGTCCGCGGACATGATGCGGATGCTGGGATTAGCCGGTGGTAACTACTGGCCGCCGGAATCGCTCCTCTTCTAGCTGCTACCACAGCTGGTGCCAATGATGCAGTGCCTCCACACTGGAGGGCAGTAGACGGCAGCGGGCGGCTTTGCGTGGTATGTAGCTGTGGGTGGCGGGAGGTGTGGGTGGCAGTGGGTGGCGGTTGGCAGTTCTCGCTTGTTGCTCTCTCCCGTATGTCTTTCTCTTTTGTCGCCTCTCCTGGAGACACTGTGTCTGATCAGTTGTTGTCTCTTCCTGCTCTTTGGCTCTCCCTATCTCTATCCCTCTGTCGTTGGCTCTCTTGTTGTCAACTGTAAATAGAAAGCAAAAGCAATAAATAAACAAATTGTACAATATCACACATACGCGTCGCTGTTTTTGGGGTGAACCCAAAAAAGGGGGCAGTTTTGAAACACACTAAATAAAATGTGTCTACACCTCAAAAACCTTGACCGCCGTTTGTGTTATATGCACTCTGAACTTATAGTTTAAACTTTAAAGATCTTATGATAATATGCTGGATTTTTTGTTGGTTTATGCATATTATTATAACACATTTGTAACGTTCGTAAACTTCTTCCATATCTCATTAAAAAAAATATTGCATGTGATCCCGATTATTTGCTTTTCATTTTTTCCCAAGTGTAAGTGAAAACCGTTATTGTTTTCAATCTACTTATGGAAATCAAATTCAGAAAATTATTACTTATACAGGCAATGAATTAAAATATATTTATATTTCATATAAGTGATAAACTTTATTTCCCTTCTGGCAGCTATTACGAAACAAATTTGTTTTTTTTTTTAACAAAGAATTAACATTTAACCAACGTCCACCCTAAAGCGCACATTTCATGGTCCCATTTGGTCATTCTATTTCGTTCCGTTTTCCCTTTGTCTCAATCAAACTGCTTTAATTTTTAGACAGAGCCCCCCACCCACCACACCACCCACTCACACCTCTATCCCCACCCACTTTTCGCTCTCTTGTTACCAATTTATTAGCGCATTACGTGTATTTTTCGGTTGCTTTGTGTCCCCCTTCTTCCTTGTCAATTCCATGGGGCGCAAATTAAATGCAATAAAACAACAACCAAAGATGCTTACGAATTTAAGATATCAAACAGAAACTCAAAAAACAAAACCACATTCGTTTTTTTTAAGTGCACATACAAAAAGCAAAACAAGCTTCAAACCACAACAACAAACCTCAAAGTCACGAAGAAATCATCAGTCCATTTGCTTTAGCTTTTAGCTTCTAGTTTCAATTTTCTGTCCCTTATTCCTCCGATTCGCCAGCAAAACGCAATATGCAAACACAAAGAAGCAAGCAATACGGTTCTCTACTCGCTGTTTCCCATATTTATTGGAAATAACCGTTTAAGCCAATCCAAAGATCTCTTTCTCCTCTTTCTTATTGGCGAAACATAAGGAACTGAGCGAGAATAGGAAACGACGACCAAGCAACAGTTGTCCAGAAATGGAAAATTTATTAACCCCTTTGACTACACAAAAAAACTTTGGACAAACATATGGAAAATATTGAAAATAACATTTACATAAGTATTTACATACATTCATAGTTATTTAAAGTGCTTCATATCTTGATGGAATATATAGTGCATTCATTTTCTAATCACTTTAAAAAATTGTCGTGTTTTTGAAAATGGGGTTTTAAAAAAGGGTTTGCCTTGTGCAGCACTTTTGGGCTAATAAACTAATCGAATTCGGCATCTGATATTACGGTTTAATTAATAATATTAATATTTTTCTGTTTAAGGTTTTTATTGAAATTTTAATGATGTTGAGACGTAATGATAAATTTGATTATAAGATCTTAATAGCAAGTCAATGAGTTCAATTTCTGAAAATATAGCCATTCATGATCTGACTAAATTTATCCAATTTATAATGTGCTAATTTATAATGTTTTAACATAGCCGACAACACCCATTCAAAAATTATTTCAAATGTTCAAAGGACAGCGGGTAAACAATCCCTATCAAATGACGACTTCCTGAATACATGCAGTTCGCAAAACATTTCCACGTGTGGTGGCAGCTGATTAAACGACCATTTCGCCACATATAGTTTCTATCTATATGTACAAATTTGCACATGGCACATATTATTCCGAATTGGGAAATGATAAGGCACGAAGTCGTGTTGTAAAGGCGTAATGATTCAATTAATTGCTTGTAATAATTGCGAAATACCAGAATGGAATTTCAAAGAGGGGCGCATACTTTGGATCCCTCAAAATTCCTGAAACAACATTGTTATATGGGGGTTTAGGGTTAAGCCTCCGTAAACAGTAAAACAAAGCGGGGTGTGGGAGGAGTGCAGCTGCATCGTTGCATTTCTCAATTGGCTTGGCACACGCGCATTAAAAACAATAACTGTAATAGCAACAAGCAATGTCACACACACACTCAACAGCTACTTTTGTGAGAAAGAGAGGGACCACCGCCCCCTCACAGTTTCTGTTTCCCACTCACCCACAGCGGCCATCGGTAACGCATTTGCCTTTGTTCAGCAATAGGCATTAATTCGCCATTCGCAGATGGAAGGAAGCAGTGAGGGGATTCGGGAAAGCCCACATTGAATGTTAACACAGTCAAACTTCCAAGACAAAGGACATTATCAAAAATGTACATACATATGTCCCCTGAATAATTTTTAAATGTTTTATTCTCGGTTTTAACAAAATTTTAAGCAGTATAAAACATTTATAGTGAGCATATAAATGCAAGATAGAATTTCTTGGTTAAATATGTACACTGTACACTATGTACATCACAAACCTGTATAAAAACTTTAAAGTCACACTTTCTTTAGCTTATGCTTTGTGCTTTTACGCATACGAGTAGAAATTTTTTGGATAAATTGCATTGGATTAAAAATGTATTACTCATACGTACTGTTGACCTTGAACAAATTTTGTCTTTTCATTAAGATGGTGTAAGCTTAAGCAAAATAACACACATGTCACTGTAGTTAAATAAAATTGTATGTATCGAGGTACAACTGCACCTCTACTTGTATTAGTTTACACGTATCCTTGATCAATTCCAGAGCAAGTTCAAAGCCAACTTATAAACGAATCTCATGCAGAATGCAATTTCAAAGAAAGACAGACAGAAAGAAAGAGAGAAATGGTAGAAAACAAAAAGAGAGGCCCCAAAAGAGAGTGTTTTATGTTGATTGTTGTTGGGGTCCCATTGTTTATGCTGCCCATTGCCAAAAGCTACTTGACAAAATCTCAGCAAGTCTTTTTTAATTGTTTGTATTTTGTTTTTCCTTTCACGATAGGCAAAGAATATACAACAATAGCTCACGCGCACACGATTGCAGCAAACGAACAGGTGTTACTATAAATACCATCGCACACCGTTTAGTATTAGACATGCAATTTCATCAGTTTTAGCAATTAAAACTTGTTTTTAGGCTGTGACTAAAACAGAAAATTGAATCATATAAGCAATTCAATAAAATATCATTGTGATTTAGTTACTGGACTTAATAGGAAAAATGTTTTATTGATAACTTAAAATTTTAAAAAATGTTACCTCAAAATTCCAAATAGTAATTTCTTTTTATTATCACTGTCTCTCTAGGGTGCACATACACACATACATACTTTATAGCGTATCTGTGAAACACATTCTATATAGCACAAGTTCATCAACCCACACACAGCTGATTATTTTGACTAGATTACAGGCGAAGTAATTTCTATTGAAGCAGATTATTGAGGAATACGTTTATATATCAGTCACACACGCCCCCGTACTCCACATCAGATGATAAGGGTACTGCCTCCCCGGATCCGTCCTTCAACCTTCGGTAGTCCTTGGATGCAAACAAAGGAACCCCTTTGTATAAAGTAGATAAAACTAACCCACGGGCCACACAACATAACCTTTAAAATGGATTGTGTTAAGTTTCCCTGCAAAACTTGGCTTAAACTTTAAAGGAACATATTATTTTGCACTAATGTACATTAGTATAGGAGAAGGCATTGATAAACACAGTTCCTAAAATAAAACGTTTTTATCTATCCAAAAATACTACTTTGTAAAATCATATCGTTTTTGGAAAACCTTCGCAGAATTTCAATCTTATTTTGTGATAAAACCATGAAACCTTAATTTGAACATACATATGTAGATCTTACAAATAAAAATGCAGGGTCAACAAGATAGCATGCGTAACATTTGTCGCGATGTAGTATAAAACCATAATCAGAGAAACAAAATTTTTAATTAAACTACAGTTTAATAATAATGGTATCAAACAGTGTTCATTGAATGTTAATGTTATGTTATTGAAGTCTCACTGTAGTGTTGACTAGCGGAATGCAATTTTGCTTTTTTTATGTTTTGTATCTCCGATTTTGTGATTCTGCTTATTTTCAATGGCATCCACTCACCCACCCACTCGACCAAACATTGGCAGAATTTTTGGCAAACATTTCTATTAGGTAAAAACATATGTAGATAGGCAGGAAGGAAAGAGGGGTAGAAAAAGAAGAAGAACAGGCTGATACTGGGGGAGGCAATTTAAAAATGTCACTTTTAATGTGCGTTTTAAATTTGTAAATGAAGCGAAAGCAATTTGTGTCATCAAAATATTTTTGTTATTTTTTGATTACACGACAGCGTTTTGTTGCTGTTGTCTTTAAATACAGTTCGAAAACAAAGAGCCAAAAGCAGAGCAATTATCAAAATATATACAGAAGTCAGAAGAGAAAGAGAGAGAGAGAGACAAAAAAGAAGAAGAGAGCCGAAAACGAAAACAAAACTCTAACACATATATACCCAGATGCACTTGAATGCACACAAACGCATTGGCAGCAACTCAGCTGCAACGAGATTTTGTTGTTGCCCTCTCTCACAGCACAGTGAAACAAATACATAAAACCTAGTCTGGTGTATTTATACGCTTGTTTCTCTACTATAGAAAGTTCAAATGATTTAATATTTAAAAATAGTTATGAATACAACGTTAGAGTACAAAATTTAAATATAATTTTGAAGGTATAATAAACCAATCCATTTAAGTTTGAAGTTTAGAATGATTTTTCTCTTTTAATTAGTTTAACCACTTTTTGTAAGTTCTTACTTTCGAATTTTTTTTACCCACTGTGCCCAAATGTGTTCCACTATCAGCTCGTTTCGTTTCTACTGCTTTGTTGTTGCCCATCTAATGCGCACATACACACACATATATATAGGCGAGTGTATCTGTGATTTTTTCCTTCATCGTTTGTGTTTTGAAATATTGTTTTTTTTCGCGTCACAGTCAAAACAAAATTTCCACTACTTTTGGCATTTAAAAAACAGCAAAAACTTGGTACAATTTCTGATCTCTCACCACTTCTCGTATTCCCATTTTTCGCTCAATTCTTGACTCTTTGTTTGCACAATTTACACGTCTGTGATTTCGACAGAGCCCACAATAAACAAATAGTTGCATAAATAGAGGTTTGAATTTTCATATATTCACGATTTTCTTTCGTTTTCGTTTTCGATTTCGTTTTTTTTTGTGCGCGTCAAACAAAAACAACAATTGGAATAAGAGGAAGAACTTACCACTTGCGTTGTTGTGGCTGTTCGTTGGTTGAATCAGCAGCAGCTGAAACACAACAACAATGCCACTCGTTTCGCTCGTTCCACGTTTCTCACTCGTTCCACAGAGCGCGCGTAAAAACAACAACACAAACAAAAATCATATGTTTTCAGCTGCTGGCTCTCTTTTTCTCTCCGTCTCCCTTGTTCTAGAATTTGTTGTTGTTGATTTCCTTTTTGGTGTGTGCTTTATGATTATTGTTGTCTTTCAACTCCTCTTTATTATTATCTTCGTTTGTTGCAGGCGGCAGCAGCAGCAACAAAATCTCCAACTGCGTCTTGCCTTTTCTCTCCTTTTTTCGCCCCTTTTTTTTGGTTTTGCCACGCCCTTTAGGTGTTGTTGCTTAATTTGAGGCTACTTCCAAATTACAAATTTTAGCTTTTTCGAGACGCACAGCAAACTCAACTGCCTGAGCTCGAGTTTTGTTTGAAAAAACTGAACTTTTTTGTTTCTTCTTCTGCCGCTGCCGCCGTCGACGCAGAGCCCTATTGCTGGCTCTATCGCACTCTCACCCACACACGCACACCACCAATACAGACACTACTGCGCTGCGTCGTACGTTTTATTTTTATTTCTTTTTCGTCGTTTTTCGTTTTTGATTTTGTTGTTGTTGCCTACCACTAATGTTGTTCTTGTTGTTGCTGCACAAAAAGTAACTGCGACATTAAATCTGCAAATCGTTCGCCTTGTTTTTGTACTCTCCCGTTAACTTATATATCGATTAAAAGACGATTTATGCGTCGCAACAGAAAAAAATAGAAAATAACCATGAGAGACTGCTGCCAGACAAACGAAAAAACTAGTACTAGCGAAAAACCAGGCTAGTAAGTGTTTGCCTTTATTTGTGTAATATCTTTAGCGGACACTTAGTATTATTAATTGTTATTATTTTGGTTGCTGCGCTGTTTCTGTCTCTGTTCTGTTTTTTGTCCCTCTCTTTTGGGTGCTGGGCCTATGTGACCGTTCCGACTAGACAATAAAATGCCAAATTAGTAGGGTGGTACGGTTTTAGCTGTTAAATTAGAAACGGAATTTCTTGGAATTTGTGGAACCTAACGGAACAGCAATCCATCGATTAATACTACAAAAATACCAATGAAATACCTGTCGCATTTAAATACCGATCTCATCTGGTCACACCGCGCCCACCGTTTCTCATGCGTGCGTGTGTGTGTGTGCGTGCGTGCGTGTTGGTGTGTCGTATGAATTGTGGCGACCAGCGAAAATAAATAAATATAAATAAATGCACATTGCGACCGACGGTGAGCCGTGCGTGCAGCCAGATGGTGCAGTTGGATGACCCCAGAGAGCAGATTGACCCAGCGCACAACGCCAGCCGACAGGCAGCCACAACAGCAACAGCAGCAGCAGCTGCAATAGCAATAGCAATAGCAACAGCAACAGCAACAGCAACTACAAAAACAAGAGCAACGGCGATCGCTGCTGGAACACACACACACGCGCACACACAGGTAATCCGAACGGTAAGTTCCACTGATAAACTTATCACCGCACAAAACGATAATTCTAATTTTGTTTTCACCATCCCAATAATTTCCATTCCATTTATTAATTAATTGCCTTTTTCCCCCCCTGATTTCTTTTCCCCCTTTTATTTGTTTGGACAGAAGAGAGCGGCACGCACATAGCATATAAATAATAACGGTAACGCAGCCAGCAGACAGGAAGTAGCGAATAATTGAATATTCCAGCGACGTAGACAGCAGCGGTCACGAGGATAGTTACTGCTGCTTAGCTGCTGGTGGCGGATCGCCGGTTTGGAACAATGGCCACGGGCAGCGCCGGCGGCGGCGGCGGACTGGGAGTAGGCTCCACGGACCACCACAAGCGCAACACCTTCACCAGCTATGTGGCACCGCTGCCCGGCGATATGCGCGCCACAGCGGACACCAATGAATGGTGCCTGCCCAGCGATCTGCGGGACGTGCATCTGGCCAAACCGCGTCTGCTGCAGGGCGAGCAAATTGTGGCCTCCGCCCCGGCCTACATGTACTCCTCCATCGATCCTATGGATAGTGGAAGCGGGGGCGGTGGCGGGGGCAGTGGCGGAAGCGGAAGCGGGAGCTCCTATTCATCTTCAGCAACCGCTGTTGTGGATGGCAATTCGCACAAGGAGGCCACCTTTGGACTACTGAGCGTGACCAATTTCAAGCTGGCCTTTGTGCCGCTGCACGCGAAACGTAATCCCGCCGCCGCACCACTTGTGGATCTCTACCAGGAGAACGCGTACCTGGGCCGCAACGAGATCACGCTGAACAACATCGATCATATCTATACCATTGCGGAGCTGGGACGGGCGGCCAGTGCGCTGCAGGCGGCGCGCGGCATGGCCAATCAGCATGGCAGTCGGCGCAAGAAGCTGGAGCCCTTCAAGCAGCACAACATTAGCGGAAGGATCGCCGCCCTGCACATTGTGTGCAAGAACTTTCGCCTGCTGAAGTTCGCCTTCCAGCAGCAGGACTCCAAGTTGTTCGGGGCAAGTGATCAGGGCAAGCTGATAGCCTCGGCCCTGGTCCGTTTTGCCTATCCCATGCGTCACGACCTGAGCTTCGCCTATGCCCACCGGGAGCCGTACTATTCGACACTGGGCGCCTCCGGCACCAGCATGTATGCGACGAAGAACGACTGGGCCAGGGAGCTGATCCGTTGCGGCGCCACCGAGTGGCAGGTGGTGAGCAGCGCCAGCGTTCAATTGCTACAGAATCCGCTCCAGGCGAGCAAGTACTCGGTGCCGCCGCATTTCGTCATACCGAAGAGCTGCAGTGTGGATCGCTTTCTCGACTTGTCGCGCGCCTTCTGCGATTCACGCGCCGCCTTCTGGACGTACAGCTATGGCGGCAGTGCGGCCCTGGTCAGATTGGCCGAACTGCAGCCGGCGGCGCAGCAGGACACTAAGTCGGAGAACGTGATGCTGGAGCTGGTGCGCAAGTGCGATGTGGGGCGACAGCTCATTCTGCTGCAGCTAACGGACCGACTGCCGAGCATCCAGGATGTGCTGCGGGCGTACCACAAGCTGCGGCGCCTCTGCACACCGGAAACGCCCGAGAAGTTCATGCTGCAGGATGACAAGTACCTGGGATTACTCGAAAAGACCAACTGGCTGTTCTATGTGTCGCTGTGCCTGCGCTACGCCAGTGAGGCGGCCGCCACGCTGCGCAGCGGCGTCACCTGTGTCCTCCAGGAGTCCAATGGTCGCGATTTGTGCTGTGTGATCAGCAGTCTGGCACAATTGCTCCTCGATCCGCACTTTCGCACCATCGATGGCTTTCAGTCGCTGGTGCAGAAGGAGTGGGTGGCCCTGGAGCATCCGTTTCAGCGGCGATTGGGCCATGTGTATCCCGCCCAGCCAGCCGGCGGCAGTGCCGAGCTCCTGGAGAGCGAACAGAGCCCCGTGTTTCTGCTCTTCCTCGACTGCGTGTGGCAGCTGCTGCAGCAGTTCCCCGACGAGTTTGAGTTCACGCAGACGTATCTCACCTCGCTGTGGGACGCCTGCTTCATGCCCATCTTCGACACCTTCCAGTTCGACACGCAGGCGCAGCGCCTGAAGGCGGTGCGCGACTCGCAGCTGGTGCTCCGTCCCGTCTGGGATTGGGGTGAGCAGTTCTCGGACAAGGACAAGATGTTCTTCAGCAATCCGCTCTACCAGCGCCAGAGGAGTGATCTTGCTGCCAATTCCTCGGCCGCGTTGGCTCATCGTCGATCTCTGGCTGTTGGTGGTGGTGCTGCTGGTGGTGCTGCTGGTGGTGGTAAGGGAAGCCATGGTGGTGCCACACCCTCCAGGAACACCATCAATCCGCAGCTATTCGCGACGGCTTCGTCGGTGCCGCAGGATCGTTTCCTGCAGCCGGCACACCGGATCTTCGACCTGCAAGTGTGGGATCAGTGCTACTATCGTTGGCTGCCCGTCCTGGACATTCGCGGCGGTGGCCAGTCGCAGGTGGATCTGTTCCATCGCCTGCTGCTGAGCAACATTGCCAAGGTGCAGCGGTGCCTGGAGTTCCAGAACTACGATGATCTGCCGGATGCCTTCTACGAGGCCACCGGAGAGTCGAGGTCAGCCATTCAGCAAGCGAACAGGGAGGATGAGGCTGAGTTTGTGGATGGCGTTGAGCGGCGCCGGAAGGCTAAGGCGGCGACGCCCACAAACGGTCTAAACTCGGTCAGCGGGAACTTGCAGCTATCGACGCTATCGTCCTTCTTTCCCTTCGGCAATCCCATTGCCGGGGATGCACCGCATCAACTGTACGACGTCCTGAGCAGCAGCAGCGAGCTCCTGATGGAGACCTCCTCCTTCCTGGACAAGTCCTCCATTGTCTGATCCACACACAACCACAACTCGTTCCACTTTTTTTCCTTTCAACGCGCTGAACTTTCGAAGTATTACAAACAACAAAAAAAAAAAAAAAAAACAAAACAAAAAAGAAAAGAAAACATTTAAAAGAAAAAATCCTTTCACACATACATGGCATATCGCTATTTAACACTTTTGATTATTGTTAACTAATAAGCAAGTTATGGTATAAGTTTTTTTTATTTCGTTTTACTACCACTAAACTGCAACGCTGCATAAGAAAAAAGTGTAACATTGACTAAATACTAAATACTAAAATAATAACAACAAATCGTAACGACAACCAATCGACGAGAAACGAAATCTACAAAAAAAAAAACGAAGCGTAAAATAAAACACCAACTAAATCAATATGTATTATATTGTATGTAACTAAATATATGAAAATATATCAATATGTATATTTAAATAAATCAAAATTGTAAAATCAAACCTTATAAGTTTTATTGTGGCATCGTTTGGGCGATAAGTACTCTATTTATAGATAATTGATTCTTCTCTTGTTAAACATTCTTCTTTGGCAATAAATTTAATTAATGGTTAAAGCTCGTGACTCACTAATGTTTCCATGTTAGAGATTGTCTTCGCCATGAAAATGATAAGATATGTTATTATATTTGACTTTAGCTATGACATTTAGAGCACAGATAACTGTGTAACTATTTGAACTAGATTAAAGTGTAATAAAATGGTAAATAAGTGTGAAGAAAAAGTATAAGCTAAGCATTAACTGTTTATATGGGTGTAACGATATAAGATAACTTTTTTAAACCTTCGAAAAACTTTAAACTAATTATGTGTAGGATAGGTTTGTCATCATTGGGATCATGAAAATTAACGTTAAAATAGCTGTAAACTTAGGTTTCACATTCAACAGAATTCTTACCTGAAATTATCATATTACAAAGTCTGTAGGAAAAACATATGGCATAATACGGACATTATCCGTTACTAAAAAAAATATAAAATATACGTTTACTAAAATCTGCATTGTTCCTGCGCTATTTTATGGAAAAGACGTTTTTTCAAACTGTGACACCATCAGTAAAAACAAAATTAAACAATTATTTAATTGCATGGCCCAGGTATATATGTATATATAGAAATCACGTATCCGAATTTACACAGAAAATTTTCGTTGTCTCACTAAATACATAAATGGATAAAGATGCGAATCTTAGTTGCTCGAAAAAAAAAAATTTGTTCTAAAAAAAAGAACATTTGTTTCTTTTTGAAAAACTGAACTACATCCGAATGAAAAGAGCAAACAATCCAACTTGCACAATACGTAGATCACTGATATCCGAAAGACAATTGTTAATTAATGCTATTCGATCATGGAATCAGTTCCCCAATCATCTTAAAAATATTAGCAGTGACACGCAATTCAAGATAAAATTATATACACACCTTAAAATTACTATTACTTAAATTAAAAGTAAAAACAAAAGGCTACTTAGGTAGGTTTTGTAAAATATTAGTTTTAAGTATCATGTAACATTTAAATATTTGCAACTCTTAGTGACTAGCGCATTAACTTATAAGTTCAAAACATGTAGCGTTAGGATTAGAATAGAAAAACCCATTATAAAAATTGTCTAGGTTTTCGTATTTAATAAGGTCATGGACTTTATAAAATCATTTTTTTTTAATATTGCTTCTTAAAAAAAATCTCAAAATGGTCTAGATTAAAATAAAAATGTAATGTCAAGGGCTTTTTAAAAAGGGCATTTTAATATTGCTCTAAAATAAAAAATAATGCTTAAAAATGTTTAAATGCCAAATCATTTTGTGTTGCAATGCAGGGATCATATAAGGGTTAAAAGAGTTGTGATACATAACTGTTAACTTCCCGATTTTTTTTAAAGGCATAGAGAAGGATTTAATATGCAGTTGTAATCGAAACAGATTGGAATAAATATACATTTAAAACTTGTAAATTGACATAAATTATTGTTTTTTTGCTAATATTTAATATAAACATACTGTAATACTGTAACATTTACAATTTAAGATATCAAGAAGATTTGCCCATTTATGGACGACCAAAATTTGAAGATTCCGGACCTAAAGCACCTAATGGAAACTCAAGAGTTAAAAGTACAGCAGAATCAACTGCCTATTAAAGTTCCAGAAAATAAGATCTTATATAAAGTTCAGAATGTGGAACATATTAATAATGTCCAGAAGGTAGAGGAATTTATTCCAATCGGTGTTCAGGAGAAGGAAAAGCTGTCGAATGAAATTCAGGATCTGGAAAAGAAGCCCTTGATGAGCATTAAGGATAAGTTTAAACAGCAAGAACCTGCCAAAGAAGTTCAGGATGTGGGGAAGTCATTATCACCCGACAACCTTGATAATTCCGCCTCTCAGTCATCAAATCATCGTTCTGGTCGGATGATTCCACCCATGCCCTCTGAGGAAACAATGCGCCACTCCATAGCCGACAACTTAATGGAGATATTGGTAAATATGACTAATCCGCATTACCGACAACAGTGCTTCGATCTCTTGCAGGTCAGCGATCCTCTACAGGCACGCAGCCGTATTCTGGGTATCCTGCAGCAAATCGACGAGAAGCGTGGGATTCGTAGATAAATCGCCATAAATACATCAAGGAATGTCTATCTAAATCAAAATCAAGCATCCTTACAACATCACTACTTCTACAAGACCTTTGTCTTTCGAATCATATCGCTTACAATGGGATTTGGAGACAAATTACCATAAATACATCAAGGAATGTCTATCTAAAGCAAAATCAAGCATCCTTCGAATCACATCGTTTACAATCATATTGATTACATATGTAGCTTTGTTTGGCGCAGCACAAGCTAATCCTAACATATCTTAATCTTTGGAAGACTTTGCTTGGTGAATGATAGGATTATACATGAACGCCATTATCATTATCATTATGAGTTAAACATTTAATAATAGAAACGTGTTGCGTGGCTAACATATGGGTTGTTGTGTGGGGTTTGATCTTTGGGTGCTCTGCTGGGTCCTCACTTGGCCTTCTCGTCCTCCTGTTTGGCCTGTTCCGCCTTTAGGAGCTCGGAGACGATGCCCACCTTCTTGAGCTCCTCGATGAGGTCGCCACTCTGGTGCATCTGCAGCAGGATGTCGCAGCCGCCGACGAACTCGCCATCGATGAAGACCTGCGGAATGGTGGGCCAGTCGGTGTAGTCCTTAACGCCTGGAAGGGAATGACACTGGTTACTCGAATGTTACTATGAGGATGCCTTGGCAGCAACTCACCCTGCCGCAAAGACTCGTTTTGCAGGACATCATGGGCATCGTACTGGACGCCGTGCATCCGCATGATCTGCACCACCGCATTGCTGAATCCGCAGCGCGGTGCCTGGGGATTGCCCTTCATGAATACGACCACCTTGTTGGTGCGCACCAGCTTGTCCAGCGTCGCCTTGTCCACCGCCTCGCCGGTCGCCGCATCCGCTGCAAAGAAGCGGCTTAGGCTTAGCGCACCAGGAGCGGAGGCGGATGCACTTGCTCCGGCCACCAGGCCACGGGCATTGCGGTGGCTCTGACGCAACAGACTCTGGCAAATTCGGTTCATTGTCACAGCGGCGCGTTTCTCGAAATTAACAAAATATTATCTAATAAAAATAAAGGGCTGTTCAGGTGTCAGCTGCAATGTATCGATAGTTTGGTCTATCGACTATCGCATGGAATTTCAAGAAATTTCAAACAAATATCAAATACGATATATTTATAAACACATATATCGGTGTAAGCAGTAATTCTATATTTTAAAACTTATTTTTTAAAAGTTATTTTAAAAGTATATTCATAAAAGAATATTGATTTATTGTTATTTTCTATGGAAACTTCATATGGAAATTTCAAATATATTTTTTTGTATAAATATACACGTATATAACAGTTAATAAAAATTTAATTTTTTTATATTTAAATTGTATTATATAAGAGATGCCAAGACGTGTATTCAAGGAATATTAAGCCACTAAGTTCTTTCTAGTTTTCTATAGAAACAAAAATATGTCATAAATATATATATTCTAAATAATATTGAAATAATTTAAACCATAAATAATTTAATTGGTAAAAGAAAAGAAAAGTTAAATTGATTTACTCTAATTCTAAATATCAAAACAAAAATAAACTCTAAAACCCAGAATAACCATACCTTGTAGTCATACAAATGTAAAGAGTCATTAATATTTGTTTTGTTTCTATAAAAAAAGTTAATCGGTTGTTAAGTATTGAATTTTTATAAGCTCTTGATCTAATTATAAAATACAATTTATTCTGTAACAATTAACAATAAAATAAAACAACAAAATCTACGTCATAGTATAAATGTAGTTTATTTTTGTAATAATCATAACTGAAAATACAATATAAAAACCTAAAATAATCGACTAACTAATGGAGTGTCGTATAGGATCTCTGGAGCTCCCCGGGATTACTGGATTGGGTGGTCGTAGTCTGGGTCTCGGTTCGTCCGGTTCCCGTTCCTGTCCCAGGACCTATCATGTTCTCCATTCGCTGGCTAGTTTCCCGCATAACGCCACCAAAATCGGGCAAATCGGGCAGATCCAATGCTAGATGGGCGGAGAATCTTTTGTAAACCGATGACTTGGTGCTTTCCTTCTTGATTTTCTTCCTGTTTTCCTCGTATTTCAGCTGTTGCTTGAGAAAAATCGAAGCCTTGATCATTTCCTGTATATTGTCGAATACGCTCTCCGATTTTTCAATGGTGCGCAGGGCTCTGTAAGTTCGAAAATGATATGATATGAAGTTGATAAGTCATAGTTATTCGAAGGACCTACTGAATTCCGTATTCCATGTCGTAGCAATGTCCCTGGAGATTGTTTTGCAGCTGGAAGACTTCATCGCGCTTCTCGAAAATCGCTGGGGAAACCTTGCGAACGTGTTCCTGAACCCGGAAAAACGCCAACGATGGATCGTTCGCGAAAATGTGTATGTTTTCCGATATCTTCTCCGACGTTTTCTTCGTCTTGAAGACCAGTTCTCCGCCTCTGGACATTGTTTTATTTACTTTTTTTCCTTTCTTATTTGTTTACATCAGTGGGAAATCTCATCGATAACTTGAATCGGTATTTTTTTTCAGTATATATTGGTGGGATATTATTTAAGAAAAGGAAACTATCGATTAAAATATTTTTGCTCTTTAATTATTCTGGTTAGAAATGTAATATCTTATTTTTAAAAAATATTTATTGATTAGAAATGGAATATCTTATTAAAAAATATATATATTTTAGCAAAATATATATTACTTTTGTAAACGAAAAGTGATTCATATAAATTTGAAATAAAACACCAACAATACGAAAATACACAAATGTTACAAGTCCAGTCCACAAACTGTCTTGACATATTCCCGTTAAAAATTAAGTTATAAAATCCACTAACTAAACACTACTAAAAAATTCACTAACGCCTGAAAAAAACGATATTAATCGATTATTTTTTTCAAAAAAATTCGCAACCATCGAAGCAAGCAAACATCGCTGTGTTTCCAGCTCTAGCGTTTCGGCTGCTCAAACGGTAATTTTGCGGTAAATTTCGGAAATAAATACGTTCTAATTAAAAACCAAAAATAAATTAATTGCACAGAGTCGATTAATTAATCGCTACACATTTTTTTGTACAAATTTTTGTTAATGTGAGTGATAAGTTCGTGAAAATCAACTTTTGGAGAACAGAAACCCAAACGAGAAACAAACTGTGGGATGCGATGCTGATAAAGATTTTCCCGGCGTGGCTTAATGTTTATGAATTATCAGTGATATGCCAAGCCGGGCTCACGTGAAACGTGCTTTAGTCATGAATTCATCTTAAATATTGCTAATAAACCTGGTACAGCAACAACAAAGCGGCAATAACAAACTTTGTTTACCTGGAAACTCCAACCAGCAACCCCAGTCAGAATTTAGGCACACTAAGGGTTAATTTCCAGTGTGTATGTGCGTGCGGGCTATTTTTGTTGTTAGTTGTTGTACACTTCTTCCCTTGATTTTTGTTGTTCGCCTTTATCGAGATAAAGATTTTGTTGATTAAAATATCTTATTTCTCTCAGTGAAAAAGTGATGAGCTCATTGATAAGACGCGCCCCATCTCTCTCGCGCTCTCACTCTCTTTCTCTCTCCCCCTTTCTTTACCCCTCGTCTACGTCTGCTTACGTCATTCCCCCCTCATCCCCCGCACCCATCGTGTTCTATTATTTTCACAATTTATTTAGGTTCAATTTGAACTTTGATAAAAAATGCCAGCAAAAGCCCCCCAAACAAAGCCATAAAATTATAAAAAAAAAAATCACCAGCACAGTTTACAATTGTCGAGTGGTTCTTTTTACTAGGCTCTTCAAGTGTCCATAGTTTCAGCCCCCACATTCCGATCCAATCGTTCAAATACTCTATGTACAATAAATGTGTATATTGTATATCGAACATACCTAGAAATTGTATGCAGAACAAGTTGCCCATGTTAATTGTTGTTGCTGTTCCCCAGAGACAGAATAAAAAGCTTTTAATAAAACCGATATAAAACAAAAAAAAAACCACTGGCATACACAAACAAAAAAAAAAAGACGAGAACAAAAAATGAAAACAATAAGGCGCGCGTGTTTGATGCTAATCTGAAAATAAAATTTGTAACATACTCTCGGGCCGATCCGGATATATTGGGGCCACGGCCCCTTGAAAGCTTCTGTCTATATAATTTATTTTCGCACAGAGAGAAATAACTAGGAAGAACTAATCATAGCTAAAATAATAACCAATTGGCAAATACATATTTTGTATGTTGTATGGAATTGTATGAAAATTTATAATAAAGTTAACCAATACAAACCAATACCAATAAGCCATTATAAAATCTGAGGCACTTAAATATCTATTTTAATTAATAATTAATTAATTAATTAATTAATTAAAAAATTAAAAAAAATATTTTAAATATCTACATCTCTAAATAGTCTCAAAAATCAAAAATGATCTAGAATCAAAGCTAAAACAGCGAAATTTACATTCGAAATTTGTAATTTAGCATTTTTGTATGTGTAATTTTTGTAATAATTGTAGACTTGTCTAAAATGTAAACGATTTATTCCGATTTTCACAAAAATATTTTTAACAAAACTAAAAGCCTTATCTTAGAAAGGATTTTTAACAAAATTGAATTAACAATTTCTTACCGTGTGCTAATTATACATTTGTGTGTGCGCTTTTGTTTGTTTTTGCGGCAGAATTTTTTCAGCGGAGCTTTCGGCAAAGGAGTAATACTAAACAAATAAATATAAATAAAGAACAACAAGTAGACGACGAGGAACCTCAACGATGGGCAACATACACACGACGGGTCCCAATGAGGCGTTAATTGTTTCAGGTGAGTTGGGCGGGCCCTTGAATGCGGCCTTAGCCACCCACAACCCCCCACAACCACCCAACCAACCCACCAACCCACCAACCCACAACCACCCACTGCTCTTAACCCTTTTCGCCATTACTGTTGCGTCAAACGCCTGTTGACTGATTTTGAAATGCTGCAATTAGGAAACCGCATGTTGACAGGACATTGCGAATGCAGCCAGGGTTGGATATACATATTTACTCGGTTGCGAGTGACATTCGACTTCTCTTTGATCTGTGATTGCAGAGCATTCAGAGTAATGGCAACACTGAAAAATAATAGTATTAATCATATTGTATAAACATCATTATCGGGAAAACACAAAACTTTAAGTACAAAGGTGTAGACAGCTTAAATTTAGCGTCTTCATTTGAAATGAACTCATCGTTATTCCGATTAGGAAGTCTTTTTCAGTAATTTTAAAACCCAAGCAATTTCTATACCAAACGCCTTAAATTATAAAGGATTTGCTTTGAAAATGACTACTAATGACTTTTTATGACATTTCACCTGCAGTGAAATATAAACACATAAGAACGATGTGTGATCAATTTCATTGCAATTATTGTTTAAGCTCAGTTTTGGCATTTTTTGATTGCCAGAAAGTTGTATTACCTGTTCAATTAGGTTCAGACACGCTTATATTACATATTGTAATTCAATTTGATTTAATGTCTGCAAGTCGCTTTATTATATATCGTGTGTTTGAACTGATTTGATAAACGTTATACATATACTATATATATTTAAAAACCACATATTCATTTGACTTTGAGTTGTAAAAGAATCTTGTTAGTTTGTAGTATATATATGTATTAAAAAAACTCTAATACATTAAGTCTACAACAATTCGAATCGAATAATTCGATTAAGTACATAAGAACCTCATGGCAAGTCAACTTCAAATATTTGTTATCAGCCTGATGGTTTTGTGTCAAGTTTTGTGAATTCTCGTTTCATTAGTCTGATAACCTTTCATTATTTAAAATATTGCCAAAAGCTTTTATTGCTTAACGTTTTCTTGGTGTCAACTGTATCAGTAACAAAACAAGAAATTTAAAATTATTTTATAAGTAATTAAAATTATAATAAAATAATAAAATAAATATATCCTTGCTGTGTAAATAAATATATACAAGTAATAATTTGACCTTTTTATGCTTTTTTAAGCATAATAGTAAATTTTATGACACCATAGGAAGTTATCTGCTTATAAAAAATTATTAAACAAAGATATAAATAGGCTTTTCTATGCTTTACACATAGAAATATATATAATATAGACACCAAAGGAAGTTATATGTTTTGTCAAAGGTATTTAGCCATGATATGGATCATATTTATTTGTTTGTTTTTTGCCGTGCAACCTTTGGTATCTACTATGTGGACCTGGGACCGGAAGAAAACGCTTCGAGCGGCGGCACAGAAAACTCCCTGATGCATATTGAATTTTTCACACACACACACACACACACAACAGCAACAAAAACAAAAACGAAAACAAAAACAAAAACAACGAGGCCGCGGAAGCCTAGGACAGTGATAACCACTTGTATGCAACCACCCACCCAGCATCCCGGTACAGGCAAACCACCCCCTGATGTTTTGTGTGTTTAGTACTTCATGTTGCCATTTTTGCCTACGTCTCCGTTCGTTTTGCCTTCTTGTGCCTGGCCAAACTTTTCAACCCCCGTGCGGTTGTGTGCGGGCATGGGTTAATGCACTCTGGCCAACCCCTAGGGGTGTCCCTCTACCTCCCCCAAACATCTTGAAACCCCCCGCCCCCCCCCACACACACACACACACACTGAACTGCCAACCCCAAAAAATAGAACCCAAATGCAACTCGCTCGACTCGTTAAGGTAATTCTATTTAATTAACTTGCCAAGTCAGACAATAACTGGGGACTAAAAGCAGCGTTTACTTACTCTTCTTACTTCTTCTGGCCTTTTCGCAAACGATATGATAAATTAATACGTTTACGCGGGTATCGATAATCCTTTAATGAGAATTTGTTTGATTATTGTAACGCATAAGGGAAACATAATGGCTTTGAACACGCATATTGAATTCAACGGGTTTGAGCACCCGGACTAAATTGTTTTTTTTAATAAATATATATAAGTTTGATAATTGCTCTTAGCTTAGATAAAGCATTGCCAAAATACTTGTATTAAACTGTTGTATTTTACATTTGGTATTTATAAATAAATAAATACATATAGTTTCGTTTTGTTCAAGTCTTTAAACTTATATGTTTTTAGGTCTAGAATTATCCGTAGTACTTAACACATACATATACAAAAAAAAAACCAAAGCTTTAATTATTGGGCGTTTTTGCAATAAAATTCTATTCTGTTTTACTAATTCCTGTTCTTTAAATTCGTTGTTATCAACTCCATTCGGATCGTATCATGTCCGCCGCCTTTTCCCCGATCATAAATGCCGCCGCATTGGTGTGGGCGGTGGGTGGCACCGGGATGACACTGGTGTCCACCACCCGCAGCCTCCGCATTCCGTGCACCTTCAGCTGGTGATTGACCACGGTTGTGGGATCGCTTTCGGGACCCATGCGACAGGTGGCCACCTGGTGGTGCAGCGTATAGGATAGTGTCCTGATCGAACATCTCCAGTAGTCATCCGAGGCGAACTGGAGGTGCTCACATCCCGGCACCGGTCTGTTTAGCAATCGCGCCCCAATCTTCTGCAAAGCCGGCATCTGTGTGATCCTCAGACTGGCTTTGATGCCATCCAGAAGATACTCCACATCCTCTTCGGCCACAAAGTACTTGGGATCGATCATGGGCCAGCTCAGTGGATTGCGATCCCTCAGCCAGAGACGACCCACTGACTGGGGATGGAATTGCATGACCAACAGGGTAAAGTGATCCTGTTGAGCCAGCGCCAGATCCCTGAACATCTTGTCATATATTTCTTGCTTGAAATTGGCGCCCAACTTGAGGCCTGTGCCCTCGTCACTAGCCAAACTGCCAGTGACCATGATCAACTCGATGTCTGGCCAATCCTTGGGCAACTGTGATCGCTGGGTTTTGAGGAAAGCCAAGGCCTCCACGCCACCAATCGAACTCAATCTGGTGGCTGGATTCCCGGCCAGGAAGTGCGATACTATCTCAGCGATAGTAATTGTCGATGTGAAGGTCGTTTGACCCGTTGTATTGGTCACAAAAGTGGGTCCAAAGTGGCACATATGATCGTACATCCTCTTACCGACTGGCAAAGGTTGTACAAGAGGAACTCCAATGGCCTTCAGGTTATCTTCTGGCCCGATTCCCGAGAGCATCAGTAATTGGGGAGAGTTGAAGGTTCCCGCCGACAGTATTACTTCCTTGCGAGCCTTGAATGTGTACGGTTTGTTTTTGTGATTAAACTCCACGCCGTAAGCGGATTTCGTAGCCTCATCGATCAGTATACGGGTAACTCGGGCAAAGGTGAAAATTTGCAGGTTGGGCCGCAGATCCCTCACTGGTTTCAAGTAGGCCGCATAGGCAGAGTGCCTCCTGCCATTCCGGGTGGTGGCCTGGACATAGGACACCCCAAACTGGGACTCTCCATTGTAGTCCGTCCGCGGCAGTCCCGATTCCACGGAGGCCTTCACGAAAGCGTCCGCCATTTGCGATCGATAGCGCACATATTCCACACTCAGGGGACCACTGTGATTGTGGTAGGGCGAGTACTCCAAGCCCTGCAGTTGGGCATTCTCAGTCCTCAGGAAATAGGGCAATACTTCCTCGTAACTCCAGCCGGGATTTCCGGCTGCCGCCCAGCCATCAAAGTCCCTTCGATTGCCCCGATTGTAGATCATGTAGTTGATGGAGCTGGTACCGCCCAGAACTTTTCCCCTGGGCAAAGAACACTCGTGATTGTTCATTCCGTAACAAGAGAGCTTCTGGGGCACCGATCTATAGCCCCAATTCGAGGCTGTCTGCTGCAGATAACCCGCCAGAACTGGTGTATTATGGGCTATATTCTCCACACCCCCGGCCTCGATGAGGGCCACACTCCACTGCGGGTTCTCCGATAGACGGGCGGCCAATGAGCTACCAGCTGCTCCAGCTCCAACCACAATAAAGTCATAGTTCGAGAGATCCTTGGGTACTGAAAGATAAATGTGCATAGAGTACCTTTGTAAGAAGCAACCTTTAAAAGCCCTTATATTGTGTGCTACATTTCATTAAATAAAAGTAATCATGGACTTGATTTCTTGGTTTTTAAATCATTTTTCTGACTATAATGACTTTTCAATTTGCAACCTAATTACAGTTTTGAAATTAAACTACTTCCTGCGAGTACTAAGCAAAATTCTTTCCTTGGACTGAGTAATTTTTTAATTGTGTAGAACAATTTCCTTCGAGTACTTAATTTATATATTGTATTGAATACTTTGCGTAAGCTAAGAGTCACTTTAAAGCAACAGTCTTGCAGACTTAAAATAGATTGTTTTATATTTGAACACACCTTAATAAGTAGTTTAAAAACCGTGGTGATTAACTTATAGTAATTAATGTTATTAAACATTTTCGAAATCATTGGTACTTTAAATTGACTTACCATTGGGTCGCGCTGCCTGATCTAGGACGTTTACGAATCCCACCTGGTTGATCTGATCCAGCAGTCGACTTGTGGCATCCCCACGAGATTCGTCGGTGCAAAGGAGGAGCAGCAGGAGCAGCAGGAGGAGCACGAGCAACTGGAGCGGCAGGTGTGAGATCTGTGTGGAGTGCATTTGGCTAATGGTGGGCAAATGAGCTGTCATCGTCTGGGGGGAGTTGCTTTTAAGCCATGGCTCCTGGACTGGATTGGACTGGGTCTGGGACTGGGACTGGGACTGGCATTGAGTGACTCAGGTGCCATAATGCCATAATGCCATAATGCCGTACAAACACATTTGCATCTGGGCAGTGCGCTCCTAAAAACGTCAGTGGGTTTGCCTTTTGTTGTTGTTGTCTCTGCCAAATGATGCCCCACCCACCCCGTTTGCCATATAAACCGCATACCCTGCAATCGACCGAAGGGAATTGGCGATTCGGTGATGTACTCATCATACCAGGTTTTAATGAAAAAAAAAATTCTCTGATCGTGTAATTTTAGCAGGAGTAAATAATGATAATCTAAAGAATTATTTGCCAAAACAATATTTAATTATACTGTTGTAATCTAGTCTTCAGAATAAATGAAATATACTAATTGAAAAAATAGCAAATAAAATAGTTTCATGAATGAAATGTACCACAAACTCCAGTCAACCCCAGGAAGAAATAATAGATGAACCAACACGGAAAATCGTAAAACTAAACACCCATAGCAAATGAAGCTTGAAAATCAAATGAACTGAGAAATAGAATGCCAGTTTAGAATGAAATTAACCATTAAAGCCGGCGAATCTAAAGGCAAATACAAGATATGAGCACATATAAGCACAAACCCAAAAACATAACCCAAAGAGCAAGGCAAACAGTTAAAGTAAACTATTAAAAACAAAACTAAAACCGGTTAAAGAACTTTAAACAAATTTAAACAAAATTAGCACCAATTAGCAGTGAACAAAAAAAACTTGTGAAAATCACAGAGTTTATCTAGACACATCAAATAAACTCTAGTTGATCCAGTTTCGGATGAGTTCGGTGTTCTTGAATGGCTCAAAAATACACTGAGAGAAATAATAAGGTGTAACATTCAAATTTAAATATAATATATAATATACAATGTTGTAATGAGTCACCAAAAAATCAAGATTTAAAAAAATTTTGCTATATTAAGTTCCTTATATTATATTGACGCATTCTAAGAATCTTTAAATTGGTCCAGATAAATTGGTTGTGTATAGTGTAATTTGATTAAAAGATCATCAAAAGTACAGGGTATCCAGTAATTTGTAAGCCTCATTTCCTGGTTTGGCCAAATGTGAAGGGAGAATGATAAGATTCTCAGTTTTTAAGTGTCGGCTGCCATTTGCGAGTTCGTTTAACTTTTGGCGCGTGCTTCTCCTGCGTTGGGCTTCAAAATGCACTTCGAAATTCATTTGTATAATATAATAATATAATATTTATGAATGTATATATACATCATCGATGAGGCATACACTCCTGGCGCTCTATAAATATTTTTTGGCCCGAAAGTCGTCAAGGCATTGAACTTGTTGTGTGCAAACCCGTTTGTGATGCCTCGTTTGCTCCGGTTTTTGGTTTCAGATCGCTTTGGAATCGGAACGGATCGGTGAGAAGTTATTAAGCTAGGTCATGACGTGGTCTTAATTTGATTGACCCGAACCGTTCTCAAGTCACCGTTCGGCGCTACACTTAGCGAATTTGTGTGGTACCTGGGAAAGGTGGAATTTATTGTTATTGCCAGGGACCAAAATGGAATAGGTCTTTACGATGTTTGTTTTTAAAGACTTTTGTTTATAAAGATCACAAATAAAACTCCAAAGATTATAAGAAAATCGGAAAAAATAGAAAACAAATAAAACTTGTTTTACTCTTGCCCGGACAAACTTTAAGCTTTCACCTCTTTGTCTGGCTTTTTTTTATGATGATGATGATGCATACAGTATACAAATAATAAATAGTAAACAAATCCCACAAATTAAAGGTCAGTGCAAATAATTTTAGGTATTGTTTATTTAAAAAAAAAATGATATAATTGAATTGAACTAACATTATCAAAATTTTGCATTTAAAATAAAACCATTTTGAATCCCTTGTAGAATTTAATTACAACGTTTTCATGTTTTTTTTCAGTCCCTCTAGACAATTTTTTGGAATTTCGAAATTCTCATAAACCGTAACATTTTCTGAAGTGTAACCCGTTTGCTTTCCTTTCAACTTTCGTCTCGCATTTTATTAACCCCTTTACATAAATCGCTGTTGTATCTTAAAGTGATCTTCATCTGGAGCAAATCAACTCCATTCGGATCGTATCATGTCCGCCGCCTTTTCCCCGATCATAAATGCCGCCGCATTGGTGTGGGCGGTGGGTGGCACCGGGATGACACTGGTGTCCACCACCCGCAGCCTCCGCATTCCATGCACCTTCAGCTGGTGATTGACCACGGTTGTGGGATCGCTTTCGGGACCCATGCGACAGGTGGCCACCTGGTGGTGCAGCGTATAGGATAGTGTCCTGATCGAACATCTCCAGTAGTCATCCGACGCGAACTCGAGGTGCTCACATCCCGGCACCGGTTTGTCCAGCAGCCTGGTGCCGATCGCCTGCATGGCCGGCATCCTCGAGATCCTCAGGGCCTCCTTGATGCCCTCCAGCAGGTGCTCCACATCGGCGGCAGCCGAGAAGTACTTGGGATCGATGCGTGGCCACTCGAGCGGATTGCGATTGTGCAGCCAAAGGCGACCCACGGAGGCGGGATTGAAGTGCATGACCAGGAAACTGAAATGATCCTGCTGCCGCAGGGTCAAGTCCTTGTACATTTTCTCATAGATCTCTGGCTTGAAGTTGGCTCCCTTGGACAGGGCAGTGCCATCATCGCTGGCCAAACTGCCGGCCACTTGGATGAGCTCCACATCGGGCTGGCTGGCTGGACTCTTTGCCGACGGCACCTTGATGAAGGTGAGCGTCTCCACGCCACCAATGCTGGACAGGAAGGTATCGGCGCGACCCAGCAGGTACTCCTTGACCACTGGCGCTCCCAGACGGGCGGCGAATAGGGTTTGTCCCGTGGTGTTGGTCACAAACGTGGGCCCAAAGTGGCACATGTGATCGTACATCCGTTTGCCCACTGGTAGAGGCTTTATGATGGGCACTCCAATCGCCTTGAGGTTATCCTCTGGCCCAATCCCCGAGAGCATCAGTAACTGGGGGGAGTTGAAGGCTCCAGCCGAAAGGATTACCTCCTTGCGGGCTTTCACTTTGAAGCTTCTGCCCTGATGGGTTAACTCCACGCCATAGGCCGACTTGGTAGAGGCATCTATGAGGATGCGGGTGACCTTGGCCAGTGTTAAAATATGCAGATTACGACGTCTCGCACGAATGGGTTCGATGTAGGCACGAAAGGCGCTGTGCCGCCGACCCTTTTGGGTGGTGGCCTGGACATAGGAGACCCCCAGTTGGGATTCGCCATTGTAATCGGTCCTCGGATGACCCGCCTCCTGGGCAGCTCTTACATAGGCGTGGCCCAGACGCGTGCGATGACGCACATCCTCCACACTCAGGGGACCACTGTGATTGTGGTAGGGCGAGTGCTCCAAGCCCTGCAGTTGCGCATGCTCACTCCTCAGGAAATAGGGCAGAACTTCCTCGTAACTCCAGCCAGGATTTCCAGCTGCCGCCCAGCCATCAAAGTCTCTTCGATTTCCCCGATTGTATATCATATAGTTGATGGAGCTGGTTCCTCCCAAAACTTTTCCCCTGGGCAGGGCACACTTGTTCTCAGGCATTCCTCGGCAAGAATGTTTCTGTGGCTGCGATTTGTAACCCCAATTGGAGGCAGTGGACTGCAGATGAGCCGCCAGCAGTGGCACCTGATGGATTATGTTCTCCACACCTCCAGCCTCGATGAGGAACACACTCCAGTTGGGGTTTTCCGAGAGACGGGCGGCCAAAGTGCAGCCAGCGGCTCCAGATCCAACCACTATAAAATCATACTTTGATTGCGGAACTGAAAATATAGGAATAATAATACAATCAATACCACTACAAGGTTGCAATTTTATTGATGCTGATGAATTGTTAACCAAGATTAGTAGTAATTTTAATTCTTTGTTCGAAGAGTTAATAAATAAGATGGTTTATGCATTAAAAACTCTTATATTTTATAATCATTTGTCCTCTTCTCTTAGTATATGCAAATATGAATTTAAATATAGATTTTTTATTGATGCCACACAAATCTTCACAACATTTTGGCTGTTTAAATTTGAAAATGTCTTGCTATAATAATGAAGAAATAAAATAGATATTTTAAAATGAGTTAATTCTATGAATTGTTTATCAAGAAAAGCAATAATTTAATTTCTGTGTAAAAAGAATTGAATGGATTTATAAATAAGGCATAGTAAACTTTAAATGTTTCTAATCACTTGTCCCTTTATCTGAAAATTCAATATAAATGGTTGAAATGATACAAATATGTTAAAAACACAATTTTACATTCCATAGTAAAATCTAGATTTTACATTGAAGGACACACACCCTCATAGAATTTGTTTTGTGTTTAATATAATAATGTCTTTTATAAAATGTCTTACATATAATAACAAAAAGCATTTCTATCTGGCTTTAAAAAGATCATAAAATCAATAATGCTTTGTGAAACCTCACCATCGCTGAAGAATGGCACATTGACGATATTTCCCAGTCCCAATCGGCGCAGTTCGTCCAGTTGGGAATTCCTTTGGGAGTGGATCGCCTGGATGATCTGGTACGGAAGCAGGAGCAGAAACAGAAGCCGGGAAAGCAGCAGCTTCTCCATGGTTGCGATGGTCGGTAACTGAACTCTGCAGCTTCGGTGCTTCAGGTGAAATTGGATCTCTACCTCTGTTTGGCATCACCTCTGCCAACGCACTGTGGAACGGGTTGTAATATTCTAGAAACAATTATATTCCTCTTTTTTTTATTACCAATGGGCGTGGGAAGCAATTATTTGTACAGAATATTTAAAATTGAAAATTACTTGAATTTGCATTTGTTGGAAAACATTTTTTTATGGCATTTTGTATTCTAAGCTCTTAAGATTTTTATTTAACAATAGTTGACAGCAATAATCTGACTTAAGGAACATTAAACAACCAGAGATTATGTTAAAATGTTGCAAATTTTTAAATTGAAAAACATTTGAACATATAAACATAAATAAGAAAGCAAGATTTTGAGATTATATAATTAATTAACAATTTTTTTTTATCTCGCTCCACTGTGGATTAACTTGCCGGTTTGGTTCTCCCTGAATGATCTCTATCCCCTTCTCCCTCTGCCTTTCTCCACATCTCTCTATCTTTCTCCGCTGATGAGTTGGTTGAGTTGGTTGACTTGGTGGCCGTGTTTGTAGGGCCAAAACAGGCTGAGATTGTCTCAGAATTTTTATTGCCACTTGCTAATTTGCGTTTTCTGTTGGCTCATCTCTGACTACGGTCTTGTCTCTCTTTCATTTTCTGTTTTTCTGTCTCTTTTCTAATACAGAGGACAAAAATTAGGATTCTTTTAGATTTTATCTTACAATAAATACAATTTGTATGTCATTTTCTTAGGACTATGCCCATTAAACTGAATATGTTTCCGCACTATTAATAAATTGAAAGTTAAATAATATTTTCAATTTTTTTTATGTGTATCTTGGGCTTGGTTTTTGCATCTGAGCCTGGTTCAATGGCACTTGAATGGGCAACTTGTTCTGGCTGGGCTTACATTTTATTGCTGTTGGTCTGTCAGTTGAATCTTTGAAGACTGAAGCATCAGCAGCGGGCACTCAAGGGTTAATATGTACATCCAATCCATCCCCTAAAGTATAATAATCAAGAATACAAAAAAACCAAACAAAACAAAACCATAGCGGATTAAACGACTTTGGGTCCAGTCAAAATCAAAAAAGGGATAAAGGGGTGGCCCATTGCAGCGGCATCAGCAACCCCAGCATATGGATGCAGTTCCTCCAACCCCGAACCAAAGTCAATGGATTTTCTTGCAAATCCCAGCCATCGAGGGGAAAAGCAAACCAAATAAGTGAGCAGGACTGGGATTAGACAGAGGATATGGACCAAAATCAGGAGCATGGGACATGTTTTGGTCATGGCAATTGCATTCAAAAGTTGTCCTCTTTGTGTTTGCCTTTTTATTTTATTTTTTAGCAACCGAAACCGCCCCCTCGATTCATGAATATTTCAATTTGTGTTAATGAAAATTCTGGCGTAACCATGGTGACTTTTTTTCACACTGGGATGGTACATTTTGTGACGAGTGTTCACTGGAAATGACGCCTGGCTTAGCATTTTTGGGATCATGGTTAGGAGTGTCCTAAATGGAATAATATAAGGGTAGAATCTGTATTCAACATTACTTTACAAAATGTATAATTTTTACTTTGTTGTATTTAGTTTACAATGCATTTGTTTAAGAACTTAATTGTACCTAAAGCTGTTTTTACATTTCTTAAATGGTGAGTTTTTATTGGGTTACCATTTTAAGATCTGTAGCTGTATTCATATTATTCTGTTGTATATATTCAATACAACTTTAAAGATGTTTCTTAAAGCTCGTAAAATGAGTACAGTGAATGTTACTCATACTTAAAAAATGTTTTAACAATTCCTAAGTTGTATGAAATACCAAAGACAATACCAAAGTTATACAAAATGGATTGTGAATCTCGAAAGAATTGCAGCCGGCTTAAAAACCGGTTGCAATAATCTGGCCAAGAGCTTTAAGCCAAGCTTAAAGCTTTCTATGCTCGATTTATATTCCTTTGCTTAATATAGTCTACCCTTGGGAGGCAAAACAATCTGCAATTATTCTCAATTTTTGAGAGATTTATACCCACTCCATATACATAAATAATTCTAAGGTCAAATCAATGCAAATCAAATCGCGATGAAACGAAAGACTCAGCACTCAAACCCAACAGACATAATGCGAAGCAAAATATTCACACCGGCTTGATCGTAAAACAAAAAAAAAATTAAACAAAACCGAAAGCGAAAAAAAAAATCGAGAGTAAGGCAAAAAATCATTTCCGCAACAATAAAAAAAAATGTCAGAAAGACTCAAAACAAAGGCGTCTAAATAAATCAAAACCGAAAATCGTCAAACAAGCTGGCAATTTCATGGATTTCACGGATTTTGATTATGAAGCCACAAATTGATTAGCATGAAAATTGCCAGAGCTGAAAATTCCTAGTGAAATAAATGAGACAAAGGCGAAATGTGAGATCTAATGATATTCAATGTCAATGTCAGATTTGTTAGATCTTTGTTGTTCAGATCTACAATGAAATGGAGGTGCAAAAACATATTAGTTATCATTTTACTATATAGACACTTTTGTAGTTATTAAAGCTAATCATTTTTGCTTAATAAGTTTCAAAAAATCCAATTTTTGTATGTTTTTCATAGGCTGAAAATTTAAAAATATTATTTTTTAAATAGAACACCATCTTTCCTTTTTATAGTACATACAAAACTTATTTGAATTTATTAATGCATATGTGGCTTACATTTCTAAACTTAAACTAGAATCAGTTCAGGCAAGAGAGAATTACAGATAATAACAAACAATTTTAGAATGCTGACCAGCCCTAACTAAAGAACTTAAGCCCCATTTCACACTAGCCAGTGATTTGAGATGAATTTGAGACGATGGGTGGGGGTTCAACAACATGATGGCCAGTGTAAATGGGGCTTACACCTGATTGTGGAATTGAACTTTGGATTGAGGCTTGTTTATTGGATGAAACCATGATCCTGCTTGATCATATCGGCCGCCTTCTCGGCGATCATGAAAACGGGTCCATTGGGATGTCCGGACATGATTTCCGGCATGATGCTGGCATCGGCCACTCGCAGATTCCGGATGCCATGGACCCGCAGGCGGGCATCCACCACCGCAGCCCGGTCCGATTTGGGGCCCATTTTGGCCGTGCCCGAATAGTGGTAGATGGTGAAGGTGAAGTGCCTCACATAGCAGGCCCAGTAGGCCCAACTCTTGTAGGCATGCTGCTTGCACGTGGGGATCTTCTTCTCCCACAACTTGGCATCGATGGCCTGCATACCCCGCTGGTCCATCAGACTGATGGCCTTCAGCAGGCCCCGCACCGAGATGTCCACGTCGTAGGGATGGGCAAAGTAGTTGGCATGGATCAGCGGATACTTGAAGGGATCGCTGCTCTTCAGCATGATGCGACCACGACTCTTGGGCCGCAAGATCATGGGAAAGATCATGAAGGCGTTCAGTGACTTGTCCTCAATCTCGGCGAACAGCGAGTCGTAGATGGACTTCTTCAGCCCAAAGGCACGTGAGATGGCCGGATTGGAGGACATGGAACCGCCCACCAGGAAGAGCTCAATGTCGGGCCAGCCATCCTCATCCCGTTCATGATCCAGATCCCAGAAGGCAATGGCCTCACAGCCGCCCGGCGAGCCATACGGTCCCTCCATGCGATTGAATCGGTTCACCAGTGTGGGATCGGCAAAGTCCTCGAACTTCAGCGACGTAGCATTGGTGGTGAAGGTGACCGCCGGCGCTGTGTGATCCTGTAGGTTATAGCCCACGGCCAGATCGGCCAGCGGCTTGATGCCCACTTCGCGCAGATGCTTGGCTGGGCCCACGCCCGACAGCATCAGCAATTGGGGTGTATTGATGGCGCCCGCCGAGACAATCACCTCCCTTCTGGCCAGGATCTTCTGCATTTTGCCCTCCGTTTGCACCATTATGCCGTAGGCCGTCTTGGTTTGCGGATCGATGAGCACCTTGGTGACCAGGGCGTTCTTCTTCACATGCAGATTGCTGCGCTTACCCTTCAGCGGATAGAGATAGGCACGATTGGAGCTCCAGCGCGTGGAATTCCGGGTGGTGGTGTGCAGGAAGGCCACGCCATTCTGAATGCGTCCATTGTAGTCGCGGTACTTGAGGCCATCCTGCTGGGCGGCCTCCACAAAGGCCTCGGAGATTTTGGAGCGCCAGTTCACATAGCTGACCTTCACCGGTCCATTGCGGCCCACATAGTCCTCCTCGGCGTCGGGCACACTGCTGCCCTCGTACTTCTTGAAGTACGGCAGCACGTCCTTGAAGCTCCAGCCCGGATTGCCCAGTGCCTCCCAGCGATCGTAGTCCCTGCGATTGCCCCGCGTGTACATCATGTAGTTGAGGACCGAACTGCCGCCCATCACCTTGCCCCTGGGCCAATTGCAGCGATTCCCGTTCATGGCCAGGCAGGCATGATCCGAGGGCTGCGTCCTGTACTTCCAGTTCATCTCGCCGAGCTGCAGGAAGTGCGCCACTATGGGCACATCCATGACCAATCGCTCGGGACCGCCGGCCTCGAGGAGCAGCACTCGCCATTGGGGATTCTCCGAGAGGCGGGCGGCCAGGGCACAGCCCGCTGTCCCGGCTCCAACCACTATGAAATCGTACTCGCTGTCCAGCACTAGATTGTTGTCATAGTTCTCCAGCTCCACGTCCGCCTGGCCGCGTCGCAAAAAGTTGATCGTCTCCAGCAAAACATTATTGCTATCCTGCGCAGAGGTTCGTCGAACCATTAATATCAGCCATAGGCATAGGCCCACGAATATCAGCGATTTGCCTGCCATCATTGGGCTTTTGCTTCACTTCTTGTTTCACCAACAAAAAAAAAAGAAAATGTTATATTATATTTGTACGTCCAGAAGGTATGGACGAGAACGCGCTGGGGTTCTTTCGACGCGATCGCGAGGTGAGCGTGTGTTGCCCAATCGGACTCGTAACTAGAAATGCTGACAAATGCCGTGGCCAAGTTCAATTTAATATTAAATTCGGCGGCGAACGCCGAACGAACAGCGATCGCTGTGCGAATCTCTCGGCGTTCGGCTTTTGGTTTTTCGGTATTTCGGTTTTTCGGTTTTCAGTTTTAAGATCGTTTTGGCTTCGGTTCGGATCGCCCAAGAATCTTCAAATCTTTCGATGACTTGACTATGGACACGTTCACAAAATGCGCGCGCTGACAAAGACCAAAGTAAAAAAAAAAAAAAAAAAAAAGCTGGTTGAAATTGAAAGCTCTACTTCGATCTGACATTGACTTGGACCGATCGCTAGATCGCTAGATCGTTAGATCGTTAGATCGTTAGATGTACAGATGCGGAAGCCGAGTGAAGACATTAAAGGGCCTCCCATGGCTAGATTTCTATTGATCCTCTTTATGCGGTTCTTTGGGCTGCAATTAACATACAGAGCCATCGTGATTCTGCGGTTTGCCAGAAGAATTCGGGAGGGGTTCTTCGAAGAACCTGTCGTTTCAGGGTAAATGTCAAAGCAGATCGCATTTAATCGCTTGCTTTGTCCACACATATTGTATAATTTTATGGTTCTAGATGGCTGGCTATAAGCTATCCAGGTCTTAAAATTCAGTAATCAAGTCTTCTTTTTTAATAATTTTTATTAGTTATGCCAGCAAGAAAATAACATGACAAGATTATCTTCACTTGAATCTTTTCTAGAGAGTAGTTATATTATAATCCCACCGTAAGAAGCCAAATAATAAACCAAATGATTTATGTTCCAGACGATTTGTATTAAATTTTATTTAATTACAAGCCAAATGAGTTTTATTCCAAAAACATTTTTTATTATATTTAATTTTTTATGATGCTTGGGTACTTTTCAAAAACTTAATATATGTGAAATTAACATGCTCATTTAATATAACCATTTAAACATAAATTAAATTTTAAAACCAATTGCCAAAATGATTTTCTACATAAAAAAATTACTAATTTTGGTAACATTTCTTTTTTCATTTTATAAACAAAAAAAATAAATAAGGTGTGTTCTGTAATTAATGACCAGTATCTACAAATGCCAGCTAAAAATTTTAATGATTTGCTTTTCCTACAAAATTATTATCTTCTGTACTTTCTTTATTATATGTAGAATAATTTGCATACAAGAAAAATCATTAATAGGAATTTACAGCTGAATGACAAATTATTGTAGGATTAGTTGTCCATTTGTTTGTAATTATTATAGTGATCTAACAATTAATTACCACCATTTGGAATAATTAACATTAAAAATAATTTTTTTTCATTGTCATTACACTCATTGAGTTAAGAAGGTTGTTCTGCCTTTTTTTATGCATTAGAACTCACTCAATTATATATATAAGATCACCCCTTGAAAAATATAGTGTTACTGAATTTTTAATTTTCTTTTTAAAAAGAAAACATGAGGATATTTACTACAAAATTATTTTTAAAATTAAATATTAAGTCAGGGAAATACAGTGCATATTTAAATACATGATTTAAAGTGGAAAGTATTGAATTTTAAATGGGTCCTTGTTGTTTAATTAAATTGATTATTAAATACTCGGATTTACTACGTTATTTTGTTATTTTTTTTTTATCAGTGTTAGAGAAAGTTATGATCCTCTTTGATCATGTCGGCTGCCTTCTCTGCTATAAGGTAGACCGGCCCGTTGGGATGGCCCGAGATCAAATAGGGCATAATGCTGGCATCCACAACCCGGAGCTTTTCAATTCCGTGGACCCTGAGGCGGGCATCGACCACCGCCGACGGATCCTGCCGAGGACCCATCTTGGCCGTGCCCGAGTAGTGGTAGATGGTGAAGGTGAAGTGGCGGGCATAGCAGGCCCAGTAGGCGCTGCTCCTCCACTTGTGTTTCGCACAATTGGGCAAGCGTTTCTCCAGCAGTTTCGCTCCAATCGCCCTAAACGCTGGCTTGTCCAGTAACCTCACAGCCTGTTCGATTCCACGCACCGTGATGTTCAAATCATACGGATCTGCAAAGTAGTTGGCATAAATTCGCGGATGTTCGGTGGGATTTCGACTCTTGAGTTTGATGCGACCCCGACTTTTGGCCCGCAGGATCATGGGGAATATCATGAAACCGTTGGCACTCCGCCGTTCTAGTTCTCCGAACATATTCTCATATATATCCGATCGGATGCCCAGTGCCAGACGTAGGGCCAAGTTCGTTTGCAAGCCACCAGCCACCACAAACAGCTCCATGTCGGCCCAGCCATCGGGATTGCGAGCATCGTCCAGGGCGTAAAAGGATATGGCCTCCACGCCACCGGGAATGCGTAGTACGCCTCGTCCCTTGAGGAACTCGGACATGACCTCCACCTTGAACATCTCACTGATTTGCAGGGAGCTCACGTTGCACAGCACACTCACGGCCGGGCCAATGTGATCCTGGAGGTTATAGCCCACGGCCAGATCGGCCAGCGGCTTAATGCCCATCTCCCGCAGATGTTTGGCTGGGCCCACGCCCGACAGCATCAGCAATTGGGGTGTATTGATGGCGCCCGCCGACAGGATCACCTCCCTTCTGGCCAGGATCTTATGTAGTTTGCCATCTATCTGCACCATAACGCCAAAAGCCTCTTTCTTTTGCGCATCGATCAGCACTTTGGTGACCAGGGCGTTCTTCTGCACCTGCAGATTCCTGCGTTTCCCCTTGATGGGGTACAGATAGGCCCGATTGGAGCTCCACCGGGTTTCGTTATAGATGTTGGCCTGTAGATAGGAAACACGCAGCTGCCTCGCTCCATTGTAATCGCCACGTGGCAGACCCGCTTCCTGGGAGGCTCGCACAAAGGCATCGGCGATCTTGGTGCGTGTCTCCGTGTAGCTGATCTTCACGGGGCCACGACGTCCCACAAATGCGTCCTCAGCATCGGGCACCACGCTGCCCTCGTACTTCCTGAAATAGGGCAGCAACTCGTCGTAACTCCAGCCGGGATTGCCCAGCTGAGACCAGCGATCGTAGTCCCTGCGATTGCCCCGCGTGTACATCATGTAGTTGAGGACCGAACTGCCGCCCATCACCTTGCCCCTGGGCCAATTGCAGCGATTCCCGTTCATGGCCAGACAATAGCTGTTCGAGGGTTCCGTCTTGTACTTCCAGTTGACTTCGCCCAACTGCAGCAGATGCGCCACGATGGGTATGTCCATGGCATAGTTCTCGGGACCACCGGCCTCCAGGAGGAGTACGCGCCACTTGGGATTCTCCGAGAGGCGAGCAGCGAGGGCACAACCCGCCGTGCCAGCTCCAACCACTATGAAATCGTAGTTGGCCGACAGCGGTTGTCCCTCGTCCAGGTTCTCCAGATCCAATTGCTCCTGGCCGCGTCGCAACATCTCCAGCATATCGAACACGGAGTTGCCATTGTCGTCCTGTCCCAAAACCACCAACACCGCAAATGCCAAGAGACAGAGCCAGAGCCAGAGGCTGAGAATGATTCTCAAGTGATGATGCAAAGTCATTGGAGTGGCGAAGTCATCCAACTTTGCAGCCGGACGCACTCGACTGCCGCGATCGACTGGCCCGCCCGATGAGCTGAACTAAAATCTAAAACCTAAAACCGACTCTGGGGGAAAAACTGCAGCTACAAACTGTTGACAATTGCGGCTTTTGGTCTTGGACCTTTTTCAGCCTTTAAACAGTGTCTAGAATATCATACTTAAGTAACTAATCGAACGATCGATCGATCGATCGATCAAACGATCAATCGATCAAACGATCGATCAAAGATCATAAACATTTCACTCAAAAATGCAGTGGCATTCCCACAAGGGAAAGCTTCGGTTATTTTAATTTACCACACATGGATCCTTAATTGTGTGCTGAATACTGAAATCACGTAATAACGGGTCTGTTCTAATCGTATTATCAATGGTATGAGGTTAAGGGAAAATAACTCCAATAGTGTATATAACTTGGTGTAATGAAAACAGTAGTTTTATACAACAATATAGGGGAACAACAAAATCTCTTAATTGCTTTGAAATCAATTGGTTATAACAATTGTGACTAGTTAAATATGTATATCAAGCTCACTGAAGTCGAAGTAACTCAATAATGGATATATAATTAATATTTATTATTGTGAAAATATAATTTTGAACAAGAAAGGAAGCAAACTTCGGCAAGCCGAAGTTCATATACCCTTGCAGCTATTGCAATAATTAAATATTTTTGAAAACATCAAAATTAAGATTTACTTTCGTATATGTTTAATTATAGATAGTTATTTTATATATTTATAATATTTCGATGGAATCTATATAATATAGTCGTCCGATTTTGATGAAATTTATACCGTAATTCTGAAATATTTAACCATTACTATATGATCCTATGGGAGCTATATGCTATAGTCGTCCGATCCGGCTCGTTCCGTTTAATGTACTACCTGCAATAGAAAGACAACTTTTGGGAAAGTTTCAAGCAGATTGCTTAAAACTGAGAGACTAGTTTGCGTAGATACGGACGGACAGACGGACGGACATGGCAAGATCAACTCTCCTAGTGGTGCTGATCAAGAATATATATACTTAATAGGGTTGGAAAGGTCTCTTTCACTGCGTTGCAAACTTCTGACTCAAATTATAACACCCTCTGCAAGGGTATAAAAATTAACAACAAATTCCAAAAATATACGAGGATTGAATTTATATTCATCGTTATGGTCAATTAGGATTTTGTAATCGAAAGAATGTTGATTAAGTGACTTAAATACTAATGCAAATAAGAAGCAGACTTGTAAACTATATATTCATTGTTTTATTGATTTGTTTCGAAATAATTCACCACTTTTAATTATACAAACTCGTAAACGGTGAGTGGACTTACTTGGAGGCATGTCATGTTTGTTTTTTTATTCTGTATTTTTTGTTTTTACTTAGCTTGGCGCATTGTTTAGTGAATAATTTTTATAATTATTTCCGCTTGCATGTGAATTCGTGAGCTTAGAATGGGAGGGCCCAAGAGAGTCGATTGGCAGACGTTGTAAAAAAATAAAATTTCAAGATAGCCCAAACTAGTAAGCCCAACAACTCGTGAGTGGAAACTTGGCAACGTAGATACTATACTTGTACGTAAACTTGGCCAGCCGACCGCAACCGTATGACATACTAAAAGAAAACGAAACAAAAATAAATTAAGAAGGTGCTTAATGGTTTTTTGATGTGTTCTCCGCCCCAAATGACGTCGAGGCGATGGAATATGGTTAGTCGAAGGACAATCGCTTAAAGAATCCATCTGATGCCAAAAGGGAGTATCATCGCAGCATCGCATAATCGAAGGAGATGCTGGCTGCTTGGAATACAAATGAGGACCACTGCGTTAAGAACCTTTTGTGGAAAATCGGAAATCTGAAGGCCGTTGGCAACCCAGAACACCACAAACCGTTGACATTCAAGCCCAACCGACACGCTGGGCACTTTGGAGTCAAGGCCGAAAAAGCACTGAGGCTTCCAATTTCGCAATTCGTCTGCGATTCGCGGGCCTCAAGTTCGCTGAGCTGCTATTCGATTATAAACAGTGGGAGAAATAAGTGTGTACCAGCAAAGCTGTTTTTTTTTAAATATTAACAACAAAAGGTACTACAAATATAATCTTTTTTAGCTGTTTAAATGTTTATATTATGTATATTATAAATAAGAAACATTTTGTTCAGCTTAATTTTGCATTTATTTTAAGGGGTCTTTATTACCAGTTTGCCAAAAATTACAAATTAAAATATAAATCAAGTATTTTAATCCTAAGTCTAGTATTTCTTTTCATCTAATTTAAATATTTGTTTTATTAAATATATGTGTCTTGTATTGCGTAATAGTTTTTAAGCAACAGCATAATTGAATTGTAAATTTTTGTTAATAGGATATTGTTAGGCATTTGCTTGAATTGAAAAAAAATGTTGGTAATAAATATAAATGGGGAAATCACTGGCTTAAAATATATTAATTACGTTATTTAGATGTTTATGGTCGTATTTCTAATGTTGGTAATAAATGTTAATGGGTAAATCGTGGTATTTCACTGCCATAGGGAGTGCTTTAATTGACTTGTTTTTTTCTCAGTGCAACCAGCTAACGGCAATTAAAGTTTTGGATCTTACTATCGATAGGTATTGTGCTGTCGCAGAAACAGCAGCAACGACTCTTTCTGTTCGCATAAAGTCAAGAATTTAAGCAAACCCGTTGTCTTTGACCGAGTTTTCATAGTTGGCAACTGCCGATTTTGGCCAAGTTGCTCTTTGCACTGACTGACAATTTTTATTTTGAGGCCTCGACCATGTCTTTATCGGGCTTTTGACACTCATTATTGGCTGGCCCATGGCATTCGATGCCGGCAACAGGATGTCAAATCATCGAAATGAAGGATATTCTACTTGTTATTAAATGTAAATTGCAGTCATGTTGATACAGCTGATTGTTGTTTGACAATCTGCAGAGTGACTGGCAGAAAAAATGAAAATGTGTTGGCCGTAAAAAGTTCTTAGCTCTACCATAAAATGCGTCTTTGGAGTTTTTTTTTGTGGCGATTAATTGCGTTGGGATTGATCATCATGACAAGACAATTCGTTTACTTCCATCAGTTTGCATAGACACCGTTTTTGATGTGGTAATACTTGCCGGTGGAAGACAGTTTAGTGATCTGATTCCTGATTAAAACACAAAACCTGTTTCTCGTGTTAATACATTTTAAACATTAGATATTTGCGAAAACTACGATGCACCCCATGTTCAATGAATGAGCGAAGGTAAATCCAGTTTAAAGTACTTCTTGAAGGTTGCAAAGAATACGCCTTAAGAATTCAATCAAAAATTACAAATATTTCTTCCAAAAATCAGAACAGACCTTATCATATTGTTGCCAAATAAAGCTTTAACAAAATCCAAATTCATTGGAAATAACAACTGTAAAACGTCAAGTCGATTACACTCTATTTCCTTTTTGCAAAACTGCTAATGGGTTTGTTGTTTTTCACGAAGGGGGTGTTTCCTATTTCGACCAGCTTCTGTATGCATTCATTATCTTTAGATTTACTACGGTTATTAACTTTGTAATGGTCATTAGACGAGTACACATAAAAAAACAAATACATTTACATTTTAGATGTCTATGAATTTTTATAACTTATAATTATTATCTTATTTTTTTTTATTTTGCTGCAACTTATGATTATCCATCATTTAAACGATTTTGTATTTATTTAGTTTTGGGTAATCAATTATTGTTAATGATTTGTTTTTTTTTTGTGAATTGTACTTTGAAACCTGAACAATTTTTTAATGTGCAGGCTTTTAATTAATTTCAGACAATTAATTATTGTTTTACATTTTTTATTTCCCTGCACGATATTTAAATATCTTAAATTCGAGTAGTTCACACCAGAGTTGTCAAAATTTCAAAATAATCGAAATTAATCCAGACACATTGGGTGCATACCACATCCAATTCTCTGTAAAATGTCCAGACCGCCGGCTGTTAGGGAGCGAAAGCCTGGGATTGGGAGTAACCCTCAATTTGAGGCCAGGAGGATTTCGACTTCAAAGACTTCGGATAGCGAGCCGAGTGGTTCGAGGAAATATCTGAAAAGTGGCCAAACCGAAAGGGTTCCTATTGAAACTCAAGGAAGAAATAATGGCCTTCCGGATAATGGCTACGATGCGGGTCTGGATACCGTTGATGCCAACGATTACGACAGAGATGAGATGGCAATCAAGCATTCGAGGGATCGCAGGCGCCTAAACTCTTTCGTTTACCCAGAACCGATTCCATCCAATCGACTTGGTGGATTTTTACGCGCCCTGGCTCGCAGTTTGCATCATTGTTCGATGAGGATTGCCGCCGGATTCGGTTTGAGCCGCCAACAGGCCGCCTGGTACAAGAACTGCTGGAACACTAGACCGGACTCCCAGCCCAAGGGAATCAATCTGCTGTGTACTCACAAGAAAATTGAAGAACACTCTGCGCCAAATTTAAATTCAAAAACACAAACAGAACCTCGAAAAATTGCAAGTTCCACAACTCTTTGAGGTTCTAAACTATAATTTTGCTTCATTTTGAAACCCTCTGCAATAAAAATTTATGGTGGCTTAGAAAGGGGAGGGCTTTAAAGGACTTTATTCCCAATTTAAGGTTCCAGTTTCTTCAAACTTAATAAACTGCCCAGCATTACTCTCCAACAACAGTGTCATTTTCCTTTTAAATATTTGTATAGATTTTTAAAAATATCATTAAGTAATACTCTCACTAAAATTTGTAAAAATCATTCTCTATTTTTTCTCTTTGGTTTTCATTCATTGCTGTTTTTAGTTATTTTATATATGGAAACATTCAATTTAATTTACATATTTAATTTGACTATTTTCGGAATATATTTGAATTTATGAATTATGATTTTAAATTTAAAACTTATTATATTTAAATATAATGTGGTTTCCTAAAATCTGATTTTATACATAATTTAAATAGAAATTATAAGATTCCATAGGCAGATGTACATTTATTTATGTACGCATAAACAGCTCAAAAATTGTATATAAAAAAACCTTTTTAAACCCTAAAACTCATTATTTATGCCTTAAGAACTCGCATATTTTTGATTATTTCCACCAAAATATTATTGCATTTGATTGTGAATTCCACATTGTTTAGTTAGAAACGAAACCAACGCATTTTGTTGTAGGAAGTTTGACCGATCAAATGAATCAATTATTGAGACTTCCCCCAAAGCAAAGTGGACTTCCAAGCCGCAGCAAATCGATTCATTTGCAAATGATTGACATGACAAAGCAGAACAGAAGTTGAATAACATTTTGATACGATCATAATGCGCATAATTGCTATACGCCAACGCACATATAGATACAGATACAATCCAAATAGATACACACAGGCCAAGTTTGGCCAGATAACATTATTGTTTGCCAAGCACTAAAGCTCATTAAAGTGTGCAATTATTTGATCTGAAGTCCACTATTCGGTGCGATTGTTGTGATCAATGGCCAATAGAGTACGTGACGCCAACACTTTGTTAAAAATAAATAATAGTTGATGAAGTCAGGAAGTTGATCGAAAAGATCAGCGCAATGGTGATGATGGAACCGGGGTTCATGGATCAAGATTATCAAACGGAAATGCTATAAATAAATAGAAAAACAAAAATGGTTTAATAGATGAGAAGTGCACTGCAATGTGCTATCAGATATAGAAACTAAGTTCTTGATTTATAAATGCTTGCATTTTTTTTTGGTTACAACATAAAACATCTACATTAAAGTACTTAACACTGTTTAATAGAATATAAAAAACATATTCTTGATTTATGAATGCTGGCATATTTCTTAACAACATGAAACATAAATATCCTACATTAAATAGAAGTAATTATTCTCACATCTAGATAAATACCACTGTTTGATAAACATTTTCCTTACATTAGTTGTAAATAGATTCAAATCTAACTTCCACGTCATTTTAAGCAAATCACAGTGAGTCAATTAACAAAAAAAAGAAACCTCTATAAAATAATTCTTAATAAATATGTAAACTTCCCATTGAATCACAAAAACCGATGTCTAGTTCAATTTCCTATCCAAAATTTCCGTTTATCAAGGTTGACCAAGTGACTAAGAATTTTTGTTTGCCCTTTGATTCGAATTTAGACTTGATTGGCACCTTTGTAACAATTAAAAGAACTGGCTGTTCAAGTCTAAAGTGGCATTCTATCTGGTAGATATGGGTCACTAATCATCAACCAGGGTCAGAAAAACAAAACAAAACAAAAAAAAAAAGTGAAACTTCCGGTAGACTTAAGAATGTTGCCATGTTGCCATGCTTCCATGAATATTTATGCTGTAATCCCTTACAATAGCTAATTCTTAGTTTTTCATGATTTATCGAGCCCCATTAATATTTTATTTCTCAATCTTGTTTACTTACAGGTGAGTTGTTGTGTTTGGAGTATGCAAATTAGTGAATACCGAGGCAGAGATCAAGTTCATTGGGTCTGGGTCAACTGCTCGGACACGATCGCTTGTCGTCTAACGGAGATCGGAGATCACAACAAGTTGACTGACCTCTAACTGGAACGGTAACACATCAATCCGGAAGTTATCTATTCTGCAGATGATCCGCAGATACTTCCGCTGGCCATTGACCCAGTTTCTCCTTTTGGATTTTTGATTTTTTCCGATTTTTGCAGACTCCGTTTGCCAATGTCTACATATGTGCTTGGGTTTATTGCGTTTTTGGCCGAGAAATCGCCAAAGATATGCGTGTGCATAGACATGTGTCTAGGGCAAATCCGGTCACCTGCGAATCGTGGCGAAATTGCACTCGGTCACGTAGACATCGTGCCTCCATTTCGATTACCCTTTTTTGCTTCATATTTTTGCGGGCGTGGAAAAAGGTGTTTAACAAAACGAGTCAGAACTTGGCAACAGCAGTAATGCGACTTGTTGGTTCTGTCTTTCATTAAAGCATTTTGTGATTTTGAAAGCTTTTTTATTGTCTATTAATAAAAGAGGTCGTATACGTTATATTTATTCATTAAAAATAATGACAATAAAATCAGAAAAGTAATTATGTAAATATGAATAGGAATAATTACATAAAACTGTTTTAATTTGTTATTTTGAAATGGTTTTTTATCTACAGGTTATTTAGAATTCTACCTTTGTTTTTAAAACCAACGCTTCTAAATTTGTTGATGGGTTTTTTTCCTTACAGGTCGTATACGCAATATTAAAAATTGATTTCTTTATATCCTCTGTCAATTAGCATATCAAATAATATATGTTCTGTTAACCTTTTTCTTTATTCAGCCTATACCTATGGACACAAAATTTCAAAATCAAGCAATTATTTCGTTTGTCGCGCGAATAGAACTACTTTCGCCATCTACCGGATAAATATTAATTTTTTAGGAGAAGAAAATGCTATTAACAAATTGATAATGAAAAACCATCTTCTTTTTCTCATATTCCCAAAGTTAAGGGTACCTTTTTATTATTTATTAAAACACCGAATTAGACCTTGAACTTGCCCGAACCGCGTTCGTCCATTAACAAGTGTGATTTGTGCTCAGGTTTTTTTGTTGTTTGGCTTGGACATTTCCATTAATAAGCCATAAAACCTGGTTTTTCTGCTTAGCTTCAGTTAAAATGATTATAAACCGCTTTTTAGCCGGCTCAATTAGAACGTTTCGTGGGTAAAGTGGGACAGGGACCGATTGTTTAGCGCAAACCACGTCCGGAAAAAGACATCCAAATAGTGATTATATTTTGAGTTGATTAGACCATTTCCGGCTTCCGATATTCGCATGAAAATTGTTGACCAAGGCCCACGGTCTTAAACCTGTCAAAACGATGATTTATACCACTTCGATTGGTGGCTAGTTAATAGCTTAATATTCTGTATACATATATATCGACATTTCGATGGGCGTTGCTGCGACAAGTTCAAAACGTGGCTTTTCTGTCTGCTGGTAATTAAATATACATATTTTCTACACAAAAATGTTGCGTTGCGTGCTGTCTTATCTTCAGTTTAGTTTACTACCGCGCCCAAATGCTAGGCTATGGTATTTAAAACCTTAAGTATAAATGGGTAGGGCCTTTTATTGAGTATTTTTCGTGAATATTTTCGCTTCAGGGTGAGTTCGTTAAGTTGTCACTCACTGTCTGTGATGTAATCAATCAAATACTCTGTATTATGTAATTAGGTGATGGGCACATGATTCTTAAAGTGGTATCTGTATTTAGATAGCAAAATTGTTTTAATAAAATTAATTGATTTTTACTTTACATGCAATCAAAATAGTTTATTTCAAAGTAGGTTGTTTAAACTTTATGGACTTAATGCAAAATATTTTTTAGATTTTTTGCTATCTGTTCCTTGATTAAAGAAAAGACACCCTGAAAGACTCAAACAATATAAGAATGTAATTGAAATAATTCCATCAACAAAATACATCTAACCACGCGATGACTCATTTCTCTTTTGGCCAAAAACCAATTTGCTTACCTCATTTGCGTGGCCTGCTTTACGGCTGTCAGCAAATAACAACCATTTCGCCTTTAACCTTTATGCAAATTTAATTTATTAAATAGAATGTAGTTTAAATAATGCGCGTGTATGGGAGTTTCCTATAAATAGTCAAACAATACTATATTATCTTACTCTAGCTTAGTATAAATATTACATAAACAAAAAAAAAAAGGGACAACAATTTCTTAATATAGCTAGGAATACAGCATAATTGAGGGCATTTAATCTATGACTCGATTTCTGGTTTCCGTCTTGCAATTGGTCGTTGTGTAGAGTTTTCGAGGACGTCATGTGTTGAGATTCAATGGGCAGTATGAGTTCTCCCTTATACAAATTTGAGTTGTTGAACGCTTAACTTTTTTGTGCACGCAAAAAGATATTTTACTATCATAGTTAATAATTAGGCATCAATGCCTTTTTGCAGTTATTGTGTAAACTGATGGTCTAATTAAAAGCAGACATCAATTAAAAATAGGGTGAAGTATGGAGTTTTAGATGTAAACCTTTTATGAACAGCAGTTTGAAATAATTCCATAAAGTTGATAGTTGTACAACATTGGACATTTTTAAGTCGATTCCATAATTATGATAACTCATGGTTAAATAGTAGATAGCTTCTGGTTTCATTGAAGAATTTTCTATGAATTTCTAAGCTTCACAATGTTCTGAATCACATTCCGTTGAGTTATTCTCCATTCAAAAGAGTTTCCATCTCAACAAGTTGCTTTAGCAATGGCACTCACTATTTTTTTGTAAGTGTTTAAAGCTAATGGAGCCCTGAGCACAAAATCTGAAGCTGACTGGCAGCTCTGTTATCCTTTTCAAGCCACTAACTATCAACATAGTTGAGTGTGAAGTTGCTGCTGCTGCTGCTGTCGATGTTGCTGATGTTGTTGTTTATGTGACTGATGTTGCTGAAATTGCTGAAGTTACTGAAGTTGCTGTTGTTTATGAGACTGCTGTTGCTGGAATGGCTCTCGATGTTGCTCCTGTCGCTGAGGTTGCTGCTGTCGCTGTGACTGATGTTGCTGCTGGCGTTGGGCAGCGTGATGATGCCCTGAATATTGCTGCCAGCTGTTTGCGCATCCCGCGCTTGAGTCTGCCGCTTCACTTTGTACTCGGGATTCGTTAGCCAGTCCTCCTTGATGAGATCGGCACCCTTTTCGGCTATCATTATCACCGGGGCATTGGTGTTGCCACTACTAATCGTCGGCATAATGCTGGCATCGATCACCCTCAAGCCGCGAACTCCGTAGACTCGCAGGCGTGGATCGACCACTGCCTCGGGATCCCAGGCGGGTCCCATTTTGGCAGTGCCGCACGGATGGTAGATGGTCATCGAGATGGTCCTCACATGGCATTCCAAATAGGCATCCGAGAGGAACTTGTGCTGTTTGCAATTTGGCAGCGGTTTGCGCCACAATCTCGATCCAAATTGCTTAAAAACCTGCGCCTCAGCCACTCGCAAAGCTATCTTGGCGCCCTCCACCAAGGTTTTCGCATCCAGCGGATCATCAAAGTAGTTGGCATTGATCAGGGGATAGTGGAAGGGATTGGCCGAACGCAACTTGACCGAACCCCTCGATCTGGGCCTCAAGAGCAGCGGCATTATCGTCCAACTATCCTTGTTGGCTATGGGATGGTAGACCTCCTGGTAAATGGATTCCTTCAGGCCCAGCACCTTCTTCACCCGCGCCCCATTGTCCGAATTGATGGAGGCCGGTGCCATATGGAATTGAATGTCCGGCCAATCGCGGCTGCGATTCGAGTAGGGTGTGTGGACAAAGGCCAAGCCCTCCACTCCGCCCAATGTGGTCATGGGTCCTCGTTCGCGCAGCACATACTGAAAGGTCACTGCCGTGGGATTGAAGCGATCCTGGACAATGGCCACTGGCTTGTCCACCAGGAAGGTCAGTCCACCCATGCCCACATGATCCTGCATATTCTCACCAACGGGCAGATCTTGCAGCACCCGAATGCCCAGCTTCTCGAGATGCTTTCGCGGTCCCAAGCCGGACAACATCATTAGTTGGGGTGTGTTTATGGCGCCGGCCGACAGGATGATCTCCCTTCTGGCGGCTATCCTATAGACCTTGCCATGCTTCACAAACTCCACGGCCTGAGCCCTCATGGTGCCCGGCTCCATGATGACCCTCGTCACGTGGGAGTTCATCGAGAGGTGGAAGTTCTTGCGCGAACGTATGGGTCGCAGGAAGGCCTTGGCTGTGGAGCATCTCGATCCGCGTCGAATGGTGCCCTGGGCGATCATGAAACCAGCCTGTTTGGCGCCATTTATATCCCGATTCTCATAGCCCATCTGAGTGCCGGCCTCCACAAAAGCGGCCACCAGCGGAGAATGCCAGGGGGATTCCTGAACAGTCATCAGTCCGCCGCGACTGTGATACTTGTTGTTCGCCAAATAGGGATTGCGGTTGTCCTCCGATTTCTTGAAGTAGCGCAGGACATGGTCGTAGTCCCAGCCAGGATTACCCAGCGATGCCCAGTGATCGTAGTCATTGCGATTGCCGCGCACATAGAGCATATAGTTTAGGACCGAACTGCCGCCCAACACGCGACCTCTGGGCCAATTGCAGCGATTGTTTTGCATACCCAGGCAGGCCTTGGTCGAGGGTTCCGTCTTGTAGCCCCAGTCCAGTTTGCTCAGCTGCAAGTAGGCAGCCAGCGATGGTACGTCCGAAATCTCGTTCTCATCCGGACCGGCCTCGATGAGCAGCACCTTCCACTTGCGCACCTCGCTCAAGCGATTGGCCACCACCGCTCCGGCGGAACCACTGCCCACCACAATGAAATCGTACTCGGGGAAGAGATTCAGCTGGTCCAGGGGTCGCGATTCGGGATCCACGGCATCGTAGCGATAGTACGTGATGGCGGCCAACATCAGGGGGATCAGCCAAAGTCCCGTGGTCACCACACCAAACGTGGACTTGATCACGGTGGTTATGAAAAGCAGGTTTAGCACCATGTTGGTTCCGGGGGACAGAACTAGTTCTGGGCTCACAAAGTTTTCCTTAGTTTCGTGGTTTTAGTCTTTCTTTCCTCTTGCCGCTCTCTAAATTCTAGCGTTTCTTTCTTTTGTGCATGGCGGGGCTCTAATTTCGCCCGATTTTCAATCAGCTGCTGCTTTGCTAAAATGATTCAAATTCTCGATTGTTAGTAGGGATTTCTCATCAGGATGTTTACCATCTATTCTCTGGTATTTGTCCAACTGTTTAACAGTCTTTTTCTTGCTGAATTAGTTTTTCATTGGCTTTCTTGCCCATTAAGTAGTTATTGTTATTAAATTTGTATTTATTATTTCTGCTTCTTAGCTCCTTCTTTGATTTGAAATTTAGTTCACGTTTAATCCTTATTGCTGCTGATTTGTGCTTTTCTTGTGCTCCCCGTAAGCCAACTGAAAAATAAAGAAAAGTTTATGAGAAAATGTGTTTAGAAAGAAAATTCGGGTAAAGTTTAACTAGTTAGTAATACAAATATAGTTCGGAATTGTAAGTGTTTGCCTATTTTTCAGATCATAAGTTACAATATATTGGTTGTTCCGCCACTCTATCAATTACCAAACATAATTTGTGCAAATTTCATATGTCTAACCAACCAAATAGTACTTGCTATCCATCGTTTGCATAACTTCTTGCTGGTTCTTTGGTTGTCTAAGTCGAAATGAAATGAACAAATTTCGAACTGATTTGCTTAACTGCCTTGTCGAATGCATTCATTGGTTTTGATTGCAACAGTTGCTTGTGTGTATTGCACTAATCCAAGATTTCTGTATTTCCTGACCAATTTTGGATCTTAACACCACTGCGATTGACGACCTTGAGCGACAAAGGCGGATTGTTAGCGGCTTTTCACTTCGGTTGCTTATAATGTTGGCCACGTAAATGCAACCATCTTTCGTTTGTTTGTCTTTCAAATTCGTCGGCCGTTTTTTCGGTTGGATTACAACAATATTTTTTTGTACGATACAGACTGACGTAACCCATGGTTTTTTTTTTTAGTTTTTGGATTTTTGGGCTATTCGTAATTGGCGTGCTCGATTGGGCAAAGAGACATACGAAATGGGTATGGGTTTCGTTTCATTTCGATTGTATTGCGAGCATTTTGTATCTGAGCTTTGGTGGGTTTACAGCCCAAAGCCCAAAGCCCAATGCCCAGATCTCGGGACTCAATGGCTTTGGCTATATTTGTTGACACATGGTTGTTGCAAAGTTGTTGTTGAGTTGTTATCGAGCGGGTGTTGAAATATCCAACGGCATTTAGCGCCTGTCTATCCAGTTTACAAATAAGCGAGGGGTCTATTTTATTTCGTGAAGGGGGTGGCTTCCCCTCCCCCTCCCCTTGTTTTTTTTTGTTTTTTGTTGTTTGTAGGAGTGGTGGGTGCGAAACTTACAATTTACATACCTGGCCTAATGAGTGTGAGATTCACAGACAGGTGAAGGGAAGCCAGAGGGGCTCGAAAAGAAAAAAATAATTAAAGTGACAGGTGGTGGCGAAAGATAGGGAATTCATTCGCATTAATAAAACTAATCGATTTTCTTTGCTTATTAAATTCCTTTTCGTTACTATAAATTAAGCTAATAAATAGCACTACTTAGAGCAAGTGAAATAAATAATTAGTTACATTTTTCTTGTTGCTTTTTAACAGATATTTTATAAATAATTGAAATCAAAACTTTTAAAACGTGAATCTAAAAATAACACAATAAAATGATGATGCTAATGTCAAGTAACATACAAGTACCCAAACACTTTTGACAGTTTTATTTATTTTGTCATTAACATTAGTTTTTTGTGGCTTGAAAATACCAGTAAACTACTTTTTATTACAAAGGGCATGTAGGTTGACAATTATTTTTTTAAACCAGTTTATTTTATTTCAATGTCACTGCTAATTTGTAACGGACTTGCTTTTAATTTTTTTGAGGATTAGATTGAGTTATACACTTTTTTTTTGTGATAAATAGAAATTTTGTGCTCTCTCTCGTTTAATTTTCTTTGAAACCCGGCCACTCTGACATAATCAATTTCAATGTCGATTTCTTATCACTTCAACTACCAACCGCACAGACAGCTATTTCTGTGGCCAAGTGAAAGGCCAAGTGAGTCCGGGCCAACCAAAAAAAAAAAAAACAAAAAAAATAAAAAAATAAAAAACAGGTGGCTATCAAAACCTTTCCTGGCGCAAATTCGTATCTTGGTATCTTGGCATCTTGAGAGTGGAAGCTGTGGGTCCATTTCTTCGGCAATGTTTTCTGCTTTTCTTAGGGTTTGTTTTTTTTGTGATTTGTTTTGTGCGAAAAACCTCCGCGGGCCAGCAACAACAACAACAACAACAAAAATTGTTGTAAAAATGTCGAAAAAAAGTTGCACGAAATTGGGTCAGCAGCGACAGCAAACAAGTTTACTTTGCGGCTCCGGGACCAGGTAAACCTGTTGGCCCGGCCCGGAGTTATCATCCATCCACAACCATCCACCCCCCTCTCCTGTTGCTATTGACATGCGTCATTACTGTGGAGACAAAAAGCGCTGTTTTTAGACCCGAGCCAAAAATGAACATCCACAGCTGTTTACAAAATAATAGTTATATATGTAGATCTTTTAAAAAATACTTTCTTAGATTTTTAAATTAATTTTAGATAGTTTCGAAAAGCAAATTTGGAAAAACGTATTTAAAGTGCTTTCCATGTACATTTTCTTTTTTTTAATTTTACCTAATATATACTATTTTATATTTATAAATTCATTGCATTGATATGGTTTCGTTAAGAAAATACATTACAAAATTAATTTAAAGTGCATTTCAGGTAAAATTTAAGCTTATAAAAAAGTAACAAATATATTAGTAAGCATATGTAGAGAGGCATTTAGCATATTTGATTGCAATTTTAAATTTCATATTGTACTTTAATCTGGGCGGCTTATAACTTTCAGTTGTTTACTTTAATTAATAATTATTTTAATTATATTGGAAGTGGTTTCAATGAATAATATCAAAAAGGTTGTTTGCAGTTATAAATATCATATTGATATTTTATAAAAGAGTGCTTATAGTTGTTATTTGTTTAATTCAACTATTGCTTAAATTATTAAGGAAGTAGTTTGAATTCGACCTGTTTTCAAAGTTTCTGAAATTTTAAATTTTAAGTAATGGCGAAATTCTTAAAAATAGAAAATTCACTTAAAATGCAACAACTGCATTTGTATTGAATATAATAACGGAAATCAAAAACTATTAATTTGAACACAGCTGTATACAGATTATTATATTCACAAGCTTTGATGTAAGCCAATTAGACTTCCTGTCCAGCTGAAGGCCATGATCACTGATCACTGATCGCTTTAAAGCCAACTGAACTTCCCCTTGTTGAAGTTTTTTTTTGCCTTACTACTTTTAGCACCCACGCATCCAACCACTTTATCATGATGATTGAGACAATTAAAGTGATTTGCTTGCCGATTTTGTGCGCTAATTTGGTGTAAACAAACGCAGACATCAGTCACTCATTCACTCAGTTTTTTTTTTAGCCACTCGACATTGCTATGAAGTCGTTGGGTTCACGATTACAGTGTCAGTCGGTGTCATTTTGTGTCAGTCACCTTGGCCAGCAGGTGCCAAAGTCGTTTATTTGCCGGCTAAATTGGATATTCTTCAGGTCTCTTGGGAAGCCATGTCATTGTGTCAATGACTTGATTTGGCCCAAAACGACAACAGCAACAACCAATCCCCGGCAAAACAGTGCCCGTTTAACTGTATTCAAATGGTGCAATTAATTAATTATAATACTCATGGCTATGTAAAATAGTTTAATTACCTAGCGGCAAATTGAATTTAGCTGCAACAACACCCATGGAAATGAGTGCAGCAACTGTTGCTGCACAAAAAGAAACATTCGCAATGAATTCCTATGCTTCAATATACAACAAAACTCTTTTTAATGGAAATACCAAAGTTAAACAGTATTAAAAGTTGCTCCTTTGGTAAAGAAATAAAAAAGATCTCGATTAGTTTCAGTGTATTTTCATGCTGATAGTTGCTTGTTGCTGGTGCGTGCCAAGTGTTGATTACAACTATGCACAGGCAATTAAGTCAAAAAATCAAATAAATTAGGGATATTTACGACTTTTAGGGGATTGCTCAAGAAAAAATAACATTGCACTATGAAAATAAAGTAGATTTTACATATAGTTTATATAATTATCCAAGCGAACCGCTTTTAACCAATAATATTATTACTTTTTGAGGAACCACTTAATTTTTCTAGATTTATAAATTAGTAATCAGATTTTTAATAATAAAAATGTAAATATAATTTCAATATTACAAAAAAGTTATACCTTCTGATAGTCAATAATTTATTTACAATTTAAAACATATTAAATATTTAATTTGATTGCTGAAATGCTTTTTCAAATAGCTTCAGAGATTTTTAATGACTGCTTTTAATCGAGTAATTTCAATTAAAAAACCTACTTTAACTTAATGCCTGCTGAAAAACACATTAGTGTCAGACTTGAGGCCTGAAATATAATGTTGCTGCTGTTACCGAAGATGTTGCTGCTGTGCATTGTTGTTGCTGCTGCTTGCTGCTGTTGTGCGCGCTGAAGTTATGCGAAATGGGCGTGGCAGACGTCTCCCTACGCCTCATTTCTTTTTTAATGTAAATGCAAATTTCTTTTTGTCTACACAAGAGCATAATGTTCAAAAAAGAAACAATTGTTGTTGCTGCTGCTGCGGCAACTGATGTTGCTGCCAGCTATTGCCGCAAAGACAAATCTTTCTATTGTGTTTTCCGTTGCAAAAAAAAAGAAAGAAGAAAGACTAAAATGACAATAGCCCAACAACCGTTAGTGTTGCTGCTGTGCCTGCAACTTGTAGCCTACTTATCAAAGCCCCTCTTTCTTTATTGTTAATGTTTTTTCTTTGGTTGTATTTCATAGCTTTATGTGTTTTATTTTCCTTGTACATTTTGTGGATTGTGCAAATGAAAAACCACAAAAAAAAAAAACAACTATGCACTTGAGTGCATTTCATTTCGAACTGATTTCACCCTTTATTTTTATTTCTTTTTTTTTGTAACCGGCAACAGGTGTTTGCAACTTTAACCTTTCGGTTCACTTCACTTTGCTGTATTTTCTTTTTCTGGCTTACTTGCAATTTTGAGCCCACGTAGCCTGGCACTTTTGGCACATCAATCACAAAAACGAAGTCACTGGATCCTTTGGGATGCGTTCGAAAAAAATTGGAATATTTATTCAAATATATACGTATATGTGTATATATTGAATATTTTCAACCGCTGACTGCGTCTGCGCGGCTGCGTTGCACGTAGTCAACTGAACGATCCGCTTGCCGCGAAATTCCGAAAAGCTATTGCTGAGACAGCAACAACAACTCAGAGCAGCAGCTGCTGCATATTATTGGCACATCGAACAAGTTGGATGGCCAACAAGTTTGAAGCTCTGATAACGGTACGAAAGTTGGAACTGCCATTAAAGCCAACAAAACCAGAAGGTCAAATCGCAGTTCGAAAGAGGAAGAGAAGTGGGGTGGTAATTGACTCTAAATGTCCGAAAAAATAGGTTACACACTTCAAATGTAGGTATGTGAAGAAGAACTACGTGAAATATGCCTAATCGATAACATTTCTGAGTTTGGCCGATTATAGCGATATATCGATATGTAACAAAAAAAGTCAATCGATTAAAATAGTTGGCTTAGGAAGAAATTAATGTAAGTTGTTTCTCGATTAAAGCGATCGAATAAATATTATAATAACTTAACAAAAAGAATAAGATTTAAAAATTAAGAAAGCCAGATTGATACAGCTGTCAATAAACTAACGTCTTAAATAAGTTTAAGAAGTTTAAATAAGTTTGCAACTTCATCGACAACAGGTTAAAAAGAGTGAAATATGAAGTGTAATTATTATAAATTAGTTTTTGTCAAATGCATTAAGGAAATGTGGCTAAATATTTCCGCTCATTCCTACAGTTTACCATTCCTTGGGCGATCTTGCCCGGCTGGAAGTTCTCTTCGCTGGAGTGACCGCATTCCTCGCATGCCAAACCCGCCAGAAAAGTGCCAAACCAAGAGCTAAATATGGTCAATTGAAGTTATTAGCCCATAAACATGGCTGAGAAAAATCTGTGTGTTTTCAGTTTTGCGCTGTTTTCTTTCTGCGCTCGCGAGAGGTCTCTTTGGCAATTGCCTGGCACAGCCCGGCTGGTTGTGTTTTGTCAACGGGTATAATTTATGTAATCATGAGCCAAAAAAGCTAAGAAAAAACAGCACAGCTACGGTAAAGAGCAACAACATGATTTAGGTAAGCTGTTGAAATATTTCATTGCTGTCTCCTTCCCATTTCGCTTCGTTTCTCAGCTCCACGTTTTTCTGTGTTGGGTGTTAAAGTGCAATTAGTGCGCAGGGATGAGGGATATATTTTCGTTTATATAGTATAAAGAGGGGCCATGGGCAAGGAGGTGGACCCATAGCGATAAGGCTGCTGAAAAGGGAATGTGGCGATTTTAAATAGCAACGCCCTAAAAAAAATGCAACTCATAGATGAAAAAGACAAGTCTGCAGACCAACTTCCGAATGCCCTTTTTTGATTATACTTTACAGGAACATTTTTTTCATAATACAAATCTTAAAAATTTATTTTATTAAAGTTAGTACATATAAGATTATTTTGATTTTTTATTTTTTCTTTAACAAATTCTATAATTTTTCTTAACGGATTACATTGCGATTTTTATTTAAAAAAAATAAAAATGTCGCGGTCTAATTGCGAATCTGGAATTTTATTACGAAGCTAACGAGATATGGGACATTGAACCTCCAATTTCATCGTTATGGCCAAGATACTGATCTTTTCGGGCGAAAATGGGAACATTTTGGCCATAAATGAGATCTTTTAATGCCCTTATTAACATCCTTAACTTAATTTATATTCATTTTATATTTGTAGCGGAAAAGTACATATATTGTATATGTAAAACTCTTCTATAATAATATTTTCTAGTCATGATAAAAAGCAGAAATATGTTTAAATTTTTTTGAAAATATATACTTTCCATTTTCTGGTTTAAGTTCAGAAAGCTATACCCTCTTCAAGGGTATTGAAACTTTCGCTCAGCCAAAAATCTCCTTTAAGTCAATTGGATCTGTTTTTCGGATTCCAAGAGGGGGTGTGCATTTTAAGTGCACCATCTGGCGAAAGGCTTTCGAAAATAAGAGCTCGAATTAAAAGGGCAACAAGTGGCTTTAAGTTCGGATTAACGCTCGTTAGTTTGCTGCGCGGATATTTGTTGCTTTTGATTTGGATTTTGATTGCCTACGTGAGGCGCGGCACCTAACACCTTGCCCCATCTATGACATAAGCGGCGGGTCTGATATTTTTTTGACAATGCTCCTCCATATACTCCCTCCTCCCCATTTTTTTTCTTACCTGTTTGCAATTGAAATTATATGCCTTGAACGATTTCGGGTTCGGATCGGTTCGGTTTATTCGGTTTTGGTTTGTCTTGCTTTGGTTTTGGCTTCGTTGCAATTGCAACTTCAACGGTGGACTGAGGCACGGCATAATTGACCGAAATTAAACAGAGATTATTCAATCCCTCCTATATCTCCACAAGCCTCTTCCCGCCAAAAAAAAAATAAAGAAAACAAAAACCCAACCAGTCTTGGATTGCTTTTCTTCTTACGATTTCTTGTGCGATTTGTCGTGTGTGTTCGACATCACGTATCTCTGTTTGCGCTGGAGAAATAAAGAGGATTTCGCTGTGGGAGAAGAGATAATGAAGCCGAAGATGTTGAGGAAAAAGTGGGAGAAAAGGTATTCCAGCGAATGCAAATTCCTCCGATTTGTCTCGTTGTAAATTTCGATTCAATGCATACACGCACTTATGAGGTACACAGAAATATTACCAATGACTGCACCAAATGATTCACTTTATTTAACTTATTTCATTTGATTTATTCAAGACTGAGAAGAGGATAAGTCCGATCAACCATTTGATTTGTTTTATTATCTATATGATTCATTCCGTTATCCTTTTGATTCATTTACCAATCCATATTATAGTTTAATTGTAATTAGAGCTTATATTCGAAATTTTTTTAGGTAATAGATTTATTTGAGAGTTATTTATGTATTGTCTTGATCAGTAATTTGACCAATTTCCTAATGAAAAGGTCTTGACATTTCTTTTGATATTTTTGTTTATAAGTTGGAATATTATATGCTTAAATAGTCTTTACAAGTGAAGAAAGGCTTTTAATAGACAACTCTTTCGTAAGGGAAACTAAATCTATAATTTTTTTAAATTGATGTATAATGTATTTAAACAATTTCCCGTCTGCGGATAGTAATATATCTGCATCTATTACTGAGTCTTCCGACGCATCGTTAATGCCCTCCCCCGCATTATTTTAGCTACCCATCTTACCTCATCTGCCGGCTCATTTTCAATGGGGCCTCAACGATCGAACTCTCGGCGGTTTAATGACCCAATTTCGTGCGCCAGACGCATCGTTTCACTGACCACAGACACAGATATTCACCGCACGTCACCCGATCCCCGATCTCCGATCTCCGGTCTCCGATACACTAATATAGTGTGTCATCATCCCAACTCACCCTTGCTCTTCTTGGCCATCTTTGGCATAACACTTTCCATTCGTATGCGATCGCTATGTGACTTGTCGTTTCGTTAAAATCAAATCAAATATTTGCCCCAACTTTGTTTGCATTTATTTATTAGTTATTTCCCACTGTACGATATACCCCCTAAAAGGGCCTTATATAAGAAGTCTCGCCTTGGGTGGTTTATAGACTTGGTTTCTTTGCTTGTTGGTTATTATTATTATTTTTGCAATGTTATGGCGGACGGGAGGGGGGTGTGGGCTTCTTTGGAAGTTGCATGCGAAATTCGCAATTGTCCGGCTTTTCGCTGGCAGCCGATAATTGTCGACAGGCCATTGCCCAAACTTTCAACTGACACCTACGAAATAAAACGTGCCGAGTGCGCTGTGTGCTGTGTGGTGTGTGGTCAACACATTTTGGTAACCTTGGCACACTTGAACGCTAGATAGCCAAACAGTTTTTTATTTTTTTTGAATAGCAACACGGAAGCCTGACTATCAAGCCACGCCCACGGCCAAAAAAATGAAGGTGGACGGTGGACGGTGGGGGAATACGGAAACCATCAGCATATCATAAATGCAGAGTTTATACTCTACAACGGGGCTCTTGCGGGGGATTTTTTTTTGATTATACCGGCAGTTTTGAACATTTGGCTCTAGGAAAGCGGAAGATCGGGTAGCCCAAAAAGTTGGACTCAAGGGGCGTATTCCGAATACCGCCCTGCACTTAAGGCAAATCGAAAATCAAATTGAAATTATGCATTTCGTGACTTAACTTTCTCTGCGGTTCCTGTCCTAGCTAACTCTGTTACAATGGTTCGGGTATTTGCTACGATTACTTGATAGAAATTGGGAACAAAACTATATACGAAAATCATTTAATCTTATTTACAATTTATCCAACTCTGGGCATACAAAATTGGTATTTATATAAATTATTAAGATACCATTAGTTTTTTCTTAGATGAATACATTCTTATATTATCTTCAAATGATCTTCTATATCCTGCTTTTTGGTTTGAGTGCTGGCTAAAATTAAGCGTAGTTACAAAATGATAACCTACCAAAAAAAGTGAAATAAATATAAACTTCCATGTAACAAAACATGTAAATTAAAGAATCCTTTATATAACATTTTTTTTATTTCATGTAGGTAAAATGTATTTGACAGAAAAACTAGAAAAGTAAAAAAATTTGTTAAAATATACTTTTGTAAGGCCATTAAATAAATACTTTCTGATAAAACTCATATAATATTTAAGTTTTTAAATACATAATTAAGTAATAATTATTTTACTGCCACGTATTTGACATTATACGTAGATCCAAATTAAGTAGCCGACATGTATAACCAAATTACGTAATAAAATCTTAGTAAATTCAAGTTACTTTAAATAAATAAATACATAAGAAAACACTGCATAATTTTATTTTTTATATATTCTTTATTAAATACTTAAAACGCACCTGTCATTGGGAAATCAAGTAACCGACACGTGTACCCAAGTTAAATAAAACACCCCGCAGATTGTTTCATAAATACATAAATATTTAATAAAATGCTCGATAAAATAAAAAAAAAACTATATGTGGGAATTCGTACACTTAACTTAACTTGCGAATAACTAAGCATAAATTTAGCGGCGAACGAAAGAAGGAAATCGATACAACGAAAACACATAGTGATAATATTACGTCTGTTAATCCACATTTGACTAGTTGAAACATAAATTAGCGGTAGATAGCATTCTAAACTAAGTTGAAGTGTGCGCCCGCCTGGCGCCCCAATCTTCTTTGATCAAATCGGAGGCCTTCTCGCCGATGGCGATGACGGGGGCATTGGGATTGCCATTGACAATCGTGGGCATAATGCTGGCATCCACCACCCGAACTCCAGACACCCCGTAGACCCGTAATCGGGGATCGACCACGGCCGTAACATCCCAGCTGGGGCCCATGCGGCAAGTTCCCGCCGGATGATAGATCGTGAACGTGAACTCCTTGATGCAACAGGCCCAGTACTCGTTCGATTGAAATGGCAAATGCCGGCAGCCCGGAAGTGGAATGTTGTGCAACCGCGAGCCAAATCTCTGGAATGCCTGCGTGTTTGAGACATTGATGGCCAGCTTAATGCCCTCGACCAGCACATCGATGTCCTCCTGGTGGGCAAAGTAGTTGGGTATGATCTTCGGCTGATGCTGCGGATTCCGCGAGTTCAGACGCACCCATCCGGTGCTTTTGGGCCTGAGCAGCAGCGGCAATATCGACCAGGTTTCACTGTGCTGCAGCGGCTTGTATACCGTGTTATAGAAACCATCGCGCAGATTGAGTATCTTGCGTATCTGCTCACCGCCATCGGAGTTGATTGAGCTCGGGCAGAAATGAAATTGTACATCTGGCCAGTCGACCGAGGGATCTTGGTATTTGGTGTTGAGAAAGGCCACTCCTTCCACGCCCGAAAACGTCATGGGACCACGTTCCCTCAGTATGTATTCCATGGAAACGGGGATGGTCTGGAAGCGATTGCGGGTCACGGTTAGGGGAGCATCCACCACAAAGGTGAGGCCACCCAGACCGACGTGATCCTGCATGTTGTTGCCCACGGGAAGGTCGGAAATCACCGGTATATTGTGCTCCTGCAGATGCTCCGCTGGCCCAACGCCGGAAAGCATCAGTAATTTGGGTGTGTTCAATGCCCCGGCACTGGCTATCACCTCTCGTTTCACGAACACCAGATTCTTACGGCCTCCTCGCGTGTACTCCACCCCAATTGCCCGCTTCTGCTTGTCGAATAGGATTCTGGTGGCCTCCGCATGGAGGAGGACATCGAAGTTTTGACGCTGACGCACGGGGCGTATGAAGGCCTTGCCCGTGGAGCATCGAGCACCGCGACGAATCGTACTCTGGGTCAACATGAATCCCGTCTGCTGGGCACCGTTGATGTCCCGATTCTCGTAGCCCATCTCCATGCCCGCCTGCAGGAAGGCGATCGAGAGGGGCGTTCGCCAGGGGGCCTCCTGGACCGTCAGATATCCGCCCGTTTCGTGATAAGGCGTCTTGGCCAAGTACGGATTACGAACGTCCTCCGATTTGAGGAAGTACTTGAGCATGCTGTCGTAGTCCCAGCCCGGATTGCCCAACGAAGCCCAATGGTTGTAGTCGTTCTTCGAGCCGCGTACATAAACCATGGCATTGAGCACAGAACTGCCGCCCAGTACTTTTCCCCTCGGCCAAAAGCAGCGATCGCCCTTCATCGCCTGACAATATTGACGCGTGGACGACGGTGTCGTCTGGTATTTCCAATCCAATTCCGTCAGCTGCAGATATCCCGCCAGAGCTGGCACATCCGAGATCTCCGTCTCATCGCCGCCCGCCTCCAGGAGCAGCACTGTCCAGTTGCGAACCTCGCTCAGGCGATTGGCCACCACAGCTCCAGCGGATCCGCCGCCAATCACAACGAAATCATACTGACGACGTATCTGAATAATAGAAATGTCAGAATATATTAGCATCAGTTGGCTTAAATGGCCCCTAAATACGTAAAGTGTTGGCTTTTGATATAATGATAGCTTTTCAAACTATGATCATTAAAGGAACGCATGCAATAACAAATTGTTGGCAAAGTGAAAACAATAGTAATATATTATTATTTTCAGTATTTTCAATTGTAATTATATATGATTAATTTCAGTCTAAATGAGGTGGGTTACATTGCATTTTAATTATTTATGACTACCTTTAAATTATGTAAAATTGATAAATAAATATTAAAATGAAATGGAATTTTAACAACAAAGAAAATAATATCACAAAAAATATCTTTAAGACAAATATTAAACACTTCAAATGATGGCGTTTAGTGATACTTAAATGTTAACGAAGCAAACAAGTTGAGTGCCCTCAAGGTAATGATAATGATCAAGTTAAGATTAAGTATTATATAAAAGGGCCTATGAATTTATTATTTTATCGTTCATTTTAACAAGAAAATGATTTACGTTTTGTATTAAAAGTAAACATTTATTAGAAAAAGGTAATGTGAAGAACTTTAAACTTGTTATACCAAAGTTAATTTAAATGTCTATAAAAAGGTTAGGTAGTTGATATATATTTAAATATAAAATGTATACGTTTTTAATGGGTATAGTTTTTAACGTACAAATAATATATAAAGTACATAATATTAAAAACTTACGACGGTTGGCTCCTGGACCTTGTTCTCGGGATCGACGCTTTGATAGCGATAGAAATTCATGCCGATCGCCAGTAGCGGGATCATGCCAAGCAAAGACGTCATTGTGCCAAACGCCATGTTTCAGTAATTGTCAAATCCACGGATCCTCCTGACAGTGTTTTCCCGCTACGGATGTTCCTGCTCCTGCTCCTGCTCCAGATGCTGTCCTCTTTCCCGGACCGTAACAATGAGCCGGAGCACTCGAAGATAGAGTCGTCGATGTGTGACTACTGCTGGTGTTACTATTGGAAATACTCGATTCACCGCTGGCCAAGATCTTGGGTGTATAGTTGCGGATTCCGCCTGGACGAGCGGATTTGAAATGCGCCCTGGCCCGCTCGTCCTCTTCCAAGATGTCCAGATAGGACTTGATGTACAGGTGGTGGCTCAGGTAGTGCTTCTGCTTGTCCAGCGATCGATTCGATTTGCTCGACACCAATGAGCTGGGACAACCGCGACTGGAGCTACTGCTGCTGCGACTGCTGCTGGCACTGCTGCTGATCGCCGATATCGAGGATATGGAGCTGCAGTGGCACGACGAGTTGTAGATGCCACTGTCCGAACTCTGGGAACTGCTCCTCTGCAAATTTAACTTGGCGTAATGCGATTCTGTGTCCGATTGACTTGTACTTGCTCCACTTGCTGGAATTTTGCTCCTCTCGTAGGTTTGTTTACTCAAATTGTACTTGTGACGCAATCGATAGTTCTGATTCTGATTGATATTTGTATTACCGGTAGGATTTGTATAATCGTTGGTGGTGGTGGAGGAGCTGCTGGTCGATAGGTGACTGGTGGGCGTGTAGATCGGCTGATTGGTGGTGCTAATGCCGCTGAAGCTTTTTCGCTGTGGTTGTCGTTTGTGGTGGGGCGTTTGTTGTTGTTGTTGTTGTTGTTGTTGTTGTTGGTGGTGGTGGTGCTGCTGGTGGTGTTGTTGGTGTGGCTGATTTTGCTGCTGCGATATCTCTTGGCCCATATTTTGACAGAAATATGAACAGAACTGCAAGGCAAAGAATAACAAAAATTATTACAAAAACATTTTAGCAATACGTTACACATTTTAGTTACACATTTTCAATTAGCTCAAATAAACTGTCTTGTTGTACTGTGATAGACGAAATTAAATAATAATAATTTTTTGATTCATATTGAGACAGAATTATTAGCATAAAAAATAATCAATCAATAAGTACCCTAGTTAAGCATTTTCGATTAAGAATAATATTCATTGACTCATGTTTATAATACAAATTAAAACTATACTATTCAAGCAAATTACACATTTTGATCCTAATTGTATTGTTATTTGTAATATTTGAAATAAACTACAGAACTTAGTTAACTTGGTCTTGATTTAAAAGATATATTAACAGAACTGTAGAAAACAATATTATACAAACCAATAGGCATTTTCAATTATCTCAAGTATACTTTATTGTCGCATTGGGTTAAACTTAATGAACGCATCATAATTTTCTCCTTTCAGTTAAATCTCATAGCTGTCGTATATATATCATGCAAAAGACAAAACTAATAAACTATAAACCTGGATTGATAGATTAACGTCTTAAAATGTTCAACAATTCCAAGATACTATCCTCCAAAAGTATTCAAAGTTTTTCAGTTTTTTTTGTTAGTCTAGTCTTGTGCCGACAAAATTTAATTATTATTGCTTTTTTTTTTAACGAAACAAGGATTAATTATTAATTATTGTTGATGTTTGTATTTTTACTGTATTTAATTTAAATGGACCGTATGCCACATCTATTACAAAAGTTATCTAAAGCTGATCGATTGTCAAATGAAATTAAAAACTACATTTATTCCGAAGCACCACTATTGCCATAGATTTTATTGCAATCACTATTTCGGTTCAGTCCGCAATCCGCAGCTCAATGTTTCCCACCCTAATCCATTGATGGAGCAACCAGCTCTCGATCATTTCCAGATAACGACAATCGAAGCGTGGGAGCGGCGCTATCATTCATCCATTTATGGATGATGGGTAACTGATGAGCATTGTAGTACATTTTTTTTTTGGATTTCTTGTTAACATGTTTGCCATTGTTGCATGACTTGGCAAACGAAAACGAAATAAAAACAACAACATATGAATACAAAAACTGGCTCGAAAATCAGCAACATGCAAGCAATATTGTCTGGCGGAAGCCGCTATATGTGCGTATATACATGTATATTTATATATACAGCTCCCAGTTTGGCAATCGTTGGCCAGCAGATGGCGCTGTCACACGCGCAGCCAAACAAAAGACTTAGGCAACGAACTTGTTTACACTTTTCGCAAGCAACGAAAAAGCTACGAAAATAAAACGTTATCAAATCGCTTAGAAATGAAATTCAAAATATATAAATATTCAAATGATGTCAGCTGCATTTCATTAGCCATCTATTTTAATTTCTGTTTGTTTTTGTCGTTTTACTATATATATATATATTATATTGTCTTTCCCCGCCTCGATTTATTTCTCTATTTGTCTTTCTTTCTCTCGCTGGTGGCTAGTTTTTCAAGTTCAATGCCGTTTGCCAGGCGGAAAAAGCGAATAGCAAAAAAAAAAAATCCTCGACTTCATTTTGTCTCTCGTCTCTGGAGAGACTCAAATGTCTCAATGTCTCAGTCTGTGAAATGCAATTTCGTTATTTTGTTTGTCCATTCGCAGCATCGGGCTTTAATTGCCGTCCAGCTCCTGTTGCTGTTGTTGTTTTTTTCGTTTTCTGTGGTTTTTCCAGTTTTCCCCCGCGAGCTCTCGATTTAAAGCGATCGCAGTGAAAGCCAAGCGACATCGAGCTTCCTACATACGGTACTCGTATTTCATGTAATCACTTTTGTATGTAATATTTATTTAATTTTTCCCTTTTTTTTTGGGAGTACCTCTGTCATAACACTTGAAAATAAAAGTAACTGAAACTGCTCTCGATTAATTAACCGCACCGAAAATAGTTGTCTTTTTTTAGCCGCGCAAAATGTTTTTAACTAAATTGAGATATATGTGTGTATATATAACGATTTTTGCAAGGCAATTTCGCTTCAGCGATTTGAACGGCTCGACGGTTGCCATGTAACTAACTATCATAAAAAATAGAAAAAACAAACATCATCAGCGGGCAGAAATTAAATCCAAAATCCGAAAAAATTCATTCACTCAAATTCCCGTTAAAGGCAGACGCAACATCATCAACAGCCGCTAATTTATGCAACGCCCTTGGGCGGAGTGACAAAGGAAAACCCTCCGAGATATATATATATATTTTTTTTTTGACGCAATACTGGGCCAGGTTTTCTCGGGCATTTTTACATCACATTGATGTCGATTCATTCATCTATTTCGTTGGTTCAGCCGTCATTATGCAATTCACACATTGTTAGCAACTGGCCGCAGTTTCTGGCTCAGTTTAGTTTTCGTTGGCCCCAACTGCCGACCAATTATGATTTGACAGCTTTTAATTATGGCCAGACTTTATGCCCCATAATTGATGACATTTTCACGGATTTCTGTGTGCTCGTTTGTTTTCTGTTTGCCCTGCCCTTTGCGGGTCGCATCGCACATAAATCCAGCCCGAAAGTGGTTAGTAATTTCAGCTACTTTACTTCAGCTGAGCGCTTTCTCGACGATCGGCTGAGTCATGGTACCGTGACACATTAAAGAAGCTTAACTTGGCTAACAAAAAAAAAAAACCAGAAAACATGAAAACATTTAGAAAAAAAATCATGGCGCATTTCCGTGCTACGTGAGTTGCCGTTACTAGGTGACACTTGTAAAATTAAATAATTACCACATTTTACACCTTTGCAATCTATGACTTATTGGGGTTTTGAACTATGAAACGCGTATTTAATGACTTTTTAAAAAGGGAAATAATGCTGGCCGTACATATTTTACTTCTAATTTTATAAAGTCATTTAATATTGTCCAAATTATATTTAAGCCATCTGTTCTTTTGAATGTCTATCTTTTAAAAGTGGTCTTATATATTTTCTCTTTTGGTATACCCTAAGTAATCTCTTTTTATGTCTTTTATTACACTTGTATAAATTAAATTAATTTATATTACATTTTGTATTTCATTACTGCATCTATAACTTTTTTCAATGGAAATGATGAACAATATTTGTTTTGTATTTTAAAATTAATTTTAATTTATTTTAGATTTGAAGTAAATTGGTAAAGTTGTTCAGTTCGCATTTTTATATTTTATAGTAACTTCACATTATCTGAAGGGTATGCAGAGAGTGGCTTAAATTCTTATTTAAATTTAAAGTCTAACTCCGGTAAAAAAAATATGTAATAGATATTCTTTTGGAAGTGAGGAAATTTTCTTCATACTTTTGTGATCCCCTTAGGGTATCCCTCGTTCGTTATCATTGCCCCATATTTATTTCCCCTCTGTAACTTGACCATCTTGGCTATGCTATATGGTTATATAGAAGCACTTTCTTGCTGGCCTGCTTGGCGCTTTTAATTGCCCGACTCGTATGCATATGCAGTGCCACTGGCGATACGCGCGCTCCATGATTGCCTCTTTATGGCCGCGACGTGCACAAATTGATAATAATTCGCACAGAGGTGTGAGGCGATGGATCGCCGGATCGGTGGAGTAATGCCACCGAATCGGCGGTAGAAAGTGTGAATAGACCACAAACAAATAAGCCAAACCGCAAAGGCGTGGCCGAGTAGGAGTAGTCTTGCATAAGAATCTGGCCCATAGTATTCGCCTCCTTTTTCGTATTTACTATATTTATTTTTGCTTCTGCATCTTTCATTTATTTTCCCTCTTACTTTGGACCCTTCAGAAATCAAAGTTGTTACATAAAATAAAAGTGAAAATGACCGCCGTTGTACATAGTACGCAAGTATGTTGTGTTGTATGAATGCAAATGGGTGTTAATGTTCGCTTTAATGGTTATTTGTGCATTTATTAAGTGGTATATTTATACTAGTTATAAAAGCTGATTTTTTATTTATTTTGTACTTTTTATGATAGATAAATTTGTTATCAAAATGTGTACCTTAAAAATATTAATTTCTTTAATAAAGATTTCATGACAGTTTTAAAATTAAAACCGAAACACCTCATAGTAATATTTGTAAACAAAATTCAAGACAAATATTCATTCTTTGATACTTAAAGAAATTAGTCAAAGAAAATGACAAAGTTATCAATCTGCAAATCAGTCAGTTTAATAAAAACAGCGATGTATGTACTTTTACCAATTCAATATTTACTTGCTAGACAATAATGAAGAATTCTTAAATGATTTCGTTATGTACTTTATAAAATGTGCAATAATAAAATTATGAAGTAAAGACTTTAGAAGAATATTTTTGTTTCTGCACTTGTGTTTATTACACTTGCCTCCGGTTTTTTTCTTTTTATTGTTGTGGGCTGCTGCTCTGGATCCAGTAGCTGCTGCTATACATTTGTTGCGGCCGTTATTGTTGCGGATTATTTATTTATTTTCTGTGGTAAGGCGGCTTCAAACTGAACGCGACTGCCTGCCACTTTCCTTTGTCTCACTCACGATTACCATGACTGCTGCTGCCGTCTTTCATCTCAAAACAGCAACAGAAAATGGCAAAAAAAAAAAAAAAAAAAAATTTAACACAAAAATAAGGGACAAAGTACGATTAATTGCACTGTTTTTTCTTCTGATAATTGTCCACTGTGCTTTTTCGTTTCACTCTCGATATCTTTAATATATATATATATAAAGATATATATATATATAGTTCGCCGCTCCCTGCGAAACGCACGCCACGAGCTCGTCTTGTTCAATGAGCAATTCGCTTTTTGGATTTGGTTTTGGCCACATTGGACGAAGACGGCCAAGATGATGAAGAGGCAGCTTTTCGGACGGCCTTCGAAAGCTTTTCCCTCGCACTTACCAATGATAACAACAAAATCCGTAGAGTCCAAACCGAAACACAAACAACAGTCCGAGCTTCAAGCCCACGGAGAGAGTGATAAAAATGAGGGAAAAATATCCGTAAAGCTGCTTACAAAATTGTAACACCAAAAGAAAATTTGTGGACAATTTTAATAAATTATAAATATTTTAAATTATTCTTAAAATAAAAATAATTTTGTAACCACTTCAAAAAAAAAAAAAAAAACGGGGCAAAACTGGAACTTTCGAAATCAAGTAGGGGTTGATTATTTAGATTGATAGATTAAATGGATATCAAACTCGTCCTATTAAAACAAAGTATCGTGTAAAAGCTGTATTTTTTTGCCAAAAGTGATTAAAAAGTAAACCGGTTCTTCTATTAATAGTAAGGAATCAATTTCTGTGAAGTTTCTTTCCAGTGTATAACCGTGAGACGGCTGCACTTTCGATTTCGTTTCCATTTCTTGGCGCCTCGGCTGTCTTCGGGCTTTGTCATTGAGCTACGTGCTCCATTCAACGTTTATTTTACCACGGAGCGAATGCGAAAGCTTTTCGGGATTTCGTAGAGAGAGAGACGAGGCAAAGCAATCAGAAAGAGATCGATGCATTTGGGGGAGAAAGAGCAGTACTGCGGCCGGTTTGGAGGCTTTCTTTGACTGAGCCAAAACTGCTCGCAGCGATCATCGCCAGCGATTTATAAGTCTGGCAATCGACTTACCGTTTTATTATTCATGATTCCCGATCCAAAAGTTTAGCGTTTAATAGGGGGGGCCAATAGCAACAAGGCCATAAAGTTCGGAATCGAGATGGAGATTTCCGGTTTGTTTACTCCGTACTCCATTCCATTTGGCAATGCGATCGAAGGGTAAAAGTGCCCGATACTAAAATCATTTGGAGTACTTGTGGCTGGAAACAAATAATAGTGGTTTCATCGGGTAAATCATGATTTTTGATATTTTCTCTTTTATTTTATAAAAGACAACATCGTTTTTAGCATGTTAATATTATTTTTAGGGAGGAACTGTACTCTTTTTAAAGCATCCTACATTTTTTGAGTTTTATAATATTTTTTGTTCAACCCTTTCAGTTTCATATATAAATTTAAACGATGTTTATATTTATGTGCAACTACCGAAAACTAAACTTTGAAAATGTTGTATTGCTATTGATATATATTTACAATTTCTTACTAGTTCTAATAGTTTTAAATTGATGTTTAAAGTGGGGTTTCGTTCACTAATTATAAAATCATTAATTTTTCGTATTTTTTTGATATACTAAACATCTGGCAATTTAACTGCCATTGAATGGGTTTTTTTTTTGTCCCATGAAGATCCCGCGTAGCGACGGGAAAAACCACAACCTACTCGAAATAAATTCATTCACATTCGCTCCATTCATTAGGCGAGTCAAAGAGTTGAACAACTCTGTGAACCCTGCGATCTGTGGGTGCTTTTTATCAGCTGCAATTGGCCCCGATTGAACTTTATGCAAAAACAGAGGCCAAAATAAATGGCAGACTGAAAAAGGGGAAAGGAGAATGATTTTCGCCAGCAGAGCGGCGCATCGTGTTGTGTTCCGCTGCGCTCGCAAATATATTTTTGCATGTTGCCTGCTTCCGACAACAGGCTAAAAGTTAAGCCAACAAAAAAAAACCGTCTTTGAGCTTGACATTGCACTGGAAAAATTGGATTTAAAATATTAATAATCAATTGTAAATGCCATAATGAATACTTGTTTGTCAATCGTTTGCATACCAAATAATGTATAACCTAGTATTTAACAATATTTTAAGTGGACCAAAAGTTATGCTAATAATCCTACTTCAAAATTAAAGCAATCAATATTTAATTTTTATACCCTTGCAGAGGGTATTATAATTTCAGTCAGAAGTTTGCAACGCAGTGAAGGAGACATCTCCGACCCTATAAAGTATATATATTCTTGATCAGCATCACTAGTAGAGTCGATCTAGCCATGTCCGTCTGTCCGTCCGTCTGTCCGTCCGTCTGTCCGTCTGTCAGTCTGTCCGTCTGTCCGTCTGTCCGTCCGTTTATATGCAAACTAGTCCCTCAATTTTAAAGCTATCTGCATGAAACTTTCCCAAAAGTTGTCTTTCTATTGCAGGTAGTATATAAGTCGGAACGAGCCGGATCGGACGACTATAGCATATAGCTCCCATAGGAACAATCGGAAAAATAAATGAAAAAAAATTATAACTTTGCTGTTTTTTAATTTTTTGTTTAGTTCTTCGACGTTTAGTAATGGTTAAATATTTCTGATTTACGGTTTAAATTTCATCATAATCGGACGACTATAGCATATAGCTCCCATAGGAACAATCGGAAAAATAAATGAAAAAAAATTATAACTTTGCTGTTTTTTAATTTTTTGTTTAGTTCTTCGACGTTTAGTAATGGTAAAATATTTCCGATTTACGGTTTAAATTATATCAAAATCGGACGACTATAGCATATAGCTCCCATAGGAACAATCGGAAAAATAAATGAAAAAAATTATAACTTTTTTGTTTTTTAATTTTTTGTTCAGTTCTTCGACATATAGCAATGGTTAAATATTTCAGAATTATGGTTTAGATTTTATCAAAATCGGACGTCTATATCATATAGCTCCCATAGAAATAATAAAAATATATAAAATAACTATCAAATAATTGAGTTGCTAATCATCATAGCTTCAATGTTTTTAAACATATACGCAGTAAATCATAATTTTAATGTTTTCAAAAATGTTAAATTCTTGCAATAGCTGCAAGGGTATATGAACTTCGGCTTGCCGAAGTTTGCTTTCTTTCTTGTTAATGAATATTTATTTGATTATTAATATTTTTTAATGACTATTTAATCGTTTGTATTTCAAATGACATATAAACTAGATATTACACATTTTTTAAAGTATAAAGTTTCAATTTCAAGTAATGAGGTAAAATTGGCGTTCTGCACATACATTTTTTATTTTATAAATTAACAAATGGTTCTGAAACTCTTATGTTAATCGAATTGGTAAATTCAAACATTACATATTATTTCTTTTTATGTAGAGATTTGAAATGGAGCAGCTGGGCCGGGAGCTTGTAAAGGCGATCTGCGGGGGCAACTTTCATTTTCATTCAGATGACTGCAAAATTTTGGACGGTCATTGCTTTGCAGCATAAATATTTATGCGTTGCACTTGAGAGCGCTGGAACTGAAATTGGTATCGGCCTTAAAGTTGGGCCTCAACATCGCTGCACTTGGGAGATGGAATCTGGCCGGGCAAGTGTCTTAGATTTATGGCCGTCTTCCGCGACCCAAGTGGCGAACAAAAAAACACGAAAAAAAAACCAAAATGGGGGGATCTGTGGCAAAAAGCATGGCCTGCGGCAATTAGCCAAGCACACACCGCCTTGATTTGTAGTGCATTTTGTTAACAAATTATTGGAGCCAGCCAAAATGCATTATTCAATTGGGAATTATTTATTATACATACCTATACGCACCGTTAACTGCGGCTGTACTTAATTGTGATCATCATCGGCTGTAACCGAAATCGTAAATTAAATTGTAAAAATGCAATTAATATGCCGATGGGAGATTATCGGATTATGGCATTGGCATTAACTCAACTAACCGCATCGAACTACTAAGATCCGCTGGAATAAATCCGATGTGAAAAATGAGGAACTCAGTGGCTATCGGGTTGCGTAACATTTCCTTACGCGTTTTTGAGGACTGATAAATATATTCAATAATATATCATATAATTCACATTCAAAAATCAATAGTTGCTTCTATTTCTCATCTCATTAAATACTCTGAAACTTTTTTCAAATTTATTAAATGATTTTTTTGTTTTAATCTTATAGTCCGAATGTTGATGGGGTCATTTTATAGTTTTAAATTTACTTCAATTCATATTATCGATTTTGAATAACCCTTTGCCTTTTTTTTGCCATTGTTGATAATTGTTTTTTTTTTTCCTTTTTGATCCTTTATATCACTTTCTTTTAAGTAAGTTATGCAATATATGTTAATATATTTACACTTTGTTACAGTATCTACTTCCTCTTGCCTGTAGCTAAAGCTTTCGTAAGCCTGGCTTTAAGAAAAAATTGCAGCTTTGTAAAAGCTGTTAAAACTTTAAGCCCGTTTTAGGCCAGTTTTTGACATTTGAAAATGGTTTGTTTACTAATTATGTATTTTTATTTCTTTCTTTACAGGTAAGCTTTGCCTAAGCTTTTAAAGGTGCATTTCAAACTGTAGGTTTGTGAAAACATCGTAAGCTGATGTCAAACTGTAAGTAGGAGTGGATTAAATATGGAATTTCAAACTGTTTTTTTGATTGTAACTTTTCTTTGGTTATTATACTATTATTATTAAAACTACGGTTTTACAATTTAATAAAAGGAAATATATTAAACACTCCATGCACATTTACCTTAAAAAAATTGGAATGCACCACTTTTGCTTATTCTATTCCTACAGTTTCTTTGTTTTGAAGCAGAATATGCTTAAAAAATGTAATTTTAATGATTTACTAGGACCTATTAATATTTGAGTATGCGGAAATTAAACTGACCTTTATTTATAATTGATTTGTAATGCGCAAAGCCCAAATAAACAGTGGTTCAATAAAGCTAGGCATGAGGTAATATTTGTATTTATTCGATTTATTAAGTTCGTTTACATTTAAGAACTAATCAAACATTTAGCATCGTAATCGTAATCTTCGACTTATGTACTAACTGAGGTACTCCAAGTGTACGCGGCGTCAAACAAACAATAAAAATAAAAACAAAAATACACATTTCGATTAGACACACACAACAGACAAGCGATTTAAAAAAAAAAATGTAAGAATTAGCATAAATGACTCGATATTTACATGAAGCGCTTAAGTGACTAAGGTCAAAGGTTAATGGGGGTAGGGGGTTCGTTGTTTGCATAAGGAAAGGGAATACGTTATTTCTTTTGGCTACAGAGAGCAAAAGAATTAGGAAGAATGGGAAGCAAATAAAGCTTAATAAATTAAATTTACTTCAAAGACAGAAATTTGTGCTAGTTAACCCCCCCAAGTGAGCCAAACACCCCTGCTAGCCCCCCTCCACCCACTTGACCTCTGTTTGGAACAACCCCCCCTCCTTAAATCGCTACGACCTTGGCAAAGGCCATTGATGAACTGGCAATGATGATTGTTTAAAGTCCAAGTTTTCACTGGTTGAGTTTAATGATCGCTTAATACGCCACTGCGGGGGGCTTGTACGGTGACCTTGACGCGGACTGGGCCCCTGACCCTGTCCTTGACCTTGACCTTGACCCCCTGACCCACCCGCCGGCGCCGTCGTGGGGGTCAGCCAGAGTTGCTTTATCATATCGGCACCCTTTTCGCCAATCATCACGACGGGTGCATGGATATTGCCATTCGTGATCGCCGGCATTATGCTGGCATCGATAACCCTCAATCCGGGTATGCCATAAACCCTCAGCTGGGGATCCACCACTGCCCAGGGATCCGAGGGTGGACCCATTTTGGCCGTGCCACTCATGTGGTATATCGTCATCGTATACTGCCTGATGTAGCAGTTCCAATAGTCGTCGGTAAATAGGGTTAGATGCTTGCAGTTCGGCAGCGGTTTGTTCCAGAAGCGAGCCCCGAATCTCTTCATCGCCTCCGTTTCGCCCATGGCCACCGCCGCCTTGACCCCCTCCCTCAGCACATTCACATCGTCCGGATGGGTGAGGTAGTTGTGGTACAGCAGTGGATAGCGCAGCGGATTCTTCGAGGCCAGTCGTATGTAGCCCCTGCTCTTGGGCCGCAGCATCATGGGAAAAACGCCAAAGACATCGCGGTTGTTCACCTCACCGAACACCTCCTGGTAGAACTCGTCGGTCAGTCCATGGGCCGTCTTCACCTGGCTACCCCCGTCGGACATCACCGATGCCGAGGTCATCATAAAGTTCATATCCGGCCAATCGTCACTGGCATTCGCATATTTGGTGTTGATAAAGGCCACCGCCTCCAAGCCAATACTGGAGGTCAGTGGGCCATCCTCCGTGATGGCATATCGCAGGGCCGTATTGATATTAACCATCCGCTTCATCACAATCGAAATGGGATAGTCGATGAGGAAGGCTATCCCCCCGACTGCAATGTGATCCTGCAGATTCTGTCCCACTCCAGGCAGATGTTGCACCAGCGGAATACCCACTCGGCTCAATTCCTCGCCATGTCCAATCCCCGAGAGCATCATCAGATGTGGCGAACCAATGGCTCCTGCCGACAGGATCACCTCCCTGGTGGCATACACATTCTGCAGCCTTCCATCCCGGATGAACTGAACTCCCGTGGCTCGTTTCGTATGCGGATCGGTGAGGACCTTTGTTACATGTGAAAATAGGGCCACGTGAAGATTGGATCGCAGACGAGCCGGTCGCAAAAATGACTTGGCCGTGGAGCTCCGGGAACCGCGTCGCATATTGAACTGATAGAAACCGAAACCCGTCTGCTGTTCTCCATTCACGTCCACAATGTCGTAGCCCATTTCCTCGCCAGCTTGCAGGAATGCCGGACCAATGGGCGTGTTGTATGGGGAGTCCTGTACCGTCCAAAGGCCACCTAAAATAAAAGGTTAACAAATATTACTGGTCATGTATTTTATACAAATAAAATAAGGCTTTGATCTCAGCTTGTCCAAATAAACTTAATTATTTAGCCTAGAAATTTAATGGTTGGTCTATTAAAAGAATTAATTTGTAGTTAACAACGCAAGTCCTTGATATCTGCTTGTCCAGATATGATTAAGTCTATAAATCAGTTGTTTTATCAAATAAAAAATTTTAGAAGAACTAACCAATAAATTTAAAGTTAGCAAACTTTGTTTATAATTTCATTTTCTAAAATTTATTTTAAACTTTCTGTTATTAATTTTACAAATTAAATAGTTGGTGTCTTAGAAAAAAAAGACCAAAAGATTTATTGCTTAAAAGATTTATGTTTCTATGTCAGTGAACATAGCTTTTTAGTAGTAAAGTCTACCAACGAGAAATTATTTATGGCAGCAAAATAACAAAAGTGATAAATTAAATTTAAACTTGTGAACTGCGGACCTAATTCGCTTTATTTAGGTATATACCTATATTTAGAAAAATATTTAATTGGACACTGAGAGATTAGCTTTGCATATTCGAAGACTCACCTGTGCCATGGTACCGTTTGTTTCTGGCCAAATAAGGATTCCGCTGGTCCTCAGACTTTCTGAAATATGGCAGGATCTCCTCGTAAGACCATCCCGGATTTCCGAACTCCGCCCACTGGTCAAAATCTCTTCTATTGCCACGAATGTAGAGCATGGTATTGAGTACGGAACTGCCACCCAAAACCTTTCCTCGCGTCCAGCAGCAACGTTTGTCCTTCATCGCCTGACAGGCCGTCGGTTGGGGTTGGGTTCTATAATGAAAATAATATATATAAATATATTGTATAAAGTGGCAAATTCAGGAAGTTAATTTCATAATATATATTTTCGTTGATTACTGAAAAGTGGGAGAAAACAATTAGCGAATCTCGCTAAGCCCAAACAAGCCGAGAAAGAGATATCCGATAATGTTTGTGGGCAAGTAAACAAAGCGACAATGAAAGCGCATTAGTCAAGATGCCGAGAAACCACTCCCCCGAAAATTATACAGATTGCCCAGTGGCCAACTAAATTACAACACCACAAAAGCTAGTGTTAAGCGCTCATTAGGCCAAGCTCAGAAATATCCATGAGGCAATGAGCCAACGACCTCCCCTTCGTACTTTTGCCCTTTAAATGGCTTTATGGTATCCATGAGTACGAGTGCCTTCGAGTGGCATTTAAAGTGTGGCTTTGAAAAAGTGCAGAAAACTTGCTTAAGCACAGATTAAAATCAACCACTCAGCTGGTAATAAATGGTTTTTTTTCTGCGTATTAAGGATTAAGATGGACTATAAAATCGTGTTAATAACAAAAAAATAATTACGAAAACTTTAAATTGCAAAACTATAAATGGGAAAACTATGAGTGGCTTTAAATGTTACTCCACAAGTAAACATAATTGAAAAGAGATAAAAATGTAAACACTAATTGGAATGTTGGCCAAAAAGATATAAAAGACGGCAAAACAAACAGGCTACAAATAAAGTGACATTCATAATTATTTGTTGTGATAATATGCAAGAATAGTAAGATCAATAAAGCGTAGTCAAGTGTCAATGAACCAATAGAGGAAGTCCAACAGTGCACTTTTGGTTTTTTAAGGTGATTACTGCATATATAAGAAATCAGAGAGAAGAAATAACAATAATAGAAAAAGATTAACTAAAGTTGCGCAGAGAAAACAACGTTAATTTGCACCCAGCTATTTCAAGCTCTATCAATTAGCGGATATCCCAGCCATAGTTAAGCATTTGTTAAGATAATTATCTCCGCCCAAAGTTCCCAGCATATTTTCCGAATACTTTTCCTGGCGTGAGTGCAACCAATACAAACGGACAAATTGGCCAACAAAACGTTTTGACAACTCTGGGTGTTTTTCGCTTAGCTCCCGTTCCGAATCTGAAACTAAATCCGAATTGTATTTCTTTTGGCTGCCCATCGTGTGCCAGCTGCTAAACACATAGGAAGACTTTTTTGTCGTTAATGAAAATACAAATTACCAGTGACAGGCAACAATCAAGAGACAACTTAACCACATTCGGCTGAGAAAGGCACGACGAAAACAAACGGAAATCAAATGTCAGTTGCGGAAAACTTGGTCAGCAATGATTTTTACTTGTCTAACATGGTGTGCTGCGGGGAGAAAAGCGTGCCATAGCCAAAGAGAAAAAGGGTAAGGCTTGGTAATAAGATAACTACGAAGACAGTTACGCCCTTTAACCCTTTATTTGAAAACAAAAATAAGAATGAACTCCCAACTTTGGTGTAAATATACATCATTAGACTTCCGTGCTTCTAAGTAAAATATATTTTAACATGCTTTTCCAGGCGAAATTTGAATGAACACCATTTTTCTTTACCAAACCATTAAAAGAGTAAAGCTTTAATTTTTGTTTGTGCCAAAAGTTTTTGTTTATAACAAAATTCAGATTTTACCTCATAAACGAAAAAAAATGATGAATAACAACAAAAACAATAAAGAAATTTAAAACCTTGTAAAACTCGTAATAATATTCAACATTGATGGGCATTAAAACCTGAACATTTTTATTGTTGACCAAAAACCAGACTTTCTTTTAGCTGTCAGTCTAATTTTTGCAGTTACAAAGAAAAAGTGCTTTATTTTGCACCAAAAAGTGCAAAGTTATACGCCCAAGTATATTCGAATTTTGGCTACAACAATTAAAATAATAGTTCAATTTTGGAATTTCATACCATCTTCAATTCGTTCCAAAAATGTTTAATTGATTGGCATTCAATATCATTAGCTATCTGAACTTTTTTTCTTTTAAATCAGGCATTGATTATATTTGTTGCTTTAGCTCTTGGTATTCTAATCCATTAAACCCTTTGGTATATTTTTAGCCCCAACAATGTTTAGTAGCTTTAAAGCTAGTGATTAAAATTTTAATAGCCTCCGTAAGTGTATTTGAGTAGGTTGCTTAGTGTCCATCTTGAGGCTCTTCACGGTCCATCATTCGCTTGTCTCGAATGCATTTGCATCTTTTGCGATTAGAGGGTGTCACACCTTCCCCACCACGTATTTGTTTTCCTCTGGGACAAGGGTAATTAGCATATGACATGCTGTCTGATTTATGCTGCCCAGATTGGTGATGTATATTTTCCATCGCTTTAACCCTTTTGACGAGCCATCAATATCAATTCGCGCCACTGTAACCCCGCTGTGACACGTTGTTTGCCATACTAACTTATTGGCTACGTGCTTCGGCCATTTCTCATAGATACAGGTGCAAAACACACATCACCCAAAGTTACTGGTAAGAAAATAGAGAAAAACAAAAACTTTCGCCTTTACTTCGGCCTCGACTTCTCCAACTGATTGTGCGAGACGACCGCCCAACTGACGCAATTTGTTTGCTTTTTATTAGCCATTTAACAGTTAGCTCACATAAACGTAACAAATTATTATTAACTCATTTCGCTTAGTTTATTTGGCTATTTTGTTTGGGTGCGTAAATCTATTAAGGGCGATTATTTAAAAAATGGCGAAATAAAGCATATCAAATAAGGGAAATTCAATTTGGCAAAACTTAAAAGTTTGCACCTTTCTTAATTTATTTAAGTAATTCATTGTATTTCTCAAACAAATTATATAATTATATTTTTAAATGTTTATTATTTGTAACTATGTTATCCGGAATAAATAAATATTTTTGAGTCTTGAAAAATATCTTGAAATAAAGATCACAAAGACATTAGTGACATAATCCTGAAAGTCTAACGAGCTGTGCGTTTCATTCGATGAAACAGATAAGCTTTGGAGATTATACACTTTGTTAAAGCTTTTTTTTCTGCCATTAGCTGCAGATCTAGAAACGTTGGATTTGAACGTGCATTAGAGACATATGTACACTGGCTCCAAAACCATAATTGCCGCTTATGAAATGAATATGCATGCCGAAAATCCGAGTTGATTGCATTATTTTCGTAATTGTTTAATGCTCGTTAACCGAAACTTGGTTAAGGCCTCACCAGAGTTCCAAAATTCACAAAACCAAACAAAACACAAAAAAATGGGGAAAACGCACTCGGATGGAACAGCTGTTGATTGCCATATAAAATCACTTAGCGGCCGAATTAAGCTGTAAAACGGCCACGATTCCAGGCGATTTATTAATGGAAAGATTCACGAATGGAATAATTGCCGAATTGCAATGTGGGAAAAATGTTCAAGAGAAGTACCAAAATGTTTGCCAAAGGAATTCATTCGAGTTCATAAATTTGTCTTTCATTGATTTATTTTCATTTCCCTACATTTTTCCTTTGCATTAAACATTCACATTCTTTATTTGTTGCTTTTGTATATTTCAATTTTTAGTTTATAATTTTTTTGTTTGTTTGCTTTTAACTTTCCATTACTAGTTCCGTTTATTTTCCACTTTACATCATCTTTGGGCGCACTAATCAATTGGTGTTAATTACATTAACAGCAAATATTTGGGTGCCGTCTGGTGTCATAACATTTTGCATGTTTTCGATTGAGTAAAACCAAAAATATCAATAACGATATCAATATTTAGTTTTATCGGTAATTTGTTTTTTTTTTTTTTTGTTTTTTTTGGCTTGCCTGGTAATGGTGTGCAGTAGTTGTCTTTTTATTGCCCGGTTGACACAATTCGAGGTACGAGACACTAGTCTCGGGTATGACGACCCACCGAAGCCTGTCCATTTAACCGGCTCACGTAGACCTCAACCCCCTACCCCCTACCCGCAACCCCCTCTCGATTTGGTTTTGGCTCTCGGCTTTCGGCTTTTCGATTGGCAACCGTCTGGTCTGAGTGGCCGGCTATTCAGGTGCAATTGCCAAGTATCAGCGCCGTTTCATTTCATTTCGTTTCATTTCATTTCGTTTCGTCCCGTTTCGTGCCACTTCCATGGCGGCGCCAAACCTGTAGACCTGCAGACCGCCTAACCCACTTTGCCATACCCGCAACTTCTATACGATCCAACCCGATCCGGTTTTTCTGTTGGGAAATTGGACTGCACCGGCGGAGGATATCCCGATCTCAAAATGCACACTGTGCGAAATCATAAACTTGGTTCTAAATATTGGGATTATGAATCAAAAGTGATTTAATTAAAATTTTCCAGTCTACAACATGTGATTTATTTATATAGATAATAATTAAGAATTACAAAATCAAACATAATTTTGTAAATTTCCAGAATGTGATATTGTTTTAAAGAGTAAATAGTAGTAGAAATTAATTTTTCTTAGCTAGCTTATTAGGTAAAAAGCTTTTAATGTTCCAATATTATTTCAAAACATTGCTAAGCATTCAATTTTATAACATACATTACAAGACATGTAATTTAGTAAATAATAGTATTGAATTTTGATTAAACATATTTATTTGAATGGATGAAACAGTTTAAAAACAAGATCTTACAAGATTTCCACATGCTAGTTTTTTCTGAAAACTCTTCTTTTCTACCTTTTCATTTAGCTCTTTATTTTGAATATCTCATTTTATGAATTCACTTTCTCCCAATGTAGTTTCTTCATGATAACTGCCTGAATTGATATCCGCTTGCAGCTTGCATTTAAAATGCGAACCCGAATCTCTCAGGGGCATGTCTCCAATGTGCATGCCAAAATGTTTCAGGCATTTACGAACGAAAGGAGGGATTTTAATGATGCGGATAAGGCTGGGGGTCATCGCCAGTTTCATCTTGCATAACCCCAAAGTAAAAACCGAAACGGGTTATTTGCGGGGGTTAACGAGTACCTGGGTCCCACATTAACTCCCCCGTCTCGTTGCTCATTTGCCCTATAGAACCACTGTTGGTTTTAGTCGGCGCCTACTGTTGTTTACTGCGAATTTGAATACTTTCAAATGGCTTGCAACGATCGTTGCACACAGAGTGGCTTATGAAATATTTAGCGGCAGTCGTTAACTTTAAGGCATTTATCCTGTAATCGTACACGAAGGTGATTGCAAATGGCTTGGTTTATTATCAGTCTGGGCATGGGTATTATTTATTGCAAGAGTTTTTTATGTTTTTAACAATTTTATCGACTATTTATAAATTTAAAGAAATCCTACAGCAATTTTAACATGTTTTGGTATTATATCCTTAAACAGTTTTTCAATTTCGTATGTATATTTGTATTTCCAATACTTATAATTGTGTATTTAAAACTTATTTCGACCATCAATTGATTCCCTTTAGATTTTATACTCTTCAATGTTATTGCTATAATAATTACTATCTTTATTTAATATGTTTGTATTTTATATGGATATATCTCGCCTATTGATTTCTAAAATATATAAAATTTATTATTATTTTCCTGATCAGTATAATTGCAATTTCCCGTCTGATAATCGTCTTCCCACGACCTTGAAGCCACACAACTTTGACACTGAACTTAAAGAGATACCAAAGTGATGACACCAATTTTGTGACTTTCTCAGGCGGGTGAAACTTTTTCGCCCATGAGTGAGTCAATCAAGATTGTAGTCGATGATTGACGTGAGAGTGATTACCGATTGTCTTTATTTTTATTTTTGGTAAACTCAGTTTCAATTTCGATGCAGTCTGTTAACTGAATTTTCCGTTGCTTGTAAAGCGGTTTTCGAGTGGCGATTTGTACACATTGCACCCAAAACAAACTCTCAAGACTTACACACTTTTTTTTTTTTTTTTTTGGTTTTTCTCTCTTAAGATTTTAGCTGACTGAAGTTGGGAGGCACTGAGATACAAAAATGCAGATACTGCTACCGACTCTCCCGAGTTTGCCAATGATGCAATGATTCAGAAACACACTCGATTATATTGCCACACTCGATGCACTTTAGTTTTGGTTTTTTGTTTTTATGCGCTTGTGCACTGAACGATTTTCGGTTATTTCAACTTAATCTTAAAAAAATAAATAAAGTAGTAAGTAATATGTGATTCAATGCTTTTTTAGAATAAATAACTTTAAATAGTGTTATTTATCCATGATAAGTCAAGTGATATGTCGTCATGCATAAATTACTTTTTTACAAAATCAGATCCTTTACGTAAGTAATATACACATATATCATGCAGAAAGATCTATATACTAAATTCCAAATAATTTTTAAACTTAGTTTTGGTTTTTGCAATGGTTATTTCGATTTAATTTTGATATTATTTTAATGATTTGTCGGAATAAAAAAGTGATATAATGTAATTCACCAAATAATATCATGCAGTCATATCTACTTATAATATCAGATCATTTTTTTTCTGTGTGACCATTGTTTCTTTTTCCACTTTATGATTTACTTCGCATTCACTTAGCCGTTGATTGCATTCAATTACGCAAAATAAGATGGAATGGAATTGAATCGGATTCGGAAAGGAAAGGAAAGGTAATGCAAATGGAAGTTGGCAAGGGAAAGGGAATACTAATGGATGTGTAATTCTGAAAGTGAAACTCCAAGTCGATGCGAAGAAGATCCATAGAGAAACGACAAAAAATCGCCGATAGGCCTACCAGACCCAACCCAAAACACCCAGCCCCTTGTCGCCTTAAACAGTTAAATGGATTACGGTATTGGTAACACGCTCGAAACAAATTCAAAAAAAAAAAAAAAAAAAAAATACCAATGCTCATGAATAATTAAGCAGCGGTTTGATTTGTTAATTTGAATGCCGGCTTCAGGTGGCTTGAGTTGATCATCAGCTGTTATTAATGAAATGCCGTGAGATAGAAAACGATCTGAATGAAACGCGAGACCCACCCGAAAAAAAGTTTTACCCTCGGGGCAGGCCTCTCTAACGGTAGCCCATTCTAATTCGAATCAGTCCCCAGAAGCAGTATTCGTTTCCCATATACTATTATTATTGTTAACCCAAAATTTCTGTCTAATAGAGGAGGCTCAACCATATAAAGCCGCACTTAATTGCTCTTTGAAAGCGACACACAAAAGGCGAAGATGATCATCCACCGATATGATACTGCTTGTAAATGGTTAATGGTAATGGTTTACGTTTGTCTTTATCTAATTGGAACATTCTGTGGCCGGGAAAAAGTGAAAGATCCCAGAAATGGGAACACTGAAGAAGCCAGAAATCAAGAAAATTGAAATGAAAACTCTCGTTAAATTATTCGTGTTAATGGTGTTACTTTGAAAAATAAAATGTTGAGAGTGAATTTAATAATATAATAAGGTTCCTTGGGCAACATGATCAACAATAAAAAAAACACTTTTAAATAAAAGGAATTTTCGTAAATTAGTTGTACAAGAAAATAAAACAGGATTCCAAAAATATCGGAAAATATCGAAAAAAAAAATCTGTCTTTCAAAAATCATTTATATTTGTCAATGGGTAGATAAATTCAAGTTTAAAATGTGCTAAAACTATTATTGTATTTTGGTATATAAAAAAGAAATCTAAATATGGTTTTCTTACATATTTCACATATGATGTCAGCTATTATTGTATTTTAAGATAGATTACACAAATGTTATGAAATAATCCCAAGCACAAAATAACAACATGCTGATAAGAATATAAATAGTCTTTTTATAGATGCACAAAGATAACCAATAGGTTGCCAAAAACACATGTTACATTTCCTGTGATGTGAAATGACAGTAAATCATATTATCATATTAGTCAGTTCGGTTTCCCTTTCTTTCGGCTGAAGTGCTGAAATCGTTTTGCTGTTTGCGTGTGAAGAGAGCTGGCAAATAGTCTGAAATTTGGCAGGCGGTTGCTAACTAAACGAATCCGGCCTTTGGCACCATCATTATTACCGCCATGACGATCATCATGATCATTGTCTCGTCTTGACTCGACTCGACTGAACCCGAACCCGGCCAAGTTAAGTTGTCTTGGTCTATTCCGAATGCTAATGATGGTCACAACACCACTCATCGATTGCTGGCTCACCCGGCGCGATTTGCATATGCCAGAATATGGTGTTTGTTGTTAGCCAGCTTTTGGAAATAGCAAAGTCATTGGGATGAGCTGGGTGAGCTGGTCAAAAGCGGCGCAAACAATGAGCAAACCGGGCCATTGTTAAGGCCAAGCGTCTGACCCACCCAAAAAGTACTGAGACCCCAATAAAATACTGTGGAAAAGTCAAGTAACTTGTACTTTAAAGTTTAAACAAATAAAAATACTAGGAAGTTATTTAGTGCAATCTTTTTGAAATATTTATGACAGAGTTACAACTTTGGAAATAGCTATTTTAAATCTATCGTAAAACTTTAAGAGCTAGACGGTTTTGGGCTTACGTCAGTCTTTATTTCTAAAAAATTTACAAGATTTTACCCTTTGAGTTTTTTTTTTTAAAATACTTAATTCAGAGCCCTTTGTATAATTCGGACCTGCTCCCAAAATTGGGTAAAAAAAATCAACACAATTTTACTTTAACTTCCTAACGATTTTAAATTATTAATTATCGGAAGTTGTCAAGGATTAACCCCTCGAATTCCATAAAATTTTAAATACTTTAGACTCCTTAAATGTAACTAAAGATTTAAAAGTCTTAAGGTCGGAATTTCACCACAGTCTTTTCTTTTTGGGTTTATAATAAAGTTGACTCACCGGTATTTCCAATCCATTTTGCTCTTATGCAAATAGAGCGAAAGCAGTGGAACATCCGAGATTTCCGTCTCGTGACCGCCCGCCTCCAGGAGCAGGATCTTCCAGTGGGGAATCTCGGAGAGTCGGGAGGCCAGAACGGTGCCCGCCGAGCCGCCACCGATGATGATGAAGTCGTAGGCCACCTCCACTTGCTGGACATTGAAGGGTCGATTCTCCGGATCGAAGAGATCGTAGTTGTAGTAGGCGATGGCTGCTATCAGGAAGGGCAGGATGGTCAGTTTGCCGACTCCGATCACAGCGGTGGCCAATTTGATGGCACCGGCGATGGCCAGGCCCAATTTGGAGGCGCCTGCCGCTGCCACGCCCGCTGCCGCCGCCGCCTTCGAGGCGGCACTCGCCTTGAAGAGCAGGCCGCCCACGGAGACCGCGGCGGCGCCCAGAGCGGGAACAACTACCATGACTTTTGGATGGGATTAGGTTGGGCTTTGCTACTGATTTTAGGGAACGAATTCCCCTTTCTTTTATAATTTCTTTGGGCTTTTCTTTTCGATTTTATTTAACTTTGACTCGCTGTCACTGCATTGCATTGAGTTATTTGGGCACTTTTATGGGATTTTTATTCATTCACTGTTAACGCACACAGAGAGAAAAAAAATATTTAAATGTAAATAATCTTTATATCCTTAAGTTGCATACAAAGTCATATTAACAGGTTAAAAAAAGCTACTTATTAACCAGGCTAAGACATTCTTGAAAAACAATAAATAATACAACTCGGCCATTAAAATAATTTTCATAATCTTGAGATATAGTTTTAGTTATATTAATGGCTAACAGTCAAGGGATATTTTGTAATTCTTTTTTTTCTTGATAGAAAACATTTATTGTTAAAACAGGCTTAGACCTTCTTTAAACAATTCTATCGGGTTTCATTACGAAATTCTGTATTAAAGGTAATTTAAGAAGTTTATTTTTCAAGAAATTATGGAGTTGATAGGATAACTTGTGTAACACCTTTAAGCAGTACATTTTTTTCGAGTTGAGAAAGTTAGCATGAAGTTCTATTTTGATAGTTTTAAAATTTACGGATTTTTCGGTGAAAGGGAACTTATTGATATGAGAAACTGACGAGCTGTTGACCGATTTCAGTGATATTTTCTCTCTGTGCCGTCGTCACGTTCGCATTCACAGTCACTTGCCTTTCTGCACTTTCATTTAGGCCTCGACAAAAACACATTGAGTAAACAGAAACAAAAATAAATAAATTTTAATTGAAATAGTTGGCCGTGCGCGCGTTTTTGGAATCGGGTCTAATTGTTAATCGGTTAACCGGTTCACTGGGTAATACGCCTCGCCAACCCGTTTCGTTTTAGGCCATCCGCTTGGCTTGGCAGTCGCTGCGTTTCTGAGCCGCCAAAGCAGCTGGCCTGCGCCGTTTTGTCTCCGCTGCTGCAGCGCCGGCAGAGGCGGTAGCCGCGGCAGAGGACGCTGGCGTCACTGCCAAGAAACAGTTGCGCATGCGCACGTTTTTTTTCAGCGAATCCAACTGCATTCGGTGTGGCAGCAAAGTTTTAAACAAAAACATTTGATAGAAAAAATTGCCACATTAAGTTAATGGAATTTATGCCATTTATGTGCACTTATAATTTATATCCTAGCCATACCTTGATACACGAAAATATGTTTTTTATGGCTTATTAAATTTCACCAAAAACATAATAGTAAAAAGTTATTAAAATTACACGGTTCAAAACCACTTTTATGTAGATACATTACGCAATGAAATTATGATTTTTGCTGCCTTTTTAATATATTCCAGGATGTCTCAAAACTCTGATCCAACCAAATACAAATGGACTTGAACCTTACAAAAATAAAAATTCCCACTGAATTTGCTTGCAAATGATTTTTAGAGAGCCCAGAATTATCTTAATATAAAAAAATACAAATACATTTTTTTTTACAAGAACCTTAACCAATAACCAATAAAAAAATGTAATACAAAAATGTATAAGAGCAATGATTACTCCAACATCAAGTGAGTTTTTTAAATACCTTTTTTTAGAAGGTATTTTGAAATCTATTGTATTTAAATGGCTAAATAAGGTCAAACCGTTAACCGTTTCGACGCTCCTGTTTCCACTCGTGCTCTCTCGCTCTTTCTGCTCCGTTTTGCGGTTGCGCCTGCGCTCATTTTGCAATGTGAAACGGTTACCGGTTCGCGTGCCTCTCTTTCGCACATGCGATGCGGTTGTGGTTGATGGCTGATGCTGTGCATTGCGAAACGGTTACATATAACCGCTTGCAACTCCTGCCTCTCACTCGCACATCTGACATTTGCGGTTTTTCCCTGTGGATTTCCTCTTTTTTTCCCCGTCTTTCTCCTCCTCATCTTCTTTGAATTCGAATTTCCTTGCAGACGCCAGACGACCTTCATGCTCCGTTTACGGTTATGTGCACTTCTCTCTGCGGACGATGGGCTCGATTTTAAGTCTGAATTCGAGTTCCACTTCGAGTTTCTTTACAGTTGTGTAGTTGGTATTGCGCACGTAAGCCATATAAGCAAAGACGTCAACAAGATTCACAGTCGAACTACGATAAGTGCGCTATTTCCAAACTTGAACACTTTTGACCGATACTAACCGCTTTTCTTCAACCTCAACCGAAACTGTTTAACGTTCTTAACCGATTCATTTTTACCGATGCTAACCGCTTATCTTAGCAAGGTCTTCAACCTTAAACGAACCTGTTGAAAGTCCTTAACTGAAACTAATCAGTTAGAAACTTACAGAGAGTTGCATACTAGATGAAAAATTTTAAAAAAGTTATACATCATTACATTAATTCTCTTAAGTATACTCAAAACTATTTAATATAAACAAACACGAAACGGTTATATTAACACCATATTTGATTTATGCCATAAGCGGTATTAGCTTCAAAATTTAAAGTACCCCAGCTGTTTTACAAAACATTAAAAGGGCTTATAAATAACTTGCCATATTTAACTTGGGGAATCATCCCTGTACACCATTATTGACTTCAACTTCGACATGAAAAGACAGCTGGCAGAAGAACCGCAATCAATTGACCAGTTTTTGGCATTGAAGAAGCCGAGGAGTTCAATAAAAAAACAGGAGATCAAAGTGAAATTTGTGGCATTTTGTTGTTGGTTAATTGTTTTCATTGTTCAACCGGTTTTTTTTTTGAGTAAATGTGTGTGTGTGTTCGCCAATTGACAAACCACAACACGAATTTTGCCAAGTAATTGTCATTACATTACATTACACACCTGACGTCGAGCGGATATTGAACGCAACTAGTTTGCCGTATTAATCGTCAATCAATGGAACCACCGAAATTGCTCCGATTTCTGTCTATGGGGTGATGTCTTGATGGTGGTCCTCAAAAACCTCAAGTAATTTGTTTTCGGGTGGCTGTACACAGCCACATATGTTTGCATTTCTCACAGTTTCCTGATTTCATTGTGCATTGTTATACAATATGACATCCGGGAAGGATTAAGACGAAATGAGAATTGTTTTCACAGAAAAGGCCGCCTTAATCATTTGTAATGTAGTTTCATTTTTTTTTTTTGAAAGAAGAGGAAATGAGAAACTCTAAAAAATATTTATTTAACGAACTGTGTATGAACTTACTGTTTAAATTAAATGTGATTAAAAACTTGGAATTTAAAAAAAAATAGATGAAGAAAATAATGGTGGCACTGCTTATGAGTAAATTAAAAGATAGGACCACAGTGCGTATGAGTTACAATATTAATTATGTTTAAAACATTTTAATTCATACGCACCGTTGTCCTATTTTGTTTTTTGGGCATACGTAGTGTCTTCTTCATTTAAAATTCAATGTTATTTTTTTCTAGCTAACACTTCAATTCATTTACGTAGGCTATCTTCTATTTGGTATTATCTTTGGTAAGTTATCTTGGGTTGACACAATTTTAGTGTTTATTGGAACATTTCCCAATCGACCAGTCCCTGAGACCGATATGTTGAACCACTTCCACCTGCAAAGGAATGACGAAAGTCGCACACACAATGTAATGCCAGCAAATTAACAGTGCCACGATGTGACGATCGTTTGATATATCACCATCTAATAGGGCAAGGTCATTCAAAGCGATTTAAGCTGAGTTTTCCATGCGAATGTCGCGGAAACTTCGCTTCCCCCCACTAAACAAATACAACTTGACAATAAAGGCACAAATAAACTTGTCAAAACTTTTTGCGATGCCGTCTTTTGTTTTGGTTTCTTCTTCAGTTTTTTTTCTATCTTCAACTTAGGGCCTCCATTATGCAAGGGCCATACTTCAATGACCTTCACTTAAAAGTGAGGTTCAAGACTTTTGATGGATCTTGTGAATAAATTTAGCTCCAATTGATTTGTGGACTAAATTCTAGACCACTTGACAGTGTTGGTATTTGGGAAGTTGTTGATGAAAGTTTGTAAAATTTGTAATAATTGCATTGGTAACAGTCGGCAATTGTTAACTCTTACCAAAAAAAGGCAAAACTCTCTTACGAACACTAATGCGTCATAATGGCTTGAAAATACTTTCGGTTCCCAGGCTTCTGTGCATATTTAATCAACAATTTCCGCTACAATTACAATTAGTGTTACTATATCCATTTGTGTTCACACACGGCAAACTATTTCCGGTACTTACTGGTACTCCGAGTAGTACTACTATATGCGTCCATGCCCCCAAACGCAGTATTTCTTTTGGGCCAATTGCCCAATCAACAAACAAAGTTTTTTTGCCTCGAGGGCAATTAAAAGTGAAAATACAGGGTGGGCCCAAATAACTGTCGCACTTAATTTTTGAAATAAAAAACAAACCATGAGATATTTTAAGTAACAAATATTATTTATTTAATATATATTAATATAGCTTACATTACTAAGACTTAAGTTCTAATCTTTCCCCTTTGTATTTTCGGGCGAGCTTCAAACGTTTCTTAAAACTATTGCAAGCGGCACGCACCACATCATCAGGAATTTCATTCCAAATTTTTGTCAAGTGTCGCTTAAACTTTTCCAAATTCATCTTTTTTAAATCCTTTAGTCTATCCAGCATGTAACCCCATATGCAGAAGTCTAAAGGATTTAGATCTGGTGACGATGGAGGCCACTCATCAACAGCCATGAAACATGGAATGTTATCTTTGCACCAGTGCTGAACAGTTTTGGCCTTATGAGCCGGAGCAGAGTCTTGCTGGAAGCAAAATGGCTTATTCCCGAACAGCTTTGATGCATGGGGATAAAAATGGCCCACAAGCACTTCATCCAAATAATATTTGGCATTGATTTTCACGCCTTTATCGATAAAAAGAAGGGGTAACTTACCTTTTTCAGATATGGCCCCCCAAACCATGACAGACGTTGTGTTTTGGAATCTCTCAACAGCAATTTTTTCTGTTGAAATATCCTCCATACTTGCTGCATACACCCGATCATTCTGCGGGTTCAGGCTTTTTTGCAATATGAACAACTTTTCATCAGAAAACACAGTATTGCAACCTGCGTGCCGCCGAAGTAACTGCCCACTTCTTTCCTGTCGCATTTTTTTTTGACGTTCTGTCAGACCATGAATTCTTTTTTTTTTGTAAGGTTTCAGTCCCAAGTCATCTTTTATGATGTTTCTAATTGTTTTGCGGCTCACATTCAGCTCATTGGCTAGTTTTCGAGCTGACCTCGCACAATTTCGCCTAATTCTTTCACGCACATTCTTTATTATTTTAGGGGTTCTAACACTTCTTTTCCGACCAGTTTTTTTGGCTATATCAACACTTCCAGTTGCCTTCAATCGAGCCACAGTGCGCTGAACAAATCGCCTATTCACATTGAGATTTTTTAGCAACTTCACAATTTCACTTGTTTTTTTTCCTTGCAAATGCAAGTTTTGCACTAGCTCCCGTTTTGCTTCCATCGTCGCCAAAATTCTAACTTGCACTGATCTTATCAGCAATAAACCCCGTTAGTTACGAAATAAGATAAAGAAAGAAGAAATGAAAAAACAAAAAGAATAGAAGCACTTGTTTAAGAGTGCCGAAGCTTTGAAAAAGTGCGACAGTTATTTGGGCCCACGCTGTAGAAGAGGAGCCCAACAAAAAAAAAAAATAAAGTTGGATAAAGTGAAGAGGCGCCACCACCAATCTTCCCCAGAAGAAAGCTCTTGGCGGGGTGACATAACAATTACTCCCCCCCTTTCAACCTCTTTCTATTATTTTTTATTTTTTTCGCTACGTCATCCACATTGGTATCTCCAGTTTGGGCACTAAAAATGAACTTCATTAAACGACAAATGCAAGAAACGAAGTCATGGAATAATGGCAGCAAGTGCTCCGCGTATTCGTAACCTCCTTAGAGATGGCCTCGTGAATCAATTCTG